CAATAATGATACCATTAAGGTGATTTTAAGCAGTTTTAAGAAAATATATGCAGTACTTAACCAGTAATGTTTATTTTTGCAAATGGAGCCGTATTTTTTTATATATATTTTTTGTGTCAATTTTACTATCATTCATATTCATGTTTATGTTTTTATTTCCTGTAATAATCTTTTTTATTCATGTTCTTATTATTGTTCCTGTGATTGGGTGCAAACCTGTTTGAATGAAGATTATTATTATTAAAATGTTTTTTTTTGCTGGAAACGTACCGTGGTTCAAGAAAGTATTGACACTCGGGGCACTTCAGCTGACAGCCAAAAAATAGTTAGGTTTTAAAATCCGTTCATATTGGGCGTGTGTGTTCGAACACTATATTGGGATATGAAACATATCGTTTTCTATAGTAAATTTTCTTAAAGACTCTAAATTTGAAATTAAAAAAAACTCAAGGTGCTAAACCGGAAGTAAACATTTCAAAGAAAAATTTTGATAACTTACAAATTATACCCTAAAGTGTGTTTAACACGTTGACTGCCACGAAATTTTCATAAATCTGGCCTAAAATGACAATTTGATTTAATCAGATTATATTATTCTATTTCTTGGATTTGAATTAGTATATTTTATAATTATTATTTTCTGTTCGTTTTTTAATAAATTTTCTGTTCATGCAAGCCAGCATTGATTTATTTGTTCTTTTCCCAGAAGCCATTTATCGATATTAGCACTGATATATAGCAGCTGCATATAAACGGCAAGTATACAGAGGACGATATAACTCGCAGTTGACGACTTGGAAAAGAACGCAATCTGCAAGCTATCTCGTAATTGGCAGTCGACGTGTTAACATACATACATCAGAAGTTTTGAAATTAATTAATTAAGGAGGTTCGTATTTTTATGTACATACATGTTGCCCAGGGTATGACGTTAGGTGCTTGTTTAAGTCGATAAGTTTGCGTGATATTGCATTAATAGGCTAGAGTATTTTTACCTCTAATAATTGTTTTAAATACATTTTAACATAAAATTTATTTTTATACGGTTTTTGCTAAATGCAGTTTTCAACCTTGCTTGGAAGGTTAACAAGTGTTAACTTTTGCTTTTCGCTGCCCGTTCATTGGTTTGAAAACCATGGACGTTTGATCTATTCCGGGGGTAAAAGTAACTTCAAACGTCTCTAACTTAGAGCCAAGAGTTCCAAGGAAACCTTTGAAATGAGAAATGGAGAATCACATATCTACCTTCCTTTTTTAGTACGATGAACCAGGCTCCAATTCCCGATGAGTTCCCGACTGAAATGATGGCCCCAGTGCAGGCTCCACATCCAGTTTTTGCACCAGGTCCAACTCTATTTCCAGCACCTTATCCTTACCCGATACAGAATGTTGACCAATACATTCCCATGATGCAAATACGGCCGCTCTTTTATGATGCGTAAGATTTTGAAGTAACTTAATTTCACAGTGGATTTTTAGATCGGTTAAACTTCCGGAAATTTTTTTCGCGGATAAGTACTCCTGATGAATTTATCAAACATATACTAAGTGACATATAAATCCGAACACCCAGTTTAAATGGTTTTATTTTAATAAAAGTTGGTGAATGTATTTATCTTACTGTAAATAACAAGTGAAAAAATTTTCAGCCTTATCAGTTGGACATTCCGGTTTTTATACTGCTTTTTTTTAATTCACTAACGCTCTAAAAATGAATATTTCAGCCGCAGTAAAGAATCAACGTTGGCGGATTTTGGTTCTTGACATCCTTTACGATCGGTTACGATGCCTAGAGTACGGAGACCTGTACGATTTCGTCAACTTAGTGAGTTTGATAGAGGCCGTGTAGTGGGACTTCGGGACCAGGTCCATTGCAAATGAATGGTTTGCAAAACACAGAAGACCTATTGGCATGCGAAGTGTTTACCGACGAATGAGAAGTTTTGGCTTGTCTTTATACCGGCCACACTGGGTCCTCCCTTTAACTCGAGAACACCGACGTAATCGCCTTGAGTGGTGCAGACAGCGGTCACTTTGGGATCAGGAATGGAACAGTATTGTCTTTAGTGATGAGTCTCGATTTTGTTTAGGCATGCACGATGGTCGTGCCAGGGTTAGAAGGCGATGTGGTGAAAGGAGAAATCCACAGTTTTTTGTTGAAAGACATGGTCATCACACTGTTGGAGTTATGGCTTGGGGTGCTATAGCTTATAGTTTCAGGTCACCTTTAATCTTCATCAGAGGTAACATGAACGCGCAGCGTTATATCCATGAAGTTCTAGAACCCCATCTTTTACCCTATCTTGACACCCTGGCAGATCCAACTTTCCAACAAGATAATGCCGGACCACATGCTGCAAGAGTCACAATAGACTTCTTTCAACATAATGATGTCACATTGTTACCATGGCCACCAAGATCTCCCGACTTATCCCCAATTGAGCACGTGTGGGATATGATGGGTAGGAGATTGCTCAATTTGCAACGTCCTCCTCAGACTCTAGAAGCACTTCGAGAGGGGTTGGTGGTTGCCTGGAGTGAGGTACCACAGGAAGACATTGACCACCTGATCAGAAGCATGCCTAGGCGCGTTGGAGAATGCGTAGCACATCAGGGTGCATCCACACATTATTAAAGGTCAAAGGGCTTTAAAGCAGTGCAATCATTTTGAAATTTTTATCATTTACTTATTATGCTTCATTAAGTACTTACACAAATTTTCATTAAAATAAAACCATTTAAACTGGGTGTTCGGATTTATATGTCACTTAGTATAGTTACACCAGGAGAAAGATTGGATGTGAATATCCGTATTCTATTGATATGCCAAGAAGATGATCTGATGTACGTTATTTACGTATGTTCAATCAAAATTAAGCTCTTATTTGTCTATTTATTGGCATAGAAATTTTGCATTAATAAACTCCATAAGGAGATACATAGTAAAAAACCTGTGTTCAGGAGCCATTAAAAATATCATAACCCCTTCTAAAATTAATATAAACATAATAAATATATATATATAAAGTATAAAGTATTTCATAAGCATACTATAGTAAACAGGGTGTTTTCAAAGTTCAGTTATTTTAACAGCTTGTAGAACTCGCCAAAAGAAGTTGATATACCAGAAATCGCCTACATAAGAGTTGCATAATTAGAGAGTTAGTTCACATTATCAAAAACTATTTAAGGAAAATTATTATCAAGTTAAATTGATACCACTTTTGCAAAAAGTGTTGAAAATTGTCCCCATTTGTTCGATTAACGCAAAATCTTGCTCGGCGAATCCACGACTTTTTACAAGCTTCGAAAATAAAATCCTGGTGTCCGCGAATTAAATCACAAGCATTTTCGGTGCGCTGTTGAAGTTCATCCAGAGTAGTTACAGCTCCATCACGGTACACTAACTCTTTCAAATCCTCCCACAGAAAGAAAGGCAAGGCGTTAAATCCGGACAGCGAGCAGGCCTAGAAATGGGTCCATATTCGCCGTATCCATCTTTCCCGAAAACCATTATTTAGATGTTCATGAACTTCTCGTCTAAAATGTGGTGAGTCCCCATCATGTAGGAACCACACACGCCAGCCTAAACATTCAATGAAAAACGTATGTTGAAGTTTTTTTTACAGCATGCGGATTTTATACTTCCCAAACATGAATCTTATGGAAATTGTGCACCCCATTTCGGGTGAATGTGACCTCATCTGTATACAAAATTAATTTCATAAAATATTCTTCCTGCCGAATTGTTCTAAAAGCCACTGGCACAATGCAACTCTTCTAGGATGATTTTCAGGTTGTAGCGCTTGTACCCGTTGATAATGATAAAGATAACACTGTTTTTGTCTTACTGTTATTATGCAACTTTTATATAGGTGATTTTTGTCCTACAAACAGTTAAAATAACACAAACACCCTGTATAATAACATATACATATAGCAAGCTGTAATATAATGCATACGTTTGTTCAGAGGTTGAATATTGTAGTATTATTTCATACCGTTAGTATGAATGGTATAACACAGCTATTGAAACAGTATAACGGATGTTTTCAAAATTTGTTTTGTTCAGGATTGGCGTGTAATATCCAGCGAGAGGTGCAATCAATGAGCAATCTGTGTAGTCGTTTGAAACAAAGTAGTTGCTTTGCGTCATTAGTATTTGCTTACTATCTGTTCAATAATTTAATTTATTGCTCTACAATCCTTGGATAAATTAAAGCTAAGAAAATCTAAACGTGGAGACCTTTAAAATTATAATTGGAGAATCACATACCTACCTTCCTTTTTCAGTACGATGAACCAGCCTCAGTTTCCTAAACCACCTCCGTTTGGTTATCCAGCTGTGCTCCCGCGTCAAATGATGGCTCCAATCTGGGTTCCACATCCAGTTACTATTGGCCCAGGTCCAGCTCCAATTCCACCAGTTTATCCTAACCCGATCCGTTTTAGAAACCAAATTGTTCTCAAGAAGCGAGTACGGCAGCGAAAGGCCGCACCAGGTGCGAGGCGGTCCTCTGACGATACGTAAGATTTTTAAACTACTTAATTTTTTATATCGTTCTTGTGTAGAGGATCACGCACACGATGCATTGGATTTTGGAAATCGGTTAAAATTTCCGGAAAATCTTCGCGTATAAGTACTCCTGATGGTTGTATCAAAAATAGTCAGTTACACTAGGAGAAAGATTCGTTGTGAATATCCGTATTCTATTGATATGCCAAGAAGATGATTTACGTATGTTTGATCAAAAGATGAATAGAATGAATAAAGCTTTTGGTGAGCATATAAATAAAATAAAGTAAGAATCATTGGTGGCTTATGGCTTCATAGTAATGAACTGCAGAAATTTACATATAAAGGCCTTTAAGCGCTTATATAAGCCTATCGTCGTTGTTATGGTGAAACCTCCTATGTAACAATTTTTCCACATCGGAGCTTTCTGAATATCTGTATAGTCAAATATGAGCTTCGTGATCTGATGTATTTGTACAAGATTTTCATAATACGAGGGTTGTTTCAAAACTATGGTTCCCACATTTTTTCATGCCGAGGAATTTTTTATTTGAAAAAACAAAGTCACTATTGAAAACGTTGCTGTTTAAACTATTATTTCTTCATAGTCGCCATTCTTTTCTACGAATTTTTTTTAGACGTGAAATTCTTTTTTGCACTCCAGCCCGTTTAGAAACTTGGTAACTGCTTCTTGCACCGTTGACCGCCTAGCTGCTACTTCAATTTCGGACACGCTATGTTAGGGCTGTCAGGGGGATGGGCAATGACTTCCCAGCCAAATCGCTCGATTAAGTCCTTCATTTGTTGCGAGACATGAGGATGCGCACCGTTGTGGTGCAGTCTTACGCTTTGGTGAGATTTCCTGTACGACGATTTTGGATGGCCCGTCTCAGCTTTTTCAGAAGGCTCGGAAATTTCAACCACCTATTTCCGGATCGTGATTCGCCGATCTTCGAGCAAGATTTGCTCAATCTTCGCCACAACTTCCGCGGAGATCGACGGTCTTCCGCTTCGCTGTTCATTGTGGATGTCCTTACGGCCGTCAAAGAACTCTCTTTACCATTTGAGGACATGTTGAGTGCTTATTCACGTTTTCCCATATACTTCACTCAGGTGGCGATGAATTTCTATAGGTGGTAACGTTTTTACGTGCAAAAATCGGATGACCGCACGAATTTCGCACCTGACGGTGACGGCGATGGAGCGCTCCCTTGCGCTTAGATGTCGGGCCGGTACTGAGCATCGTAGATAGGCGCTTCTTGTTGGGATCGGTGGTGGGGGAGCCAACAAATACGACGGTGTTGCCGATTTTGCCTAGCATCACGCGCGGCACCGGATTTGGTAGACACACCATGTGCGAGTGCGCCCTCTGATGATATGTAGGATCTTGAAGTCACTTAATTTTTTACACCGTTCTATTAAGAATCACGCGCACGATACATTGGGTTAAACTCCCGGAAAATTTCTTCGCTGATGAGGATAATTGTAGCTGAAAGTGTGTTTAGAATACACTAGAAGTTTTGAAATGGGATGCGCATTCACTAAGGAAAGATATTTTTATGTACATTCATTAGGGTGTCCCAGCCAGTTAAACAAATTTTTGTTCGAATCGAGATACGCATATCCTCTAATGTTTTCCATTTGACTCTAACTCACGAAATAAATATTATTGCGATCGGGGAACGATAATTTTTGGTCAATCTTCGAATTCGAAAGTTAATAAGGAAACCATGTATGGATTTCAAAACCTAATTTGTATTCGACAAATAAAACCCTGCTTTATTTGTATCTTATAATTTCTAGATATTTATACATCTATCTGAGGTATAAGATCTATCAAAACAAGACATCTATTGCCAGAATCGCAGTTTACGCTGGCTTATTTTAACAGTTAATGTATTAGATCGAAGTAGTAAAGGAAGACAAACGACTATTTATTCGTCAGACTTACCATAAAGTGGGCCAGAAAGTTCTTGTTTCTATGGGATGTAACGTTTACCGTGGTCTGATGGACTTTGTGTAAATTAGCAAAACATATTACTTTAGTTTCCTCATCGACGCCGTCGTCAAACAAAGATAAGACAGAGACCTCATCTGTCAAACACCATAAATCTTGGCAGATCTTTTGTGAAGCTTCCTTTGAAATATTTTTTTCAATTCTTTCGTGAGCCTTCATTGCCTTTAAGAAGCATAAATAATGGTTAAGTGCTTATACCGCTAAAGTGCATTGCAACGACGGTTTCACGTATGTTATCACGATGAACAGACAGATATCTAACAAAACTGTCGTATCCTTATTAGAAAGTTTGAACAGATTGGATAATTCTGCAGGAACGTTGTAAAGTGACCATTTCTTTGTTTCAGTCGGTCAGCTTAGGTTCATTATCCTGCTAAAAGATAGATGATAGATGTTTCATTGATCCCCATTTTTTCATCACTGTTATTCAAGTTATTGCGTAAAATGTCACCATACTGTTGGGCTGACATGTTGATATGTCTCATTTAAAACATGTAGTGTTAGGCTTTATAGATCTTACTTTAATATATGTATATGAAAATAGCATATCCAAAACCAGCGTCCTAGATTACCCCAGTGTAGAAAGTTTTGTCGCTTCGTAACAATGGGTTGTTTGCATCGAGACCCCTAAATGTACACATCTACAAGTGTTAAAAATCCTCCTAATAATGACAATATCAACGTATTTATTGAAAACAAAATTTACAGGAGTGGCAAGGAGAACCAGCCTCAACCTAGCACGAGTGGTCTAGCTGGTGCTGGTTCTAGGTACGCCCGGACACATACTGAGTCGACTGGGTCTGATATAAGCATGTTTAATCCTACCGGTGCATCTACCCCACGTCGCAGAAGTAATTCCGGCGAGCAGGAGGAAAACGGAGCCTCTGCTACTGCAGGTGAGCCAGTTGATCACTTGAAGTATTAATTAACATGTTCCATCAGAACCCAATTCAACTGAAAGCTTAAACCACTTACAGCCGGTGCGGTAACGCAAACGTTAAAATACTCATGTTACGGGAATACATTGCCGTAAATGGATCAATTCACACGGGACGTCGACGCAGGATGTCGACGTCCAACGTTCGCCGGTAACGCACCGTTGAAACCCGACGTGCGTTGACTGCTTCGCCGCAAGCGGTACATTAGATTATATCATTGAGTGCACACGAGCGACGGAAAGCAGTGCGTTGAAAATGACGGACGTTGATATAGACACTGAAATATTGATTGAAGAGGTGAGGAGACATTATGTAATTCGTCAAACGATTTGGAACTCATTTTAAAATAATTGAACTTATCCTCGTCATTTTTCAGATCCGAAAAATCACGAACAAATGCTCCTTTTGATGCACGGACACTCACATAAGGGTGTACCCAGTATTTTCTTTTCTTTTTACAAATATGATACTTATATACGTAATATGCAAATAAAGCACATTTTTCATTATCAAAATCCATCTTGTTATTTGCGTCGCGTCGAGAGAACTGCATGCGTTATTGAAGGCTCGTGTGCACTTCTCCCAAAAACACTGTCTGCGTCGACGCACCGTCAAAACACGTCCGTGTGCACCGGCTGTCATGGCTACTATAACTAAGGGCAACTTTTTTTGACCTAACGAAAGATTTTTACTGTATTTTCCATGTTTTACTGGTGGAAAAACTGTCCAGATATGGTTTTCATAATAACAGTCTGCAACTTATACGAAGGCGGTCTGATAAGTACATAGCCTACAAAATAAAAACGAAGATTTTGGAGAAGTGGCGATTTATTTCTCAACATAGTCTCCTTTTAGCTCGATACACTTGACCCAGCGATGCTCCAACTCGTCTGAAAAATACGTTTTCTGGAGGATGAGGCAGCACTTCGTAGCCTAATTGGACCAATGTGGCAGTGGCGACGGCGGAAGTGTGAGCCGGTTCGTTGTCATGGTAAAAGAACACATTTTTCTTTGCCAAATGAGGCCGTTTTATTTCTGCAATTCGGCATCGAATCAGCCCAATAATCCGGCTTAGTAGAGCACTGTAACCGTTTTGTCATTCCCCAGGAAGTCGATGTAGGTCACACCTTGCGAATCCCAGAAAACGGTGGCCACCTTTCCGGCCGATAGGAAAAGTCCACCGTTTTGACTGTTCCTTGGTCTCTGGTGTGTTAAAGTGGATCCATGGTTCGCGCATGAACAGCGTCAAACATGATAGTAAATTTCTCTTATGATAGTGGCGCCATCGGCTAAGTACTTATCGGACCGCCCTCGTGTCTTCAGACCTAGATGACAGAACACTTTACGTAGCATTGCACAAAGAAAAATCAGTCGTTTAGACGGTTAGGTTATGGGTACCCCTGGGTTCCATTGTAGGTCCCACTTTGTTTACAATTTGTATTAACGACATCTTCAAATACAACACTCAACGTTCAGTGCTATATGCTGATGACACAACGTCTATTTGTGTAAGCAAACTTGAAGACCTTGGTCAAGAAATTGCAGTACATTGAAGACTGGTTCTATCTATCTATGCAATATATTGGCTTTCATGTGGACAGTCGCTTGAACTGGGAAAAACACGTCAAGAACCGTATCATGTGTAGATATTTTTCGCTCAAATAACTTCTGAAATGTTGGTATATTAATTTTCCTATTAAATGTCCAACATGTTATGTCATCTTAGATGGTTATCTATGAATACCCCTAAATATTTGAAATTATAAATCGATCGAATGTTTTTGTAGCTGTTCAACGTTTTAATATGGAGGAGATTAAAATGTTTTGTTGAAGCTGACCGTTAAAATCATTTACGTGAAAAAATATATAACCTTTCGAGAATCCAATACAATTTTGTTTCTTAAAGAATCTGTCTAAATAAATAATCGCTGTGTCATGAGCGTAACTGATAATTTCTCCATCATTGTTCAACTTGAAATTTTTGTTAACTGAATAAGCATATCTATATTTTAACAAAATTTGAATGTCAAAAATGCGTACCACTTTAGCGTTCCGCGATGGTTTTGTAAATGTCGACGCAACTGTTTTTATATCTACACATATATTTTTTAGCATTCTATGATCCTTAAATGTACCACCCATTTCGCCTTACCTTTAATTAATTTGTGTTACTTCGTCTATAATGGTTCTCTGAATATTTCGTCAAGTAGGTTGACTCAGTACGTATGACGCATTGATATACAACAGACACGGACTGACAAACCGACATAAATGAGAAATTTTTACTTGTGAACCGAAGTTCGTATATTATCGCGAGTTTAATACTTCCGCCGTTTAAGTAGTCGTAAATTTTGATAATTGATTCAAAGGCGGCGAAAATAAAATAGCTGGAACATAATGTTACAACGCTTCAGAGATTCCTGCTCATTTTCAGACATTGCTTCAAGGGGATGGACATTCTAGGTTGGAAGCTGTATGTGGTAAATGGTTGTAAATTGTTACATGTTTCTTATTATTAAGAAGCTGCTGATCTCAGTGATACTCTGCAGCTCTTAGACATAATAAGTCAAACATATTTTCCCTACATTTGCCATGGAAACAGAAATATGATAGATTTGCTTTATACAGTTTTATATGCAGAGGACGAAGATTCATCGTACCTAAGTGAACCTACCAAATCACGATTCTATTTCGCATTTTGGTGCGACTTGACTCACCCCTTGTCTTTGAAAGCTCAAACGAAGGCGTAGAAAGTATAGAGTCAATCTACTTGACGCCGTTTTTTGCAGACAAAGTTTATTCAAAATCAAAATCATTTCACGTTATTGAGTTCTGATGTACTAGTACTAGGATTAATCATTAACAGAAGTTTCCCTTTCAGAGACGGATCAAAAATCCTCCAGTTAAAGAAGACTTTCTAAGATGTACAACTCGATATCAGCATATGTATCAATCTCATAATCCACTCTATATTAAGCAGGGCCATAACAAAAAAACTGCTTACAGATAATTTCAGACTGGTGACATGCCAACTGATTCGTGCAATCTTATCGAGTTCGACAAATCATTTATGTTGTTTATATTTGGTTTCATTTATGTTATTTTTAGTTTCATGCTTGAATGTGTATCAAGTCTTTTCGTTGCTTTGTTCATAATTTCGTTCAGTTGCTTTTGTTCATTGTTTCTATTAAACTTTCTTTGAGAGTTCAATTGTAGCTGTTAATTTACGTAAAGATAGCTCAATACAGCATTAAGGATCGAATACATATTCGCTCCTTCACTTGTGAGAACGCCTGATTGCTTTGCTAATATTGACAAAAGTATTGTCATTTTCCTCAAGAAGGCAGTCTTTTAGATCTGAACCCCATGTATTGCATCACTGTCGCCTTTACTACATGTGTAAAGGAGGCACAAACCTACGGAAATCAGTCCCCGGTGAATCTTGCTCAAACTTTGGGAATACGCTCTCCAGAGCATCCTGCTCAAAAGTTCTCCTGGGCTAGCTTTTTGATTGTGTTATACTGCACTACCTATTTTTGTTAATTTATACTATTCATATTTTTCCGTTTCCAAAATCAAACAAAAGTATGTTTATTTTGAAAGAAATTAGTCGAGTAGCTAGTTTCATATACAGGCCTCATTAAAATTAACATAGTTTTGTTCTTTTTATCTGAGTTTCATCTTTGGAGTTTGCTCAAAGTTCTTCTATTTTATATATTTTTACTTCAAGCTGTTATTCGGAAGGTTCTAGACGCTTGTAAATACTTTGAAATAAACAACAAAACTCTGAAGATTGAAAAGATTAGACGGTGCACTTACATACAATGAAGCACTGTTATTCAGGTGTAGGTATCTCAATATTTGTTAGTGAAACCATTAAACCAATAAATGGTAAAAGGCTATGGAAATAGGATTCTTTTCTGTCAATGCATTTATCTAATCCAAAATTAAGAGGAATATCCGTGTCGTGCGGTTTTGAACAGAATGGCTGACAAAAAGCCCGAAATTTTAATTTTTCGTGTAACTAGTTAATTTTGCTTCCAAGTTCCGTGTTATCACAATTTATTTACAGAACGTGGGCCAATGTCAATATGGCGCCTAGTGTATTTTGTTGCCATACTTCACTGCCTCGAAAGTTATTCTTATCATAAAATTTGATTTTTTCCTTTTAACATACCACTTTGTAAGTCAGCGTAAAATAATATGCATATATATTGTTTTAAAGGATATTTTTTATAAGCGAACTTATTTTCAATCATAAAAGGTAATTACAAATTAAGCAAGGAGCTTTAGCATGTGTACTATTATTTTAGTTATGTGTTTATAAGTGTGCTAGGTCTGTATATTTACAAAATTACAAAATAATTGTTTGTCTAATGAAAAACAAGGAGACTTACTGTGAAGGGTTCCATTTCGGGCAGGCTGGGGCTTGTTTTACATTAGGCAAAAAATTCCTAAAAATTTGATAATGGGTGTTTATTCTTGTCTATCTCCTTACATGTAAGTAATGTATTACAGTAATTTAAGCTTAAACTAAGCGTGTTCTGGAAGTGTGGTTAATGTTTTGTCTTCCAATGACACTAAAAAAAAAAACAAAAAAAATAAAAACTGCAAAAACCCATTCCTGCCTTCTTTTTTGCATTCCGTCTCCACATATCTACTCTCCAAAAGATCTCCGGTAATGTGTTTCATGAGTTCAACTCTCGCACCTTGCACAGTTTATAATACTTCAAATTATATGCGAAGTAACTCATCCCAAAAATATGGCGAATGACCTCCGATAAGTAGCATAGGTAAAAATAACTTCGGATTCAATAATGCGTTGGCTAACTTAATTTTTTATGCAGTCTTTTATACCTCCTCGAATTTTATGTTGCAGTTTTTAACATTTGTTTAGTTTAAAAGGCACAGAATTAGTTTGAAATCATTCATAACAGGTATACGGATGAATATATTTTGAATGACTACGAGGGGCTGCTGAAATCCGTTCAGTAGGCCGCAGTGCATGGAAGGAGAAGGACGCTGCTATTTTCTCGCAAGATGTGTTGTAAGGGATTCAAGCCTACACCTCAAATACCTACATTTCAATGGTGACATATATAAAAGTTTGCAGTTTGAGCCTGAGTGATATCAAGATTAGTGCAGCTACTTGAAGTCGAATTGATGCGCTACCGGTCTTCGTTCGTTAGCTTAAATGAAACACGTTTTCTACACCATCATTTATTTTTCGCTTATGTGTAGCGTACTGCAAAAGCAAAACAAGTTTTGAGATCGTTAATTCTGAAACTACACTTTAACAATTTTCCAGTCTTTTAAATAGTAAACAACAAACTTAATAATATTTTAGGGAGATCCGTGTTTTATCGATTTTTATCCCTGCGAAAAAAAATACTAAAACTGTTGAAACACACTTTTCACAAGCGCCAAAAAGTACGTTTCAAGTGTTTTTTAAATGTTTCCCTAGAAAACTAATTCGAAAAAACCCGGATCGAGTCACATTTTATATACGAAAATGTAAATGACTTACTTTAACCATTAATATATTCCACCACTTACAAAGTAAATTTAGAAATATATTTTCACAATCAATCATTTGAACTTATTGCATAATGAAAAAGCAGAAAACCGATCATATGCCATCAGTAAGAGTGCCCACATAACAAATTACAATATTTCTAGACAACAGACAACACGTCTGCAAGCCCACAATGAATCGTGAGCTTTGTTAACATTGAGGTATACATAAATTGAGGGTTCTTTTCTGAAACATAAGCTCGCATTTTAGTTTTTTTATGCAGAGACATTCCGATTGCACCTAATGACCAAATATCGCTAAATGATCGGGTAAAACTTTCTACGGAAATAAATGTATTCAATAAAAACCGCACATTCACAATCATTAATACAAAAAGATTATAACTGTTCTCATTCACGGTAATAATCAGTTTTATACTCAACGTTATGTACCTTATTGTTAAAACAACTCTTTGGTAATAATCAGAGGTAGTAGTATGACCAAAAAAATTCCACAAGTTTTCATTCAATAAATGAAAAATATCAACCTATGAAAAATATTAAATTGGATATGTTTTTTCAGTGCGACTCACAATTCAAACAAATAATATAGGATTTCATTAACTAAGATGAATTATCACACATTTTGTGAATATTTTTTACGCAAATATACAGAATGAGCTATGTGCCTAAGCTGTACAATATGTAATGGAAGGTACGAAAATCTACGAAATACTTGAATATTTCTTATAACTATAGAGGATAGCATAGAATGAACGTTTTTTTTTTCTTAAACTGTAACTTCTATGCATCATTTAGAATAGCTCTTTGGAATGGCAAAATGATAATGTTGGAATGTTAAATTTGGTTAATGTAAATTGTTCCTCAAGCTTATGGCCATTCGTCAACGTGTTCATCATGTATTGTATGCCAAGTCAGACCATCTCCAATTGGTTCATGAGCAGATGGGAGTAGAACATTCTTTAAAAACGACCTGAAAACAAATGTTATTTCTAGTGCATAGTCTCCACTTCGCCACAGTTTTTTTTAATAATAATATTTATTCCGACAGGTGTGTACCCAATCACAGGAATAACAATAAAGAATACAGTAAAACTTTATCAATTATAATAATGAATAGTTGGTCAATATACAGGGTGTCCCAAACGTCGACGTAAAGTCATAGTCAGAAAAATATAAAAAAATATAAGTCGTGTACTTTTTGAAAAAATCGGCATAATCTACACCCTGTGATGATCTTTCTAGATTTACAAATTTCAATTTTTCCTAAGACTGACAGTGTCATTCTACCTAGTTACAGCAAGACAGTAACGCCACTTTTATTAATTCATGATTGTGTAGTGCTATCATGTCTGTGTACATCGTGCAGGAATACGCCAACATGCACCTCATTGATTGGGAATGTAGATGCAAATTTAGTGCTGCAGCTAGGCTTTATCGTGAATGGTACGCAAATGCTGCTCGTCATCCCGATCACCGAGTTTTTGTGAATGTGCACCGTTTACTCTCAGAGGGACGATTCCCAAATCAAGCACATGGTGAAGGAAGAATTTCCTTTCATGATGAGGACATTGTATGTTACTACAAGCAGTCGAAGAAGACCCGAGTACTTCAGTACGTCAAAAAGAAGCAAGCTCGGGAGTGCCCAAAAGTACAGCCCACCGAATCCCAGTCCGTCCACTTCATAAAAAGGGAGACTCGCATGTTACTGATAATTATCGACAAGTTTTTCGTTTACCCGAACCATCAAAAATATTGGAGCAATCTTGTATAAAATAGCTGCAGACTTTGCGGAGCAATGATTTGCTAACTTATTCACATGATTTCAGGAAAAATAAATCTGCTGAGACAATAATCAGTATGTGGTAACTATAATGTTTGATTTAGCAAAAGCATTTGACAGCCTTAGCATCACAATAATCTCGAGCAAACGTCATCAGCTAGGCAGAAAAGGGTTACTACTGGACTGGTTCAAATTCTACTAAAAATCGATATTTAAAGGTAAAAATACAAGATACAGAATCTAAAAAATGTCCTGTATATCCAAGAGAAACAGTGCTAGGGCCATTGATTTTTATTCTTTTTGCGAATGATCTCCCCAAACAAGTAAAAGCAGATGATACACATGTGATAGTGTATGGGGAATCCCCAGAAGAGATTAAAGGGAAAATAACCAGCATTATGTTTGAGATGGAGTCTTGGCGTAAACAAAATCAACTGATATTAAATAAGGACAGGGGGTGGAATTAAAAACTGAAGAGCGGGGTGGCAGTGACCTACCCTTGCACTCATGTGATGACTAAATGTGATTTAAACAACATTACCCCTATGACCCCCTGGATCCGCGCTTGAGTATGCATCAATCATTTTTTCCTTCTTTGACTTGTCACATGTAATAATTTACTGAAATGTGATCAATAAATATCTATATATCTATAAATTGACGCTTTACCTTCTCTGTACTAAGCCCAAGAATATTCTCCAATTCTTCTTTCTGCCAAAGTTGTAAGGATTTAGGTATGTTCTGCCAAGCTCGGCTAATCTTATAGTCTCTGCTTTGTTTATGTTTGCTTCAATACTCGTCTCTCCTCGACCAATGAGGTTTGAGTGCCATAAAGATAGAACTCCTAAGGCCACAAATACACCTAGAGAAAATACAATGTTGGTATAATGTACCATCGTTTAGCGTCACAGATCCAAGAGGTGTCCCATCAAACTTTCAACCAATTTCGGTCCAAAATCCGAGATTCGAGAAAATTCGCTAAAAGTAAAACCGAAACTATTGTGCATTCAAGTCTCGACGACCAAATAGAAGCGACCGTGTGCTTTGATTTAACACGCCTCTATACATTTTATCGTTTTCTGGTTTACATTTTTTGTGTGTATATATAGTTTTATGTATAGGGTGGGCCGTTAAGTTGAGCGGATTTTAAAAAATCATAGAAAAAACTACGAAGCGTAGGGAAAATAATTTATATTTTTAATAAAGTGTATACAATTGGAATTTTACTTTTTTAAAATAACATTCTTGAGATGTGAGCCATCGAGACGCACTCCTCGAATCTCGACTTCAAATTCGTAAAAGCTCTTTGGCACATCGCTCGCGGGATAGCGGACATCTCCTCGGAAATGTGCTTGAGCTGGGCAATCGTCGTCGGTTTATTGGCGTAAACGCGGCTCCTGAGGTATCCCCGGAGAAAAAATCCAGTGGCGTGAAATCTGGACTCCGGGGATTCCATGGAATGTCCCCTCGTCGCGATATCAGTTTTCCATGAAACATTTCGTATACAACTGCTAAGGACTCGTTGGCGGTATGTACCCATTAAAATTTACTGTTACAGTCTGTCCTTGCTCGTTTTCGAAGAAATAGGGTCCGATGATTCCTTCAGCCGACATGGCCGCCCAAACTGTAACATAACGCGAATGCAAAGGTATTTGGTGTTTTAATCTCGGATTTTTTGCGGCCCAATACGGGTAATTTTGCTTGTTATATTGCCCAAACTTGGAAAGCGCTCTAACATTGTATCGGCAAACACACGGCGTAGATGGTGGTCCTGCGGTTTCAATTCCTGCACTAGTTGAAGTTTATGTGGATGCGATTTGAGGTATTTTACCAAAATACGCCTTACAGATGTTCTTGATATGGCGAGCTTAGCTGATATCTTTCGGGATGATAACTGTGGATCGCGCCGTACGGACGTCGCAACTTAGCTTACAGTTTCCTTTGTTCGTATTGACCTTGGATCCAGGTTTCTGATTCAGTGTCGAACCGGTAGACTCGAATATTCTGACTAGGGCATTGATTTAGATCATAAACTCAGAGACAAATAGACGCCGCGCAACAGTGCACGAATCTCCATTTTTACAATAAGCCTTAACACAGAACGCAGGTTGTTCACCGCTGAAACGCTTCATGACGACTAAATTTCCGAGCACCAAGCTACTTATCCCCACTACCCGTGTCCCGCTCCCGCGTGCCTGTCACGAGCAATGCGGTTTTGAAATTCGTACGTCTTTCTGGCCCACCCTGTATCATACTGCTAAGTACACTAAGGTGTAAATTAACTGCAATACAGAAAATGTTGGCCAAATGAGGAAAAGCTAGGATGTTTTCTAATTAGTATGCCAATTGAGTAAGTATTATAAAAATTTTCGAAAATAAATTATTGTATTTTTAGACGTTACACGACATGTACATCATAAAAAATCATTTATCTTTCTATAACTTGGAAAGCACTGCTCAGATTTTGATGGAATTTTGATACAATTTTGTGTTACATGATTGTAGGGAGCTACCTATAGAAACTTGTACTATACGTGTCACTTGTGGGGTCTTTGAAATATGGATCAATGATCTGGTCGGTCACGTATAGTTTCCATCAACATCGTGCGATTTGACCCCATCAAACATTTTATTATGAAATCTGTGGCAATGTATTTATTTATAAGCCAATCAATATTTTAACGGTTTTTTCAAAAGATTAGTAGAATCAGCCTGGATACCTACATGGGAGATCAACAGATACTGGAATATTTCAATTGGTTAACGTTAAACAGTACTGAAGCAATTTGAGGAGGGAGACTAGTAAAAGTTTCACTATTTTTGAGATATTATTTCGAAAAATTTCCTCGTTTGAACTATCGTTTCTTCTGAAATAACAATTACGAAGAAGAAATTAGTTTGGCAAGTTTACCTATTTGTATTTATCAAAAATGATATTTCAAATGGCAGACAAACTATCTGAGAATATTTCGCAAAAAAAAACAGATATTCTGTCCATATGAGCCTTCCAAATAAGAACAAATTTCGTTAATATCCACACAAAGCCTGTTTTATTCCAATTCAAGGTTGACTCGTCCTTATAATAAAACCCTTTCGATTGTTATATTTTTATTTACCTGTGTTAATAAGCGCCATATATATGATAGCTCTGCGCCTCCAAGGACTAATATACTCCAACACTGGTTCATCTTCAATCAGAGACTTATCTAAATCAGGAGCATCAGTCTACAAAAAATTGATATAGAAAGGTGAAAACAGAATTTGAAAAATACGAATTTTGACATATGAGTAATATATATATATATATATAACTTGAGACGTGGTCATTGTCGTCTAGACCAGTTAGGTGAAAAATTAAAGCTTCCGCTTTTTGTTGGGTACTTCGACAAAATTTAAGCAAAGAGGACTCTTTATACTTTTTTCAATTCTCTCTAGCTTTCAATGGACTTTGCCATCATCATCAGGAGCTGCAATTACAATGATAACAGTAGCAACAAAAGTGTAAAATGAATTTAAATTGAATCAACCTACAGTAGTATGTGAGGATGTTGCTAATTGTTGTTTTCGTATAGGATGAGGGAAATATATAATATATTATATACAGGGTGACTTCGAAGTTGAGTCATTTATTTTAACAGTGAGTAGATCTGATCAAAAGAAATGTTTTTTCCTTTAACATTTTTGTGGTAAAATTAAAGTAACAAAGTTATAGCCCTTTAGAAGTTTGAGTACCGCCCTGTCTCAATAATAATATTATGTGTTTGGCAACAACGGATATCGGTTCATCGCATCGGAAACAAAAAAGCGAAAGAATTTGAAACGTTTATCACGTTGTTTTTCGTCAGTCGGTAACGCGTGGGTGAATAGTGATGTTTGTTGCGTGACTCAAACGAAATGAGAAATGGCACATGTTTACGAAAATGCTGAACTTGTGGACATGATTCTTATTTACGGGGGGACAGTCTTTACAAAATGCTGCCGGATGCATCACGGATTTATGCGAATCGGTTTCCCAATCGAGTGCAACCAACCCCTCGTGCCTTTGTTAATGTAGTACAAAGGGCTCGTGAATCAGGTGACTTAAGACCTCACAGGTGAGAGCATGCCGGTGCTCCAAGACCGCACGATCAAATACAGGTCCGCACTGAAATACTTGTCGGGAGGATACTTTATTAAACAAGATAACATTTTTTTTTATTTTTACACACATATTTTGGTTTATCTTCCTTCTACAATCATTATCTGAAAATTAATGACTCAACTTCAAAGTCACCCTGTATATATATATATACGTAGTCGTGCCATAAGTTCTGTCCCATGATAATCTCATGATAAAAATGAAACAAAATAAGATATATTTATATGAAAGATATTATTTATTCGACAACATTTTTAGAATTCATAATCAAACAGTTTTATTCAAAATGTCCCCCCTTGGCCTTCACACACTGCTTCAATCTCGCGGGCCACTCATCTATCACTGCACGCACAGCTTCCAAAGGAATAGCTGCCGCTGATCGGATCAAATCCGCTTTCAGGGACTCGATATTACGGTGGGCTTTGGAGCAGGCCAACTGCTCTAGCAGGTCCCACAACTTGTAGTCTAAAGGATTGAGGTCCGGACTCCCTGAGGGCCAATCTTCCGCAGCAATGAACTCTGGCACATTGCTTTCCAGCCAGCGCTGCGTACTCTTAGCCTTGTGAGCGGGGGCGGAATCCTGCTGGTAGACCCAGTGTTGGTTGGCAAACAATGTACCACTTAAAGGCTTGACGATAGGATCCAGTATGTCGCTCTGATAGTTTGCCGCTTTTGTTTTCACGCCCTGTTTACAGAAATGGAGCTGAGTGACCCCTTCGTAGGACACCCCCCACCAAACCATGACTGACGCAGGGTGGTGGCCTCTCTCAACTCTCGGAATGATCTCCGAAGCTTCCTGTGAACTCCTTGCATACACTTTGTCATTTTGTCGGTTGAATTTTTCTTCTATGGTGAAGATTTTCTCATCCGTGAATAAAATCTTTCGGAATCCCCCAGCTGCGTACCTCTCCAAGAGCTTCTTGGATCTTGTCGCCCTGATGTGTCGCAAGGTGGCCGTAAGTCGCTGGCCCGTACGTCTCCGGTAAGCCCCTAGCCCTAGGTCTTGTTTAATGATGCGCGACATCGTCCGGACAGGAATCTTCATTTCCCTGGATAGGATCTTCTGCTTCCGGAGTGGATTCCTTTGAATCCTGGCTTTTACGGCTTTGATGGCTGCTGGAGTCCTTACTTGACGAGGTCTTCCGCTTCTTGGCCTGTCATCAACAGAAGACGTCTCATTGTACCGCTGAATGGTCCTAGACACAAATTTACGCGATAGTTGAAGGCCGCGTAAGAGTTCAAAAATCTGACTAGCACTGTGATTACACTTATGTAAAGCTATCACTGCAATACGGTTCTCTGCCTTGCCCCACTCCATCGTTATGCTTCGAGAGATCAATACAAACTGAGGTATATGTAATTACCCGAAAAGCGCTTAATCAACTGACACCACAATGTAAACAATCGGACAAGTATTAACAGGTCTACACTTGTTTGAAAACGAGGGACAGAACTTATGGCATGACTATGTATATATAATGACCATTGTATTCTCCAAGAAGATGCCCAACCCTATGCTGTGTTTGGACGTTCACATACAATTTCTTTCGTCACAGCCATAACATAAATTCCATTAGAAGTGATAAAAACATACCCCAGTTTTTAATCGAAATTGGTATCTTCTGACGGAATATGTTTATCACTGGTTTTACATTCAAAATTATTCAGGATTGTTGATCCTGAGGCTGATAATTGAGGCTTTAGTAGCTTGGTGTGATGAGAAAAATTTATTTCTTGATGCGTCCAAGTGTAGTGTAGTCAGCTTTTCCAGGAAAACGTTTGTTTGTGAAATTTAATTATAAGATTGAGGATGTTCACATAGTCATTCAGACTCAATTAAGGATTTCGGTGTAGTTTTTGACCATGAACTTAATTCTTCACTCCAGATAGCCCAAAAGGTGAGTGAAGCTTCACGGGCGTACTATTTTATAATAAGAAAATGCAGAAGCTTCAGCCGCACAGAGTCACTGTTGGTTTTGTATTTTGCATATATTAGATCGTTAATCTGGAACCCAATTTACAACTGCTAAATTGATTCTCTTGAGCATTATCAGAGAAAGTTTCTCAAATTATCGTCATTCAAGGTTGATGGTGCATATCCTGAGCGGGGTAGATCTGGAAGTTTGTTATTGTCCAGATTTCAAATGCAGTCTTTAGAGCTAAGAAGGAACTATGCATCAATGATTTTTTGCATAAAATGCTGCAGTATCAAATTGATGCTAATGAGTTTGTGGCTCAACTGTCCCATCTATTCGAACTCATACCGTTAAAATCTTTTATTGTGACAGGGCTCGCACACATTTATTTCTGAAGGCATCCATATATAGTATCTTTATTTAATAGCTTCAAGCTAAACAATACAAGATATATATATATATATATATATATATAATGTTATTATCTAAAACTAACACTATTTTCTACATTAATTCTCAATTGTCTTTTGAATTTGACAAAATTTGTAGATTTGATTTCAGCTGGTAAATTATTAAAATCTATAAGGCCTTTATGAAATAAACTATTTTGCGCAAAAGCAGACCCCACAGCAGGAACATAAAAATAAAACTTATTACTTGTATTGTGACTATGATTATCACGGACAAATTGCAAAGCTTCCAATATGTGTTCGGGATACATTCCATCCTTTATTTTGTAGATGACTATCATTGTATTGTAAAATATATTTTGTTTGATACTTAATAAATTAGTTACTTCTAACATGTCTTTAATTCTTGTGTATCTATTACATCTTAATATACATCTAAGAGACTGATTTTGTTTTCTCTGTAGTGAATCTATATCACCTTTCTGCAACATATATAATATGGAGGAACAGTAGTTAAAGTGTGGCATGACTATTGTTTTATATATAAGTAGTGACGTCCATGAATTAAGGTCCTTTGTTACCCTACACATTAAATTAACTTTTTTATAATATAATCTGCATGACTATTGAATGTTAAATTTGAGTCTATCATACTCCTAAATATTTATACTTGTTAATCTGTTTAATCTTATTATTTTCAATTATAAAGCCGTCGTGCAGATAAGTATCCTGAACATTAAATTTAGATTCCAGTATCATACACTTAGTCTTGTCAACATTAATACTAAGACTACTGTTCCCTAACCAGGCAGGTCTTTAAGTCTTCATTAATCATTTTAACCAAATTGTGTATGTTGTCACATTCCATGAACAAAATTGTATCGTCTGCAAACAACTGAATTTTGCAATTTTTTACAGCCTTTACAATATCATTTATATACAGCACAAATAGATCAGGACCCAACACTGTTCCCTAAGGCACACCATGTCTATTTTCTCTTACAGAAGAAACATCTTAAAACGTTGCCTTCAAAGCTATATTTTTCTAGTTTTTTCATCAACAGAATTCTATGTATTGTTTCCAATGCTCTCCTAAAGTCGATAAACACAACACCCACCTAACGACCCACACTCAAAACATTTTTCCATCCCGAAATAACAGACTGAAGCGCACTCTCACATGAATGGTCCTTCCTGAAACCAGCTTTGTATTTTGTAAGTCATTTATTTTCTTGTAAGTATTGACGTAATTGTTGATTGACAACAGTTTCTAGAAGTTTTTCATATACAGGTACCATATTAATTGGTGTATGCTCTTCACATTTTATTGTTCCACTCACTTTTTCTATAGGGATGACTGTTGACATTTTCCAATCCTGGGGAACACATCCATACTGGAATTTATAAGCTGGAGAAAGTGGTTGCCTATGACTTCAAAAGCCAATTTCAAGATATTGGTATTAATTCCGTCAACACTGCTATCTTTATTTTTTAAATTATTAACTGTATTTCTTAGTTCCTTTATTTGAACTGTTTTAAATATACTAAAGCTATTTGTAGGAGTTGGCATATAATTCAAAGTATTTTCCATATGTATGTCATCTATATCAATTGTCAAATTATTCACGCTGTTCAGAAAAAAATCATTAAAACTCTCTACTATTGTCTCAATTTCTTTGTAAATAGTTCCATCAAAATCAATACCTTCCATATTTCTACTTCCCAATCCATTGCCTATGATATCCTTCAAACTTTTCCACATAGCCTTTGAATCTCCTTTGGCATCATCTATTTTTTGTTGGTAATATACTTGCTTTTGTTGTCTTATTAATTGAACAACTTTATTTCTTTGTTGTCCAAAGCTCACCCAATGTTCTTCCTGCTGTGTTATCATAGCCCTCTTTTATAGCCTATCCCTTTCTAAAATATTGTCATGTAAATCTGGTGACCACCATCTTAAGTTGCCCCATTTAACACGTATCTTTCTTTTAACTATTGGTGCACAATAATCTAACTTTTCTGTTATTATTTTTACTAATTTTTTTGCTATTTCATCAGTACTGATAAGGTTGGATGACCATGGAGATTCTATTAGCATTAATTGAAATTCAAGATCGTTAAAGTGTTTCATTTCTCTGTAATATTCTGCTTGACTGGTAAGCTCAGCTGTAGAAAGATTAACCTTCAGTATTGCATGGTCCGTTATTTTAGGAGTATAGCATATCTCACTTTCCAGGCACTTTTCATTTGTAATTATGAGATCAATCATGGTTGAACTATTTTGTGTAACCCTTGTAAAGTTTTGAATTTTTTGATAGAATCCACTTCTTTCAATAACTTTCTCAAGTTTAGAGCAGTAAAAAGACTTTTTTGCCAAGTTGATGTTAAAATCGCCAATCATTATGAGGGTATCAGTTTTTTTCTGAATAATCATCTAAAGTTTCCTGGAACTTCTGCAGAAATTCATTATTCTTTGAATTTGGAGAATGGTATACACATAAAATGTTGTATTTTTCATTATCTATAGACAAATTTACTCCAATCATCCATATGTTCCTCTCCATTATACAGTTATGTATTGTTTTAAAATGTATTAATATACAGGGTGGCGCATCGAAAACGAAACAGACGCATTTACTGGCAGCTGTTTTTTTTTAAAAACGCTCAGGCCCGTCGATTTTGTTTTCAAGGGGGCACAAGTTTGGCAAAAAATCACGTTAGCACGTGCAGCCCCATAAGTGGGGATGACACCACCCCCAAAAATCTTAAATGGAAAGGGGTTCGAGTGATACCTTATTTTAAAGGTCTTTCAATTCCCTTTATAATGATATAAAATTAATGTACTTCAGTTCAGTAGTTTTGATTTAAAGTTGAAATAAAACTAATACATCATCATTAGTGGAGATCAATACATTTTGCAGCCAAGTAATTTAAAAATGAAGAATGAACTGACCTGTCAGGCAAGTAAATGTTGAAAATGGCCACCATGACACTCATTCACAATTCTTTGTCGCAGGTCTTCTAATGCTGTTGGCTGAGTAGCATAGATTTTGCTTTTTAGATGACCCCACATAAAGAAATTAAAGGTGATAAATCTGGCGATCTTGGGGGCCATTCAATGGCACCTCTTCTACCAATCCATCGATCTGGAAACGTCTGATCTAAATATTTTCGAACACGTAATGCGTAATGTGGTGGGACAACATCCTGTTGGAACATCAACCTATTCGCAATGTACCGCCGATCATTCTGATTTTCAATTATGCAGTATCTATGGCGTCTTCCAGTAATTCCAAATACATTTCACCGGTCAAATGTCCAGGTAAGAAAAAAGGACCAACTAAATGATCGCCAAAAATACCAGCCCAAACATTTAATTTTTGTGGCTGCTGTGTATGAACCTCATGATAAATTCTGGGATTAGAATCGGACCAATATCGGCAGTTATGACGATTTACTACGCCATTTAAGAAAAAGGAACATTCGTCGGAAAAGCAAGTGTTGAATAAAAAATGTTCATCGTTTATAATTCGTTCACTCATATGTTCACAAAATTGTAATCGCCGATTAAAATCGTCTTCATTAAGTTCTTGTACCAGATGAATTTCATACGGATGAAAACTATGGGCCTTTAGAATCCGTTGGACAGTACGTCGACTAACACCACACACAGTCTCCAATTTGCGGGTACTTAACGTAGGATCTACATAAACTTGCCCTAAAACCCCCACTTCTATTGCTTCGTTCCTTATGGGATTTTCAATGTTGCGTTTTTTATTGGCGACTGACCCAGTTTCCCGAAATTTAGCTACTAGTTCTAGAACATATTTTCGATGCACGTTACTGTTCTCATGTCGCTCATTAAATATTTCTGCTGTTCTATTAGCGCACTGATTATTTCCGAAAAATATTTCGAAAATTTCAACTCTTTCTGCTGTGGAATATACAATGGTTAATTTATGTAATAAAGCATTACAAGTTATTTTAGCAACAAAGTTTGGTCGAATCAATCGCAAACTATATACTAAATTCCTATTTAAAATAAGTACGAGATATTTCCTTATCTTTCTTCGAGAAATAACTTTTTTGCCACAAAAAAACGCTCCAATAGCTATTTTCAACAACAAAATGATAAACAAACCATGGGCGTAGTGAAGAAAAGCATTTACTTATTAAGTAAATTCTTTTAGTCAAATTTCTTCTGAAAGTAGTACAAACTAATCTGATGTACCTATTAAAGTCTACTTTAAGCTTTAAATCAATAAATCTTCAAAACTACTGAACTGAATTACATTAATTTTATATCTTTATAAAGGGAATTGGAAGACATTTATAATAAGATATCACTCGACCCCCCTTTCCATTTAAGATTTTAGGGTTGGTGTCACCCCCGCCCAGGGGGCTGCACGTGTTAACGTGATTTTTTGCCAAACTTGTGTCCCCCTCGAAAACAAAATCGACGGGTCTGAGCGTTTTTCCAAAAAAAACTGAGCTGCCAGTAAATGCGTTTCGTTTTCGATGCGCCACCCTGTATATAGAGGCTCCTCCAGTATGCCTACTTTCTGAGTATGCATGGACTGCTCGATATCCATCTATTTTCAATTCCCCTTCTTCCAAATCTGTAGTAATATGTGTTTCAGACAAACAAATAATCGCAGGTTTCTATTAATGTACCAGCCAAACTAATTATGCTTTATGTACTAATAGGCTTTCTATATTTAAGTATATAAAATTTTGCTGCTTTAATTGCTATTTGTTCTTCACTTTGCCAAATGTTTCAGGATAGTTAACCCTAGTTTGACGTTCTCTAAATATTCTCTTGTATGTTTCACAATTTCTGTTGTATGCACAATGTAATGTGTGAAACTTTCAATGCTGTATCAAATTATTGTGATATACATGCTTACAGTTTGAACATCATTCTGGGAGTAGCGAGGAATTACTTAAACGATTTATCATGTTTCTCATTTGAGTGAAATGTTTTTTACTTCTTTTTCTTGTTTATTTTATCCTTTAGATAAAATAACCTGCTTTTTGTATGCTTTCTTATTTTTGTTAGTTAGATTTATCTTTTCTTAGGACTGTCCTGTAAATGGTTTCCTTATCTGTGGCAATGAACACTATTTATTATTATTTATTATAGAAGCTTCTTACCACTGGAATCAATGCCCCTGTTCTATTGATTTTCACAGAATGCCCTTCCAGTTCAGGTTCATCCAAATCAGCAGGTGATAGAAATATTGCTGTATAAGCTACATCAAATCCACAAATTATCACAAACAGTACACCCAGTACTGTGTATACCATATACAAAAAGAAATACCGGTGGTTTCTAAAACCCACACAGTTATTGAGCCATGCTGAGTATATCATTAAGGAAATATATATTTTTGAGGATAAAGTAGGTTGTCCCTGCCCCAGTGTTAACTACCAGGCTAAAATGGTAGTCTCTCAGATGCCAAAAATAGAAAAACAGGGCTCCCTTATGGTGGTACAGATACAAGGGATGTCTTTTAAGTTTTGCATATAGAAACATAGTAGGCCGCGTGGATCGAACGTCAGTACTGAATCTTAACTCACTCTTTAGTATACATAAATTCAAAGTTTCACAACAACACGTGCAGTGTTCTCATTACAGTGAATTTTTAAGTGTCACCAACTCATTAGGAAACTGTAACTCAACCGAGAACATTTTCGCGTCATAATTTATTACAACTTTCAGAGACAATTATCGCAACAAGAATGTCTTGCTGAGTTACTGTCTGTTTTCGGCAACGAAGCGCCACATCAATCGACAATTTCCCGTTGGTATGGAGAATTCAAACGTGGACGAGTGAAACTTAAAAAACGTCGATGCTGTGCGCAAACTCACCATTGAAGATAGACATGTGACATATCGCGAGATTGAGGCGTCCTTGAAGATCTCAAAGACCTCACACCTGTTGACTGAAGAGCAGAAAGCATCCAGGGTTAATTGGCGTCAAAAAACGCTTGACTGTTTCAATTCCGGAAACTCAAAAAATGTTTACAGCATTGTTAGTGGTCATGAATCGTGGTTTTAGTGTTATGAACCAGAAAATAAACGACAGTCGGCTGTTTGGGTGTTCCAAGTTGAAGAAAAGCCAACAAAAGTCTGCAGTACTGCAGATTGGTATACCATCATTTGTCTGCCAAAAGTCATCACCGAGCTTCGAAAAATCAACCCGAAAGAAGAATCATCCTCCGCCAAGACAATGCAAGCTCGCGCACAGCCCAAAAAACAAGGCAGTATTTAACGGAAGAAAACGTGGAATTATTGGACCATCCTCCATATAGTCCAGATCTAAGTCCTAACGATTTCTTTACTTTCCCGAATATTAAAAACAGACTGCGTGGTCAAAGGTTCCAGTCACCAGAAGAAGCAGTTGACGCATTCAAAAATGCCGTTTGGGATCTGCCAGCAAACAAGTGAAATAAGTGATTCGAAATTGGTTCGAGCGCATGCAGATGTGTATTAATCTTCATGGAGAATACTTCAAAAAAAACAATAAAGTCATTTAAACCTACCTACCATGTTGTTTTATGTCCATATGCAAAACTTAAACGACATCCCTCGTACCTAAACAATCCTACTGGAAATCAGTTTTTCTTAAATCCAACCTCACTCTTATTCCTTATGTTCCATGTGCATCAAAAAGATTGCCATCATTTTCTGCATGTATATCTATTAAAAAAGGATACGACAGTGATGATCCATTTTTAGAATACAACGATTACATACAGAACAATGGTGTGTCCTTGGTGGTTTTGGGGCAATGCATTTTTTGCATATGCTTACTGCCTCAGTTATTAGTTCACCCTGAAATGAATATTCATGATAAAGTGTCATAAAACCATCAAAAATTAATAGGCCAATTCTATAGGACAAATTCTATACTTATTTGAGGATAAGTTTTATTACTGAGCTTGGGTGTTTTGTGCCAATGTTAGTACTGAATGGCAATTGCAGATTTACAATTAATGTCTGGAAGACTTCAAAATAAAATTTGAGAAAAGATTCTTTTACATCTATAAGAATTCAAACATGATTCAAATTGAAAATATTACCTCAGGGGGGAACCCAGGATGCGTAACAACAGCCATATAATAGTGGAAAACAATGTTTAATAACAGCCAGTGTCCCATGATGACTAGAATAATACATAGATAACTATTTCGATTCCACCAATATGGAATCCCTATCCAATATGCTATGGAAACTACTGATGCTGTTAGGGCTACAACCGCAACAACAAATAACTGGAAAAAGAAACAGTTATGGATTTTAAACAAAATAGTGGATGCATGCCAATTTTTCCAATGTTTTTCAAAATATGCCACTTGCAGGTTGATTTTTAAAAAAATGATGGATGCAGGCTCGTTCTTAAAAAATTGTGACAGCAGGATATTGAAAACATGGTGGATGTAGGCTGACTTTTTAAAGAATAGTGGATGAAGGGCATAATGCCAGTTTTTCAATAAACAGTGAAGCAGATTCTTGAAAATGTGGTGGATACAGAATATTTATAAAAAAAGGGTGGAGGCATCCTGCCTTTCCAAAGATGGGTATGTGCATACCAATTTTTTTGAAAATGTTGGGCTCATACTAATTTTTAATGTTTGAGAACTCCATTTTTCAAATAATAGTAGGTATAGACCGATTTTCAGAAAAATTGTCAATTCAACCTACTATTTAAAAAAAATGGCTGGATTTTTAAAATATAGTGAGTAGACCAGCCTTCCAAAAAAAAAAGGTGGAGGCAGACGGATTTTGAAAAATGATAAGATGTAGATCAATATTTAAAAAAAAAATGAATGGTATACTCACAGGTCCTATTGCATAAGTAAAATTGTCAACAAACCAAAACATAGGTTCCATACAGACATCGGCTGCATAGCTTTGGTCCAAAAAGTAGTTGTATGTGAGAGAACGGAATGTAATGTGACATTTTCTGAAGAATGTTTTTACAAAATCACTAGAAAACAACAAGGTTTATCACGATGTTATTTTTTTCTCTCAACAAACTTACTGTAGAGATTCAGGGATGCGTCGAATGGTCCAATGCACTGTAATCATTGCTTAAACTAAATCCTAATATATTGTCACAGTTCCATATCCATATTATACTCTCACTGTTTTGTCTAGAGATTCACCTGACATGTTTATTGCTTAATTTGAGCAGTGCATATCAGACCGACATCTCCCTTGCAGTCAATTACGTCCACATTTTTTGATTTCTTATAATTCACAATATTCTGTATTTATTTGTTTGCTACCTAACCTAACCTCAAAATGATTTCACCACTATCCAAGTATCCATCATGGGACAGGACAATGACAGCTAGTTATCTTTCTAGTAATAATTCAAAATTCCCCATATCGGCACAGGACACATAATTAATTCCCAGGGATCGGTGAAATCCAGGTAGTCAGACCCGTATTCGTATTTTGTTGTGATTCTTTGTAGGCTACACATTCATTTTGTACTTGCAAACAACCCTTTTGTTTAGAAAAGTTTCTTTGCATACGAAAGAAACGCTACAAGCACAATGGCTGCTAATGACCATGACTACATTTCATGTCAGATAGGAATAAAATGAGATAAAGAGTTTTTGACTTTATTAATTATATCTACTTTTTAGAATTTGAAACACCATATGATCTTAAAGGGCAATGAAACAGCCATATATTTAGTTCAGAATGTGTGGCAGTATATGATCGAGTTGATAGAGGTTCGATTCCCTCAATTAGGTCTGAACATTACCCAGGTAATTCTAACAAGTAATAAAATAAAATTTGAGTTAAATGTACAACTATTGCAGGAAGTCATGAAATGTACATAACTGGGGCAATGCAGTGTTCGTGAGTACAGGCATGGGTCAACGGTTGAGAACTCTACAAAAATCGGTACTGTTGCATCTTTTAGAATTTCGGATTTCACTGTTTTTCACTTGAAACTTATAGAGGGTAGTGTTATAGATTATTTTAAATCATAAAAAGTGTGTATGAAGTACGCTTTTCATGTTTTTTTCCCCAAAACACTATATTTTTTAACAGTTATTTCCCCCATTATTTCCACCGCCATCTACTATATGTCATATATGAGAGGCGCTTACCTGCGGTATTGCCGGATTGGCTCCGTATTTAGGGAAAAATATGAAAAGTAGAAAATTTATATACATTTATATTAATTAATGGAACACAAAAACAAAAAACTGAAACAAACAACAGTAGCAAAAATAAAAGCGATTCTTGCTAAGTATAAAACAAAAAATAATAATCAGCAGTAAAATAAAAAGCAATTTGGATGGAATGAAATTGTTTTTCGTTTTACTACTGTTTCTACTTTTTGTTTTGTGTTGTCACTTAGAATTGCTTTTTATTCAACTCTTTGTTACTTTTTATAATTACATGATTTTTTCCTACTGTTATTATTTTTTCTTATCACTTAGAATGCTTTTTATTTTACCGTTTCTTATCTTTTGTTTTTTATAATTACATGGGATTATTTTTTTGTTTTACTACTGTTTTTATTTTTAGTTTTTTATAATCACTTAGAATTGCTTTTTATTTTACTGCTGTTTGTTCTTTTTGTTTTTTATAATTACATGGAATTGGTTTTTGTTTTACTACTGTTTTTATTTTTTGTTTTTTATAATTATTTACAATTTATCATTTTTTAGCTTACAACTGTAATTTTTTTATTTATACTTATTGAGAATCGCCTTTTATTTTGCTACTGTTGTTTGATTCAATTTTTCGTTGTTGTATATATATATCACGATTATTTCGTATTTTTAAATTTTTTAGAGCTATTTCATATTCAGACGATTGGTATCGAATCGAACTGTCCTCTTTTCCAAAATTAAATTTAGTTCTTGAACGTTACACGGAGACGGAGCACACAGCCGCTGGCGGCCGACGTTCACAGGTAGCACTACCATGCCGTCCGAGCGCGGCGTTGCCTTTCTTTCATCACGGCTCGTAGTTGACGTCGGCTGTGATACAACTCTCACATTGCAGTCTCTGCAGGCTGCTTTGATACTCATATTTGATGCAGGTAGCAGCCTGGGGTTTGTAAATGGGGCTGCCTTGCTGTTTAAATCCAAGCTGAAGACAGGGGACTACCATGGAGAAATGAAATCTAATAATTGTGGTGAACAACTCCCCTTACCGTAGACTGTTGGAAAAGGCACCCAGAAAATCGTCCAACAAAGCTGATATGCAGATACAAGCAAAGGATGTGATGAAGAAGTGTAGATCTGCTTTTGAATCATTCACCCAAGAGCAGTGGGTGCACTGTGTTGAGCGCATTACAGCAGATTGAGAGCTCCAAAGGCGTGTTATTGAAAATCGTCAGCCATTCATTATAATAATAATAATAAATCTATATTTCAAAATAACAGAGCATGATTACTGTGTACTACACACTGTTAGGTGAAATATACGTCACAGCATCATCGAGACAGAAAAAACAAAGAGGCAAACATATAACATGGTACAGATTTTACATTTCAAAATATTCTTGAAGGTCATATGGTTATAAGTGCATTAACAATTGATAACTACTCTTTTTATATCCAACAACCCTTTAATTTCCTGTGGTAACTTATTATGTCGGCGAAAGGTTGGAAAATCTCAAAACTGGAGATACTACAGACCAAAATATGTGAATTGACTTAAACTTACCTTAGTCCAAAAGTTTGCGAGATAGAGGGTGTCAAAGTTACAATTTTATTTTCTATTTTTCCTTATTCCTTGAGAAGTATTTCAGATTTTGGCATAAAACTCGGTATAGGGAGGTTTTCTAGTATGAGAAACAAGAATCTGTTATTTTTTATGGCCAAACTTATAGAGTACGCCACTTACAGCACTATTTCGGTGAATAACTGGTCATAACTTTTTTGTGCTACCCTGTATACAACAACTGACCAAAAAATCATATTTTCTCGTATCTCCACAACAAAAGAGGTTTACTTGTTAGAAGTGTCTGAAGCTAATTGTTTTCGAGATATTTGTTTTTAAAGCATTACATCTTGCCAATCCGTACATTAAATGCATATCAGAATATTCATCAAACGTATACTCCATGATGTTTAACAATTTATTGTCAACTTAAAATTATTCATGAAGTTTAAAGCAATATTATGACATACATTAGAAACCATAGCAACGCTATTCAGATCATGCATTGTAACCTTTAAAAACAAATATCTCGAAAACTATTAGCTTTAGACACTTCTAACAGGTAAATCTTTTTTGTTGTGGGAATCGAGAAAATAAGATTTTTCGGTCAGTTGTTGTATACAGGGTAGCTCAAAAAAGTTATGATACGGTTATTGAACGAAATAGTGCTGTACGTGGTGCCCTCTAGAAGTTTGGCCATAACAAATAACGGATTCTTGCTTCTCATACTAGAAAACGAGCTTTATGCCAAAATCTGAAATACTCGCAAGCAATAAAGAAAAATAGAAAATAAAATTGTAACTTTGACACCCTGTATGTCGCAAACTATCAACTTTTCGCCTGAGGTATGTATAGGTCAATTCACATATTTTGGTCTTTAGTATCTTCAGTTTCGAGATTTCCCATCCTTTCGCAGACACCCCCACATTTTTTTCGGTAAACGTGAGATGATGGACTGGATACAGAAGATTTATGCTTCTATTTCTTGTGTTATAGTCACTTCGTGGGTTACCGATAAAATTGTCAATATTTTTATATGTTAAAATTAGAATCTCTTGGCAGCTACAGTTAAAATTTTATTACTTTTAAATTTTCCTCTGCAAATCTCTCTAGGGGAAATTTGCATCTCAGCACTCGCTTCTGCACTAGAAAGATCCTATTGGTATGGCTACTATGTCCGAAAAAAATTATTCCAAAACGTGTAATGGACTCAAAATTCGGGTAATATACCATTTTTAGTGTCTTTAGATCTGGGAACTTAGTACTGTAATGCTATAACATGCGTTTTTTAACCTTTTTTTTAGATGTGCCAGATGTTTAGCCCAGGAAAATGCTTGGTCAATATGAACTTCCAAGAATTTCCCACAGTCTGCCTTCTATTCTTTCGGCTAAAGTGATGTTTGTAGCTTCGATTTTTTTTCTTAGCTTAAAGACAATCGCATTTGTTATTGAGGTATTCAGAGATAATCCATTAGGAGCACACAGATCGTTCACAAAAATCAAAAATAGGAGAGGTCCTAAGACGCTACCTTAATAATAATAATAATCTATATTCCAAATTGTACAATGACATTACAAAAATTGTATAGCCACTACAAAATGAAATGTTGCGTCACTGTCACCATAACTATAGTAGTTTACCTGAGACCTTTTTTTTATGTTACATGGTTATTTATCTTAAAACAGCTACTATCTTATACTATTACAACTCCCATAGAACTCATCTATTGTATAAGGCTCTGACTGTACTAGAAATTACTTAATAGTCTTTTTAAATTTATGTAAACTGTTTATGTTTTTAATTTCATTTGGTAGATTGTTAAAAAATTTAAACACATGTAAATAGGGTTTTTTTCTGTGGAGGATAATCTGTGTATTGGATAAGTAACATTGACTGTTCGAGTATCATAAACAGTTTGCACCTCAAGCTCAAATAAATTTTTATTTTTGAAAAAAATACAAGACACTCATACACATAGATGGCATACACAGTCATGATTTTTTCAGTTTTAAACACCCCCCTGCATGTATCATTGAAATTTAGTCCCTTTAGCAGACGTACTGCTCTTTTTTGAACAACAAAATTTTTTTGAATAAACCTATTGCGTCCCCAAAAAATAATCCCATACTTTAGAACACTTTCAAAATTAGCATGGTACAATATTTTCATACTCGTATTATTTAGATATCTTGATATCACCCTAAAACCATAGCAAATGGAATTGAGCCTCTAAATGATAAAAGTATCAAAATGATTGCACTGCTTTAAAGCCCTTTGACCTTTAATAATGTGTGGATGCACCCTGATGTGCTACGCATTCTCCAACGCGCCTAGGCATGCTTCTGATCAGGTGGTCAATGTCCTCATGTGGTATCTCATTCCAGGCAACCACCAACTCCTCTCGAAGTGCTTCTAGAGTCTGAGGAGGACGTTGCAAATTGAGCAATCTCCTACCCATCATATCCCACACGTGCTCAATTGGGGATAAGTCGGGAGATCTTGGTGGCCATGGTAACAATGTGACATCATTATGTTGAAAGAAGTCTATTGTGACTCTTGCAACATGTGGTCGGGCATTATCTTGTTGGAAAGTTGGATCTGCCAGGGTGTCAAGATAGGGTAAAAGATGGGGTTCTAGAACTTCGTGGATATAACGCTGCGCGTTCATGTTACCTCTGATGAAGATTAAAGGTGACCTGGAACCATAAGCTATAGCACCCCAAACCATAACTCCAACAGTGTGATGAACATGTCTTTCAACAAAAAACTGTGGATTCCTCCTTTCACCACGTCGCCTTCTAACCCTGGCACGACCATCGTGCATGCCTAAACAAAATCGAGACTCGTCACTAAAGACAATACTGTTCCATTCCTGATCCCAGAGTGACCGTTGTCTGCACCACTCAAGGCGATTACGTCGGTGTTCTCGAGTTAAAGGGAGGACCCAGTGTGGCCGGTATGAAAACAAGCCAAAACTTCTCATTCGTCGGTAAACACTTCGCATGCCAATAGGTCTTCCGTGTTCTGCAAACCATTCATTTGCAATGGACCTGGTAGTGGAGAAACGGTCCCTTAAGGCCAATAATCTTAGGCGGCGATCTTCACGGTCTGTTGTTCTACGGCGGCGTCCAGTGCCCCTTGCTCTTTGCGTACGGCCTTCTCGAAGCCATGCCTGACAACACCTAACCACAGTGTCTACACTTCTTTGCACTCTAACTGCAATTGCCCGAAAAGAAAGTCCAGCTTCCCGAAGTCCCACTATACGGCCCCTACCAAACTCACTAAGTTGACGACATCGTACAGGTCTCCGTACTCTAGGCATCGTAACCGATCGTAAAGGATGTCAAGAACCAAAATCCGCCAACGTTGATTATATACTGCTGCTGAAATATTCATTTTTAGAGCGTTAGTGAATTAAAAAAAGCAGTATAAAAACCGGAATGTCCAACTGATAAGGCTGAAAAATTTTTCACTTGTTATTTACAGTAAGATAAATACATTCACCAACTTTTATTAAAATAAAACCATTTAAACTGGGTGTTCGGATTTATATGTCACTTAGTATATATTAGTTGTTGCAGATTTTTTGGTTAGACTGGATAAATTTACTTGACTAATTGGATGGGACTGTAGTGGCTATTCTTCTGTTTTCCTTTTTTCAATGTTTAATATTCTTTGATAGCATAAGCAGTTTGGATCTGTGACCGCGTGGTTTGTATCTAGAGATTTTTTAAGCTTCCTGTTTTTATTGACAATATTATAAAATTTAACCCATATAAGGTTCATTTTACTGCAGCACACTCCAGGGAACCTTCCACAGATAACGTTTTTATATCTGACCTTTCCGAGCACTGAACTCCCACCCTCACATAAACTGCACTCCCACCGTGCTTCCCTTCTTTTCTGCAAAAACACGATGCTAACTTGAAGTTCCTAATTCCATAGTTGATAAGTTGGTCTTGAGTCTTCCAGTGTTCAGTGATGCACATGAATTTACAGTCACTATTATTTGCTATCCTCTGGTTTACCTCAGTTATTGAGTTTTCAAGGGACTCGACATTTTGATGGAGTAGAGCTATTCTGTTGTATTCTGCCCCTGGACTAGATTGCGATCTACATAATCCTTTACTTTACTTCCCAGCGGTGCGTGGGAAGTGTTTAGTCAACCTACTTGACGCCATTTTTGGATTGAGAGCAACTATAAAAGCTTTCGCCTGACTGAAAAATTTTAATGGCCTTGTCTGCATGCCGGGTATTTCCCCTGCGTCGGTCCCCGTTGTACGACCCTGTTAATATATATTTAATATACAGTTTATTAATGAGACTACGAAACCAGTTATAAGGTAAAGTGATAAGCAACGTCATTTACAAACGCACGCATATATTCTAATATGATACAGCGTGTCCAGAAAGAATGTCACCACACACAATGCGCTTCAATTTTTCGGATTACTGATTTTTTTCTTGACAATCGCACGGTTCGTTGTTCAAATCAGAGTCAGTTGAGTGGAGAAATCTTCGTGACGCGAGTGAATAACGTTGGTAAACCCAGGAATTCCTCCTTTGTCTCGATATAAAATACTCTGTAATGGTCTTTTGAAAGCTAACGTTTACAATGTTCTTCAAAATATTAGAGTTCAGCGTGTTACTGTGTATAGGACATCTTGTCTATGCGCAAGGTGAGTAAATGAGTTATTTTTTAATGCACTTATTGTTTAAGTGAGTAAACACATGGGATTTGCTTGAATGAACATCAGGAGAAAAAAAAACAAGTATAGAAGGTCGCACACTTCGTAACAAAATTATGCAAAATTGGTGCTAAATTTTATTTAGTTAAATGGTAATTTTTTGAATTGAAGCCATCCTTTTCATTTATGTTCTTAAATTGAAAATAATTATTTTCCACATAAAATATTGCTTTATGGATCTGTTATTGCAATAAGAAATCGAATAGATTAGCAGCAAGTTCTTATAAGACTTGGAATTTTTGACACTACAAAATAATCGAAGCTTGGCTATAATATGTTTTCGGAAATTTTCAAAAGAGTGAGACTGATTGGATTTTAAATCTTAGTTGATTGAATCTCTTCACTGTTGTTCCGACTCAAACTTCCATAATTAGTCATGATCAGTTTGCCTTACTCAAAAGCTGTCCAAGAAAATAGTTTTATTTTACAGAGTGTTTCATAAATATGAGGTATTCATTCATTATTTCGACAATTGTTTTGTCGTTTAACAATTTCCGAAATTTAATTTAGTTGAATGTTAATTTTCCGGAATTGAAATCTACTTCATTCATATTTTCAAATTGGAAAAGGATATTTCCCACCCGAAAATACTCAAAACATTGTTTTGTTGATTTGTTATCGCAATAAGAAATCGAATAGAATAGCAGTGAGTTCTTATGAGAGATGTTTCTTGACTTGGAATCTTTGAACTTACAAATAATTCAAGCTCGACTATAATTATTCGAAAATTTTCAATAGAGTGAAACTAATTGGATTTTAACAACTTAATTGATTGGATCCCTCCACTGTTATTTCAACTCAAACTTTTGTGTGTGTTTCCTAAATGTGAGGCATTAATTGATTATTCCGATAATTCTAAGATTGTTTTGTCCTTTTACAATTTGCGAAAAACAGCTTCGTTTCGAAAAATGTTAAAAACTAATATATCATAGTTTCTTATAGATATATACATTTTGATAAACTTGAATACATATGCGTTTTGTTTTATAACTACACACCTACTGGCGAAAATTTTCGAAATTGTTCGCGATTACAATACTTCCTCGCCAGTATGGTGTGAGGGAACAGCGGCCACAGGGGACCCCCTACGTCACGCAATTGCGGAGTAAACTAATCCAGTCTTATGGTGAGACTTATGTCGTTGCTCTTGATATCATAAAAGCGTTCGATCAGCCATGGCATGCTGCACGTTGCCCTTTTTATGCAAACTTCCATCCTATGGCAAGGTTTGCAGATGGGTGGCTGACTTTCTCTTTGGCCGCAAGATATCCGTCGTATAATTGCCGTGTTCTCTTCTCCAACCCACAAGTCAATGCTGGTGTTCCCAGGGATTGGTCTTGGCTCCGACACTGTGCCTCTTACATATCAACGACCTCCTTTCTTATACGGTCAACCCAATCCACAGCTTTGCTGATGACATCACCCCACATGCAGGAATTCAGAGCGACAAGCCGATCTCGGCCTGTCAGCTAGAAAATAAAAGACTAGCAGCGACTTCCTTTCTGACGAGAGACCTGGAGGCTATCATTACTTGAGGACGCAACAATCTTGTACAGTTCAATGCTTTCAAAATACACCTTGACGAACAAAAAGCGTCCTAGCTCGATGCTGACCAGAGGAGGGCTATCCGACTGATCGATGACTCTTCTCTAACAGTCAGCCTCGGAACCCTTTTTTACCCGCGGCCCGTCGGCGATCTAGCTCTCTTCTACCAGTACACCAACGATGTGCCTGCCAGTCAGATTCTTTTCCCAGTTCTATACTAACCTTAGGCAGCTCAAAAATCGGATCAACAAAATTTCTTTGAAATCCTCTTAGCAGTCGCCTGCGCCGCTGCTTCAGCGGAAAAAACCGAAATTCATTCGTTCGTCCCGTGTTTAGCAAACATCCTGTACGCATTTTTTAGAGATTTGATGTATCTAGCAAAAAAATCATTTCAGTTGGGGACAGATGCTTTTTTCAAGGACGCAACAAAGAAGGTATATGTAAGCTTTTCCATGACTGTCGTAGTGCTGAAGAAGGTGCAAGGAGGGATATTGAGCCGACAGTATGCGGCTACCAGCGCAATACTATCATAGTCTGTTGCGAAGGTACTTACATTTTTTATAAAAAGCTTATACAGGGAAAACCAAATATGTCTGACGGCTTGAGTTTAATGTGTACGAGAAAGAAGCCTGAGAAGTGTGTATCCACACAAGTTAGAACGAGATAGAAGCCAGTTGAAGAACGAAGGTCGTCACCACATTGCTTAGCAACGGTGACGCAGAAGCTCGTGCAATCTGCCGCGTTGCCAATATGTTACACAAAAAAATGCGCTCAGACTTCTACAATAGGTTAGAGGTTACTGTCAAACCCAAGAAGGAGGCATGTTCGAACATTTAATTTAATATTTTGTTTTCATTTTGATTAGAATTATTTATTTCAATTTTGATGCGACTTAGTGTTTTAATTTGTTTTAGAATTATCTTTGATTTCCACCGATGGTGATAAAATCAACACATAGTGAGCCATTGTTACATTTTACGACAGCGCTGCGGTCGGAAAATTTAACAAATAACCTCATGCAATACAAATTAACACTGCCTGCGTGTACGCAGGTGAAAGCCATTTCGAAGAAGGACGACACTCCCGTACAAGCGCTAGATGGGTACTGACCAAAATCGCTCATCTATGGTCATGGAGGTGGAAACCTTGCATTGGAATGTAATGATGCAATGTTGCAGAACTTGTGGAAATCCTAACCTAAAATGGAGCGCCATTACTACCGATTGGGAATCAATCCTTAACAGATTCAACACAATTAAAAAATGTGTACACTTAAAATATAACCATTATTTGGGCATAGAGAATAAAGTAATGCATATTTTCAACATGCATCTTAATTCAAGGAACTGGTGTAACATACTGGCAACGCGGCAGATTGCCGCGTCAGCGTTGTTGGGTAACGCGGTGATGAGCTTCGCTATCCAGGCGGCTTCTATCTCTTTCTAGCATACGTGTGTATACACACTTCTCTCTCGTACACGTTGAACTTCAGCCTTCAGATAAATTTGGTTCTCAGTATATAGAAAAGGAACTGCTCAAACTATAAAAATAAAACAAAAAACAAATTCTCCGTGTTTGTGATGTTAATAAAAGCAATTCAAATACAATAACTATATAATTTGGGCTACTTCTCTTTCCCTCTGAAATAACAAATAATTAGTCAAGAAGCAATATGTGTTCAGAGACTTACGGTCATATATTTTAGATAGCAATCGCAACGAAAATTATAACAATTACCAAAGTCATAACTACAGCCCTCAGACAAACGAGGATCCTTACAGACCGGAAACGTCGGATTTTATATTCCCCGATCAAGAACTACCTATACGAGACAGAGATCCAATCAAAGAAAATACTGGTAGTTCCAGAATCAGCGAACAAAGTGAGTACTACACAAAGGTTTGTATAGGCTATAAATTGACCCCCTCTAACTTTTTTATGTGACCCTTGATTCTGGTAAAATTCGGTTTTTTCTATCTCTCCGAAAGTATTTTGTATATCGAAACTTTCTAAATACGCAACTTTGAGCCCATTACTTACAGTTTTCGAGATCCCAATGGTCAGGGTCAAATTTGAATCAGAAAAAAGGAGGGGACATCATTTTCCCAATAGCACTTCTCAGAAAAAAATCTTGCATGAAAAACTTCATATTAGACCCTATAACTGTTATATAAAACTTTTTTTCTGGGAGGTCGTATCAGAAAGTTATCGGGGGGTCAATTTATAAGCGGACACCCTGTACATATATATAGTGTCCTAGGAATAGAGCATTGAATAAAATTAAGATATACAAGGTGTTATAGAATATTGTCAGCTAAATTTTAGTAAAGACTAAACCTGAATATGTTTGTTTTCCGTATTTCCATGACCAATCGCAGACACCGCCATTTCGTGCTTTTTAGCACTCGTCGGTACGGTACAGGTCTAGTCCTGGAGTCAGGCGGACGCGAAGCAAAAAAGTGGGTATAGATTTTAAAAAAGAATCGGTATTTTGTGCGCTAAAAATATGAAAACATTCATTATAAACATCGGTCCGAAAAGGCTTCGTTTCTATGAGAGCTTTGTACTACACTGATTTTTGCGAAAACAGGTGCCGTTTTGTCAAAGTTATAATGGCACGAATGCTACTCATGTAAGTACTTTTGAAAACAATTACATACAATTTACTGTAACCTTCAATTGTTGAAAATTTACGTTTAACAAAACTCATGTCAACCTGTTTTCAAAAAACGTTAGGGAAATTATCAAATACAGGCAAGTTTATAGAAACGAAGCATTTCCGGAACTATGTTTATACAAACTTTTTTCATTTTCTAGGTAGCTGAATCTGTACTTCAATTTTTTGATAAACGTTTTACAACACCCTGTATATTTGTTTTATTTGTTATTGGAAAGCTCTTGAAGAATAACGATTTATTTCAGAATGTAAAGAATATAACAAGGCTATTGTGGGTGAGGTTCAAGTATTGCCATTAGTTGCAAATCCACAACCAATTAGCATCAAAATCAATAAATGCGATCATAATAGTGTACCACTGATAGTTGGGGGTAAACCAGCACAATCTGGAAAATACCCTTTCATGGTAAGTTTTCAACAAGGCGGAAAGTTCCCAAAACCGAATCTCGAACTCGGAATCTACCCACCTGATTTACCTAGAAAACAAGCTTCCATCTAGGTCATAGACGCGCAACAGTTTTTGGAGATTTTTTAGACAAAGTAGGATTCTTGCCAGTATTTCGAAGACGAAGCATTTCCGGACTGAATGTGCCCCGGATCCGGTTTCAGCGACCCAAAAAATGTGTCATACAAATATATTCATATTTGATATTCCTGCTTCGGTTTCAGCGACCCAAATAAAGTCCTCCTGTTTCGGTTTCAAAATGGTTGGGCTCACGTTTCCGACCGACCCATTTTTCGCCTTTTTTGTTGTAATATAGTAACTAAAACTTAAAATGGTTTGAATGCTTCAATGGTTCAAGTTGTACGTATTTTGGGTCAATCCGAAGTCGTTTCAGATGTATCGTTAATCATGTAGATCTAATTATTTAGCGAAAAGTTGCAACATTTTTTGCTTCTTCAAGGTGCTAAAAATACATTTTCATTATCGGCGACTATATGTGAGCGAAGCTTTGTACAATAAGGTGATTTGGGGCGCTGAATATTACTATCATTGTGGAGAAATTCTAAAGTATCACTGGACCAAGTTTGGGGTGAAAAATTGATAAAAAACTAGTTATTCGGGGCTACTCGTGGATCCTAGCACTGAATTGATATCGAATTCGGAATCTACGCACCAAATTTATTTAGAAAACGAGCTTCCACCTAGATTATAGACGCGCAACAGTTTTTGGAGGTCTTTTATTAGTCATTTTTTGACAAAGTAGAATTCTTACCAGTATCTCAGAAACAAGCCATTTCCGGACTGAATGGGCCGCGGATTTGGTTCCAGCGACTCAAAAAACGTATTACATGAATGTTTGGGCTCAGTTCCAGACTGATCCATTTTTTGCGTTTTTTTTCTAAGAATAATTGGTAACTAAAAATTAAAATGCTTTAAATGCGGTTCAAATGACGTCTGTTGTACGGATTTTCAGTCGCTTAAACCGAATCCGAAGTCGTTTCGCATGTATTTGATCCATTTTATTTGACTCGACAATTTTCTTTGAAACCTGAAGGCGTAGGAAGTATAGAATCGATCTACTTGACGCCATTTTTTCTATGTCACTTTGCCTTCGGCTGCCGAGAATAACGACTACATATTGAAAACATGTGCCCCGCTGACGGCTACACAGCGTCAGCCACACGCCACGATTGCACGTGGCAGGTACTTGCAGCATGTGTAGCACTCTCAAGGTCTAAAGACAAAGACTGAAAATAGGTAATTTTTTTTGTGAAATATATGATGGGCTTGCTACTAAACCGGGAGTATGCCTGATTAAAGGTATTTCACAAATTATAAATAGCTCTATTTCTTGTTTCCATATTTTACGATATTTCAAAATTAGTATTCATTGAGTGTGGTGTATCATGATGTGTTATTCTATTATAATAGTCATGTGGTTTACCTTCTGTTGTTTCAAAGAAATCAATAAGATCGGTATTTATATGGTAATATGAATTTTATTCTGTCATCATTCTCTAATTCTGATTTATTGTGTCACGCCCTATTAAGCAGGATTTTAAATGAGTCATGCACATAATTCCCATATTTTTAATAAGCTGTTCATATGAAATGAATTAAACTTATCAAACAATTATTTTTCATACTATGTATGTATTAGGTATGTATTATATTTTTTAGGCGGCTCTTGGATTCAACACAGATGAAAAATGGCTGTGCGGAGGAACACTGATCAGTCACAGGTTCATCTTAACAGCAGCACACTGCACATCTAGCCGTAGGTAAAATGAAAATACCAGTTTAAAAAAATAGTTACATCTGCATGCTTTTGTAGAAGTAATTGCAACAAGTGTGAATACCTATACTGGCTTTCCGCCTATTCTATGCGGAATGGTCTTAAGAATCATCATTTCTTAAGATTAGCTTCAGGCTAGAAGCCACAGCCACTGACTTGATTTTGGTGTCATTATTTTTTTACTATACACTCGATCTTTTTTCTACGCCCTTTTGGGCGATACAGCAAATGATTTCCCTTCAAAATTTTCATAATTTTTCAAAATACAAGGGTTGTTTCAAAAATAAGGTTCCCACATTTTCAGAAAGGCACAAGGATTTTTTTATTTGGAAATACGAATTTACCATTGGAAACGCTGATCTTCAAGCTGTGTTTCTACAGAGTCGGCATTTTTTACACAGTTTTTTAGACGCGGAATCCACTTATTTACTCCTGCCTCAAGGAAGTCCGCTACCAGCCCTCTTGGAAACTTGGTTACTGCTTATTGCAACTCCTCTTCCGTCTCGAACCGTTGACCACCTAGGTGCTCCTTCAATTTCGGACACGCTATGTTAGGGCTGTCAGGGAGATGGGCAATGACTTCCCAGCCAAATCGTTCGATTAAGTCCTTCGTTTGTTGTGAGATATGAGGATGCGCATTGTTGTGGTGCAGTTTTACGGTGGCGGGAGAGCCGACAAACACGTTACAGCGTTGGGATCCCCTTATTTTTGAAACAGCTCTCGTACATTGCTCAAAATAATACTTAGCTTGCTGTAAAAAATCGTATTTTTTCCTTAGCTGACATCCACGTCGACACATACGAGATTCAATGAGTATTCCCGCTCCAGACAACACGATCACTATAACAGTATTCACATTATGTTGAAATAAAAGCAATAATCAAATATATCCACCGTTCTCGTTTACACCGTTATTTATCTATCCACTAATATTTAAGTCGATCCTTCCGTTTCCGAAAGAGGCAATTTCCACAGTGACGGGCAACATTTGAAAAAAAATAATGTTCGAAAGACGAATGTCATGGATGCTTCTTTTGTTTAAAAATGAAGATGGCTAACCACAGTTGATTGTTTTTGCGTTTTTATGGTTTTGAAAAAACACGATCACTATAACAGTATTCACATTATTTCGAAATAAAAGCAACAATCAAATCTATTCACCGTTCTCGTTTACACCGTTATTTATCTATACACTAATATTTATTTCGATCCTTGTTATCGTATTAACCAAATACCTACTAACATCAAGATGATATGCACAGAAGTACAATGACATTTCCGGAAGAGGCAATTTTCACAGTGACGGGCAAAATTAAAAAAATAATAATTTTAGAAAGACGAATGTCATGGATGCTTCTTTTGTTTGAAAATGAAGATGACTAGCCACAGTGGATTGTTTTTACTTTTTCATGTTTATCACTATAACAGTATAACACTTTATCTCGAAATAAAAGCAATAATCAAATCTATAAACCGTTCTCGTTTACACCGTTATTTATCTATACACTAATATTTAAGTCGATCCTTTTTATCATATTAACCAAATACCTACTAACATCAAAATGATATTCACAGCAGTACAATGATATTTCCGAAAGACGCAATTTCCACAGTGACGGACAACATTTGAAAAAAAAAATAATGTTCGAAAGACGAATGACATGGATGCTTCTTTTGTTTTAAAGTGAAGATGACTAGCCACAGTTGATTGTTTTTACTTTTTTTTGGTTTTGAAAAAACACGATCACTATAACAGTTTTCACATTATCTCGAATTAAAAACAACAATCAAATCTATCCACCGTTATTTATCTATACACTAATATTTATTACAACCCTTTTTATCATATTAACCAATCAAAATCATATTCACAGCAGTACAAAGAGGCAATTTCCACAGTGTCGGGCAACATTTTAAAAAAAATAATTTTAGTCAGGCGAATGTCATGGATGCTTCTTTTGTTTGAAAATGAAGATGACTAGCCACAGTTGATTGTTGTTACTTTTTTATGTTCACTATTACAGTATTCACTTTATCTCGAAATGAAAGCATTAGTCAAATCTATAAACCGTTCTCGTTTACACCGTTATTTATCTATACACTAATATTTAAGTCGATCCTTTTTACCATATTAACCAAATACCTACTTACATCAAAATGATATTCACAGCAGTACAATGATATTTCCGAAAGAGGCAATTTCCACAGTGACGGGCAACATTTGAAAAAAAATGTTAGAAAGACGAATATAATGGACGCTTCTTTTGTTTGAAAATGAAAATGACTAGCCACAGTTGATTGTTGTTACTTTTTTATATTTTTGGAAAAACACGATCACTATAACAGTATTCACATTATCTCGAAATAAAAGCATTAATCAAATCTATAAACCGTTCTCGTTTACACCGTTATTTATCTATACACTAATATTTAAGTCGATCCTTTTTTACCATATTAACCAAATACCTACTTACATCAAAATTATATTCACAGCAGTACAATAATATTTCCGAAAGAGGCAATTTCCACAGTGACGGGCAACATTTGAAAAAAAATGTTAGAAAGACGAATGTAATGGACGCTTCTTTTGTTTGAAAATGATGATGACCAGCCACAATTGATTGTTTTTACTTTTTAATGTTTTAGAAAAAAGTACCTCTATGAATTTATTAACACGCTGTATATTTTTGATGGGTTGCAGTGGATCGCCGGTGGTGGTTAGACTGGGAGCACTATATCTGTCCCAGGAGACTAGTACTTCCGAAGACTACAGAGTCGCAGATATAATCGTTCATCCGAATTATCGATATCCAGAAAAATATAATGATATCGCTCTAATCAGAGTAGAGAGGGACATCAAGTTTACCAAATATGTGCGCCCAGCTTGTCTATATACCAAGGATCATATTAGCCAAAAAGCGGCTATAGCTACTGGGTAAGTCAAAGCTTATACGGAGTGTTCGAGTAACATCTAAAACTTATTAAGTGGTTCGGACTACCGTTGTACCAAAGAATACAAACTTGCCAGTGAAAAGCCACTCGTGAAAAATCCTCCTCAGTGAACATGATGACGCCAAAATGTCATCATTATTCGGTCACTCTTGGTCGGAAACGTCATTGGCTTAGAAATGACTTATTTATTGACGCCATTTTTATGACGATAACAAGACGTCCTTTAAAAGGCTGTTATTTTCACGTCTCTTTTATGAGTCAGGGCTGAAAAATCAACACTTACCTACAAAAACAAAAACTTTCAATGAAAGGTAAGGTAAACTAGATATCCAAATACTAATAACTAATTTATTGCTATTTATAAAAACAGGGATTCTTCGACCAAAAATATCCTGTTAATATGACTTTTCTATAATAATATTCCATGTACAGATATTTCAAATTGCCATTTTACATCATGTTTTATTCCCGTAAATAACAAATTTATTAGAAACTCTGTATAACATTAAAAAAATTTACCAGAATATTTGTAATCAAGCGCGGCAAAAATTCATATTTTGGAACGGCATTCCGGCGTCTTTTTACTACTTCTGAACTCACTGCTTGTGGGACACCATTGTCACATCCTCAATTTTTGGGATCATTAGGATACACAGCGTGATTATTTATAACCTCAGATACAGGTCATATCACGACATATCGACTTTGTATTTGTTTTTTATATGACATATTATGATGTCATATAATGACGTCAATAGGGTGTGACATTAGACCGTCATAATGACGTCATTTCTACGTCACTTTTGTTGGTCGGCGTACGTCAGTAGTGTACCAAAAATGCCGACATTATGACGATACTGTTTGCACTGAGATTTGATATTCTGACTTCTAAAGATGCCCACATTTTTCTAAGAACTCGGATTCTTTTTTAGGTGCCTCACCTGAAGAGGTCCCGCACTTTTTTATTGCTTCAAAAAATGTATTGTAATCGCATTGAGTAATTGTATTTATACAGGGTGATCAATGTCAGTATTGGTTTTATGGAATGGGCAATGGATGGCAAAAACAATTTTTTGACAAGGGGTAAAAAGGCGGATTATTTTAAAAAAAAAAATTTAGCGTTCTCCAAAATTGTTTGTATTGTATGGATGATCTTCTTTCGTATAAGCTGACCTAGGAAATTGACAATTGTTGGTTTAAATAATTTATTTTATAGATGGGGAAGAATCGATTATGCTGGTGAAACCAGCGACCGATTGCTGGAGGTTAATTTGAACATCTACGATAATAGCTTATGTCAAAAAGCCTACCGCAATAACAATGGCTTAGCAAACGGAATTACGTCAACCATGATATGTGCAGGAGAATTGAAAGGTGGAAAAGACACCTGTCAGGTATGTTATCATTCATTAGCAGATCAAGGGCGTACCCAGAAGGGGGCAAGGGGGGACAGCTGCGCCCCCCCTTTTCCCTAGCTTGGACTAAATTAAATAGAGGAAACATTTTTACAAAAATTAAATTATTCATGTTCAGGATTCTCCACAACCGGAATCTAAATCTGTTAGATGAGGAATTAGCAGGATTAGTTGAAATCTATGGTAGATATAAACTCAATTTTGCTAAAAGCACTAAATATGTTACGTGTGTTTGGAACTCGGGAAAGGGTAAAGAGAATGCCATACGCTCAGTTTTATTGTGGTCCGATTTCTACGTAAAATTATGCATCAATAATTACTGATATCTAGGCTACACGATCCATAAATGTCACATCTCTTGATAAATATATTGATGGATCACAGTGAATACTGATCTTGTGACATTCGTCTAAACGTCGCGGGGTATTTTATGGAGGCAAAGTTGCACAGACAACTAAAGAATGAACTTGGACAGTTTGGAAATTCAAATCATTTCCGAATTTATTCTAAGTCGTGTTTAGTCTTTAGTCCGAAACGAAACTTTTTAAACATCCACATTTTCTACAAATCTCAAACAAGTTACACAATAACATTATCACTTTTCCTCTTCTAAATGGTGGCCTAATTAAAATTTAGTTCTGACTTTTCAATTCTCAGTTTTTTAAAATTATACCGTTTTTTATGTCTTAATTATTTATAGAATGCATACTTTTGTATCAATGCGTAACATGTTATCATCTTTGATATTCTATGAAATAAATGACTATATGATAATTTCAAAGTTGTTCGCCTATGCAAAAATGGCATAGATGAGACAAATCAAAGTTCAGACGGGGGATAAGAGACGAAAAATGATATTAATGTTCTGTTTATGCCACTTTGCAGGGATCAAAAAGTGGCAATGTTAATAAAATAATAAATTCAGAAAAAAATAGAAACGATTCTGGGAAAATCGTTCCCTTTTCCGTGTACCTCCAGAGATACTCGAAGCATCAAAACTTTTCAAATGGATGTTCTTAAATATATAAATACGCAACTTTGCCACCATTCAACCGACCCACATCTCTTACTGTTTCGGAGATCACAATGGTGAAAATATGACAAGTTTGTTTTTCAAATCATTCTAGAACAAACTAGGTACAACATCCTTCTACATAAGCTATAAAACTATTTTTAGCATTCCGTGCTATATCAAAACTTATTCCTTTGAAAGTGGCATATCAGAAAATATACTAACAGATGTACGGTGTCCCATTAAAAAAGTCGTTGTCATTTCGGTATGAATCACCCTGCAGGGAACCGTATAGTCGACAATTTTTGTAAATAACATTTTTATTCTGTTTTACAGTAGTTTGCATTTTTGATTGTGTTCAAAATCATCAGAAATGGAAAAAAAGATAAAGTCAAGTTTGGGGGAGTTACAGATTTTTTGGTCATAATACTGGTACCATTAAACAGGCCTTTCAAAATTTCTTAAAAGCCTGTGGTACTTTCCAAGTTATAGAAGAACCAATAATTATGTTAGTTTTTTTGACGGTTTCTCTATCGTAACAGGACCGATAAACAAAAACTTCAAGTATTTTTCTGACTGTAATAGAGGGCCAAGGAATACCTGACGAACGCGACAAAAATGTACCTACATGTTATTTCTGGAAATTATTCTTCCATTTCAAGTTTTTTCGCGATTACAATACTTTCCTGGTCTATTAACGCCCAAAAAATAGGTATATAAAATTTGCAGTATATTTGTCATATATTATCTCAAACGTTGCTTTCAAGTATTGCAATTCAGCATAGTATTTTGGTTTCACTGTTCGAAATCTGACGAGGTGTTTATATGCCAGAAAATAATTTTAAGAGCAGCATTAAAATTATCCCAGATGACATCTTGTAGATAGTACTTCAAAAAGTTGAAAATATTAACATTACCATACAAATACATACTGTTATTACAATAATATGATCACTAGAAACTGTAACAATCTAAACCAGGTTATATAAGCAAAGCCCATACTATAACGGTGTAAAAATTCTTAATGCTTTGCCAGTACATATAAAAGACTGCACCAGTACATATGGCTTCAAAAAATATTGAAAGTTTATTTAATAGAAAAAGCGTTTTATTTACTGAATGAATATTCTAATTGTCCATAGTTTTTTTTGATGTAATGTTTTTTTGTGTACGTGTGGCAATAATGCTTTTAAATGCGAGATTGTACCATCAAAGTGTTTATTTCTTCTCATTTTGGCGTTGTCTATGTTTACCACTGTGAACCTTATGACAATAAATTATTATTATTTAAAAAAGAATTAGATTGAATGTTCCAAAAAAGTCATAGTACAGGGTCCGGCAATGAAACGGGAAGATTTGGGGTGGGGCTTGCAGCGGGCGGTGAAGTGGTAGGGAGGACAGTCACAGACCTGTCGGGACCCGAGTGGCTGGAGCGTTGGACGGGTGAGCATCGCGGTTACGCAATTAAGGCTTATTACCAAAATGGCGAGAGTTTAGTGCAAACGCGTCGAGATTTTAGACGGCATTTTAACATACCGCGTAACCAACCGGTTCCGTCAGACCATGCGATTCGAATGTGGCTAAACAACCTCGAGCAAACTGGATCGACGTCTAGAGAAAGAGGTGGTAGTGCCAGAACGATTCGAACCCCTGAAAATATTCAACGTGTTCGACAAGCCATTTTAAGAAGTCCACGACGATCGGCCATCCGTCACGCCACACGCCTTCGATTAAGTGACAGATCGGTGAGAAGGATTCTCCATCAAGATCTTCGATATCACCCGTTTAAAATACAGGTTGTTCAATCTCTTCACCCGGATGATTATCAACAGCGTCTCAGATTTTGTGAGGTTATGCTTGCAAGGCTGGAAGAAATTGATGACCAGGTTAACAACTTGTGGATGAGCGATGAGGCACATATTCACCTCTCCGGTTTTGTTAACAGACAAAATTTTAGATACTGGGCGGAGGCTAACCCTCGTATGCTTCATGAATCACCTCTTCATGCTCAGAAAGTGACAGTATGGTGTGCAACGTCTGCAAATGGAATCATCGGTCCGTATTTTTTTGAGGATGAGGCTGAAAATGCCGTTACCGTTAATTCTGAGAGATAAGTTTCAATGATTCGGAACTTCCTCACACCTGAACTCTACCGCTTTCCAGTTAATGAACACACACTTTTTCAACAAGACGGTGCAACAAGCCACACTGCAAGAATTTCGATGAATGCGGTGAATGCTTTGTTCCCAGGGCGTGTCGTTTCTCGAAACGGGGATATTGCTTGGCCCCCTCGGTCTCCCGACCTTACTGTCTGCGACTCCTTTTTATGGGGTTATCTGAAAATGAAACTGATCCACCCAGGACAATCCCGGCCCTCAAACAACGAATTCGTGACGAGATTGCAGCAATACCTGTTGATATGCTGCGAAGAGTTATGCAGAACTTCCAGGCTCGACTCCATGAATGCATACGTGTCAACGGAGGCCATTTGACAGATATAATTTTCAAAAAATAATGTTTTTTAACATTGTATATCAAATGGCTACTCTTTTATTTCCCAGTATGGTATTACTAATTACAAAAAAAATATTTTTTCGATAATAAAATTATTTACGAAATCTTCCCGTTTCATTGCCGAACCCTGTAGTTTTCCATATCCATATGAATTGTCAAATCGTTGTGGAAGACTCTATATAAATGTATTAAACAATAAAATGCAAATAGAAAGAAAAATATCAAGTATAGCTAAGTAGATATGATTTGTGGAACTTCCATCAATTTTTTTTGTGAAGTGCCCCCCTTCCGTTTTGAGCTGGGCAAGCCCCTACTTCGAGGGAGCAAAGAGACTTTAGCCCTGCTATAAGATATATCATTTTTAGGGAGATTCTGGGGGACCCCTAGTGGTGTCCGACAAAGAAAACCAGTGCCAATTCTACGTAGTTGGTGTGACGTCTTTCGGGAAATCTTGTGGCCAAGTCAATACACCTGCCGTGTATACCAGGGTCTCAAAATATGTCTCATGGATTGAGAAACATGTTTGGAATAATGCGTAAAGAACTATTCACATTTACGTATCGTGCAACAAAAATGAACTTATCTAGATTGACGTTTTGCTTTTTTCACTTCAAGTGTAAATCATTAATAAATCGCTATCAATCATCACAGTTCTACATGAAACAAATTTATGTATAAGCCGTTTATTGCACTTATTATGTGACTGACATTCCATGTAAGACAGTATATAATTTGTATTTTTATAATAAATAATATATATAGTTGGTCGTGTTTTTGCTGTCTGCCGCGTACTGACCTATTGACCCCCAACTTTACAACACAGTCACAGACTTTGGTAGTATTCGAATACTCTTCGAATCCCACTCAGAATACATTTGATTGGTGTTCGAATACATTCGTGTGTTTGGTATTCGATTGAATACTTTTCTTGTCAGCAATCGGTATTCTGAATACCGCTTTAAATTTATTTTAATTAACACTAATTTTTTTTTGGTACGCGGGAGCCCCTGGTGGGCACTGGTAAAACTCTATACTATATCTTTTCAAATGAAAATTGTGATAATGTTTCGATATGATGGTAAGGTAACAGAGGATAGCAGAATAAAAAACATTAACTATGCCAATGTATATCTCTAAAAATCTAACAAATACATTATGCATTTGGACTCGTTAATCATTCGAAAACTTATAGTAACACCAAAAGTGGCATAAACATTAAAACATTAGAGTGGTAAATACTGATTCAACTTAAGATAATTTACGTGATGCATTTTAATATAATACTTCCGTAAAATATTGCTTGTGAAATTCATGAAAAACCAACACTAAATGTAAGAACAAACCAAAAAAGATAATACAGCTATCAGCAAAAAAAAAATAGCCCACTCACCAGTGATAAAAATGTGTACATTTCATGATCAAAATCAAAAGATGTAAGAAATAGCTAATAGCTTGTTTCATGACGATGTTTGCAATGTTAATTTACACTTTGAAGTCACTGGTCTATAGTATCCTATGTATGTATAGGTAGCCTCATGGTTATGATTTGGGATCAACTATACATGAAGGTATCACATGAGAAACGTAAGTATTACAGTCTGGCAAAACATCGAACGCCACTTGGCTTTGAAAACGCACAAACTTTGCCCATACAAAAACACGCCGCGTTAGCAGTGACGTACGCTTCTCTCTTCTGTTTTGGTATCCGAGTATATGTGATTATTACTTGCGTAGATGGCAATCAAACCCACACTGGGAGACTTCGTATTCACCAAGCGTTATTAAGGTGCATACAAAAAGTAGCAAACGACTAAATTTTCAGAACTTAGTCGTTTATTTCCAAAAAGATCATGGTCTATGAGCAGATCTTGAAATCCTTGTGGCTCTGTGGTTGTCAACATGTCAACTATGTGGCAGTTGTTAGAACCGCAAAGTTCTGATGATATAGGGCGTTTTACACTTGACATCAGTAATGCGTAGTACAAAAGAAGATTGCATCTGAAACTTTTCAGCTGCTAGACAACCGCAACGCTGTCCGACAATTAAACAAAGAAGCCGTATGAAGTTTTGCACATAGCGGAGCATATGATCAAATCATTTATACAGGGTACCTGAAAAGTTCCGGAACCCCACGATAATTTGTGAACTAATAACGGTAGGAAAAACGAAGTTCCGCAATTAATACGAGTTTTCCCCAGCTATCCAGTAGTGACTTTGACTAAGGTCATTTGAAGGTCAGGTCGATTTTTTAAAGGAACCTCCCACTTTTGACCCCGTAGATAAAAAGATCGTAAAATTTGACGTGCAAATATGGTCTTTACCATTAAATTTTGACCTTAAGGGGCCATGGCCAATGTCAAACCTAGGTACTGTAATATACCATGGAATCCAGGAGCTGTATAGGAAAATTACCAGGATATTATTTTCTCGATTTCTCCGGATATCTAATGGTGACCTTGGATCAGACCTTGGCCATGACTCTCAAGGTCATTTGAAGGTCAACCGTTATCCTTCAAGGACAAATTTTATTTGAAAATATGTCCTTGACCATTTTTGGAACATGACCTTGGAATTGACCGTCAAGGTCAAGTTTACTTTGATTTCTTGATAATTCAGAGAACTGTGTAATCCAAGATAAACTGACTTTACTGCTCTTCCGGGATTGTTCCCTGGCTACAAAAATAGACTTGACCTTGCCACAATCTTAAAGGTCATCATGGTTGAGGTCAGATCCAAGGTCACCATCGGATATCTGGGGGAAAATGATGAAAATAATTTCTCGGTAGTTTCCCTATACGACTACTGGTTTTATATTACCATACCAGGGTTTGACCTTGGCCATGACGTCCCAAGGTCAAAATTTAAGAACAGTCAAGACCATACTTTGACGTTAAATTTTCCACTCTTTTCGGGGTCAAAGATGAAGGGTTCCACTTAAAAAAATCGACTTGACCTTCAATGTAATGTTTAAGGTCAAATCCAAAGTCACCATTAAATAGCTGGGGATAAATGCTATCAATCACGCGATTAAGATTATTTTTTCACAAATTATCGTTGGGTTCCGGAACGTTTCAATATATCAGAATATTAATGTTACCTGAACAACATGGATGGATTGCCTTTGGTGATATGAATTGGTTTTCTATTATTGGCATTCTAGGATAAGTACAGGGGCTGATGAAAGTGAAATTCCACTATGTATAGTTGATCATATAGGTGAGTTCCAATGAGAATAGTATTATATAAATAAGGCAGCTACATATTCGTTTAGGCTGTTCCAATTCCTATTGCAATGCCAGCTACAAAAGAAACTATGAAAATATGCACTTCTTTTAGTTTGACATTTCCATCTTCGTCTCCTAAGACTTTGGAACACCACGATTTTGCTTTGCGTTGACCTCTCTTGACAGTGCGCTCAGCCTTATCGATCGTCCTATCAACATATTTCTCTGCCTGTAAAATATTTCTGATAAGGAAATAGTATTTGTCAAACCGGTGTTGCATTTTTCAAGTTCAATATGGGTTATTTGCAATTTTACTCTTCTGACCAGTATCATTGATTAACGCATTCCACCAGAAAATATCCAGTTCAACCGAAGACCCGACAACAGGATTATACAGGGTGTCCCAATATTCTGTGAACATAGAAGTACCACATACTTTTAGACTCAAAATTCGTCCACAAAATGTTGGGACACCTAGTTTACCATGAGAGATTCTGAGAATATGAAATCTTAGAAATTATTGGGAGGTTTAAGAGTATTTTTTTCATTGGAGGTTGATATCATGTTATTATAAGCAATATTCTTTGAAAGGAAAATTGAGTCTGCTTTCAATACTTATAAGGAAATTATACATTACTTGGCAATATGGCTGTGGTGATGAAAATTCTACGTGAACGTCCAAATACAGACAAGGTTCGTATATTATATTCATAGAGGATATGTTAATCAATGTCTGCTTCCTGATATTTATATTTGACAAGTTTAACCTCAACTCACATTTTATATCCAGTGCTTTTTTAAATTCTGTTTTAACCAATTCAAGCAAAAAATAAATATTATTGTTTTATTAAAACACTCGCACAAACACACATTTATCTATTTATAGGCTGAAATGTAGTTGAGCATTTACAAATATTCCAATAAATGAGAACAAAGGTCAAATTTATTAATCAAATATTATTACAACACAATACTAAGCTAAAATTCTATATTTGTTCGGTATTTAGCATATCTTGCTTCTAATGGGATGCTAAGCCAATCAAAAAACCACCGACAAAACCACTTGAAAACGGGGTATTATTTCGAGCAAAGTTCAATACCTAAAAGTAGTTTAATGTCAATATATTGTTCTTACTATTCATGCAATGTGTAACAAAATTCATAATCCAATTTTTATGTAATTTCCACTCAATTTCAAATAAATATAAGATAAAAAAGAAAAACCTGCCACCATATATATTATATAGCTTAGTTTGTTTTTTTCACCACATGTACTATTCTGTATCTTTGTAGTTAACAAAGATAAAGTAAAATGGTACTGCTAAGACCCAAAATGTAGGAGATCATAAGATTGAACAACGATCTACAGTGCAGTGGGAAAAAATATTGGGTTTGCAATTTTATTAAGTACTGCATTTTTTGGATTATAAAATATCTTAAACCCTATTTAGAATGTTACAGCTACATTTCTGCTATCTATTCCACAACTTGAGACATTGTTAAAAATTTGTGATTGCTGGAATTTTGAACCAACTTAAAACACAGTAAGTATTTGATTAGCCTCAAGTTGTAAAATATCAAATTTCCATAAGAAGACTACCAACATATGAGCATGCACAGTTAATTCCAAAAATTTATGAGGTGATATTGAGCAATGGCTGCAAATTCACTATGAATGTACAACCCAAATACATAAGAAAATATTGGCAATGTATGCCAAAACATCTAAATAATGTTAGTAATGTATGCATATAACTAGAACCACCAAACAGATCATTATCAAAGCAACTACTATACTAAAATCTGATTTCTATAACTTACTTTGTCTGCCCAGCTTGCTTTCTGACCAGTCACTTTCTCTTCAACTTTATCAGCAACTTTATCGAGATTCTTGTTGACTTTATCCCAATTTATTTTTATGTATCCTTTCTCATTAGCAATTTGTAGTAGAATTATACCTCCACCCAAAGCTAATGCTGCAGTTTTACCAACTCTCATTGCCAAAAAACCAGTGACCCTACAAAAATAAAGCAATCCAATAATTAAAACGACCACAAAATGTTGTTGGGCTGAATAGTTTTCTGAGTCCCCTTGTAGGTCTTTGCACCAAATTGAAATTGGAATAGGAATGTACACAAATGATTCACTCAGGAAGCAAGATTTCATAGATTCTCTGGAAAATTTCATTTTAATTCTCCATTGTCACACATGAATGAAAATTGGTACACCCAAGTAATTTAGAACACAATTAAGTGGTTCAAATGGGTCATCTGGGACAATAGATATTTATATAAAATTGGAATATACACAATCAATTTACACAGGAAATGAGATCAAAAATTTGCAACAATTTTAAAAAATAATGTTGGAGTTTAGATCTACTCTGTGTTCAGTCTATGGGTAAATGGAGTCAGTCTAATTGGGTGCCCCCCAAATGCTCAGAAATAAATCAAAGTGAAAATGTCTTCTAAAGTAAGCCCCTGGATTTCACTTTATACTGGGGACCCCTCAGCGACAGGCCTTTGCACAGATTTAAGACTGGTTTGACAGTCCTGCAAAATTTTCAATTTTTCTCCCCTGCAGTCTTGTTGTTCAGAGGAGCCTTAAAAAGGAGCTAATTCTATCAAATATTTTATGACAAGCCTTTAGGCAAGGTGCATGTGAAACAATACGGATTCTATTCTGATACTAGTTCAAAGACAAATGATGAATAGGTCAATCATGCTAGAAAGGTGCAACAGTTTTGACATACCATCCTGAGGAAGACCCCAAAATAATTTGTTTTGTGGCGGATGTCTTGCTGATGTCCCCAAGAACTTTTTTAACGACAGATTTTGCCTCTTTTTCAACATCGTCCATCGTAACAATATCTTTATTTGTTCTTTCTTTAGCTGATTTCGTAGCTTTATCCACTGACGGCATAATCACATGCAAGGCACTAAAAATAAATATAAACAGTTCAATTTTATAAATAAGGTGTGTCAGTGAAGTCGAATTACTGCTATTCGCAATACTTGCCAATAAGTTTATTTTCGTATGTGATGCACAAATCGGTAATTTTTATTTTTATCAGCCAACAGGCCGAAGAAAATACTGCGAAGCTTATAAAAACAAAATACGTTTTACAGCTGACAAAAACTGTCACCGTCAATTGAGTAGATGATGTAGGCAATCCATTATACAGAATAGGGTATTGCTGGTTGCCGATGCATACCACTAAAATAAGTTCTACTCACGCAAGAATATTGGATTTCCCGTTTCATTATAATCGTTTATCGATTAAAATCACCTTAATACTTATCAGCGTATCATTAGAAATAGCTCCGACTTATTTTTGATCATTCAGTTAATTTACTGAAGCCGTAATGAAAAACATGAGTTACTAGGTTCTTTTCTACTGTGCCTATCAATTTTGAGAATTCTCATCAGGCATTAGAGGTCATCATTTAATTAGTGCTGAACTGGCAAAATGTTAACAATAACATTAGGTGAGTAACTCTTTAATTTAATCATTATATTAGGAATCAATGAGGGAAACGATTCAATCGGATTTACAGTAATACAATTCTTTACTAATATATCTCGTTTAGCTTTTTGAAATTCCTCTGAGAATGCGATAATTTATGCTAGTAGGTACCTAGCAGAAAATGCTAGTGATTATTAATACCTTGTAAACACATCATCGGTGTTTATGTAAAATAGATATATTTACAAACAGATTTAATATGCCGCTAGTATGTTATAGCATAATAAGTCGCAATATAGTTTTCCTTCCAATTTTATTTTCCATTTTTGGGGAGACATGGATTATTTTTGCAATTTCTGCACACGCCCAAAAAAAGTAGTAGGTTTAGTGAATTCATATAAAAATGAAAACGTCGCACGTGTTCATCTGTCAGTGCGCGATGCATATTGCGGTAAATCAAACAGGAATTTTGCAGCAGCTCCTTTTCCCCTGTTTTCATAGTTAAATTATTGTTAACAGAAGTACATTCAAATTGCGGGAAAAATTATTTACCCTGATGTTTCTCAAGAACCTACCCAGTAAAAATAGTGACGTCATAATGTTAGCGTTTTTAGGGCATTACTGACGTAGGCCGACAAACAAAAATGATGTAGAAATGACGGTCATTATTTGACGTCATAGTATGTCGTATAAAAGACCAAATACAAAGCGGATATGACGTGACCATGACGTCTATGTGACGTCGATATGACGTACAGTCGCTCTCAAAAATACTCGTGCGGTGTATTCAAATGCTTCTGAAAAATTGAGGATTTGACAACGACGCCCCATAAGCAGTGAGTTCAGGAGTAGTAGAAATGGTAAAGAACTAAAAAACACTCAACACTTTCCAGTCCTCCGATGGTTCACAATGTACCTTGAAGACGACGAAGCCATCGTGATGTCGATTAAACCCATCGATTTATGAAACAAAATGGCCGAACCATTGAAAAACTGCGAACACGCATGGAGCTTGCGCTTCATTTTTAGGGCATTACTGACGTATGCCGATCAACAAAAATTAAGTAGAAATGACGGTCATGATATGACGTGATAGTATGTCGTATAAAAGACCAAATACAAAGTGGATATGACGTATGTGTGACGTGGATATGACGTCTATCTGAGGTCGATATGAAGTCTATGTGACGTTGATATAACGTACAGTCGCTCGCAAAAATAATCGTGCCGTGTATCTGGATGCTCCTGAAAAATCGAGGATTTGACAACGACGCCTCACAAGCACCACTCTTGTAGCGCTCTCACACCGAGACGTCGTTATTGTCACCTCCGCAATTTTTCATGAGCAATTGTACAAAGTTGATCGAAATGGTTAATAAAGAACTAAAAAACACTCAACACGTTCCAGTCCTCCGATGGTTCACAATATGCCTTGAAGATGACGAAGCCATCGTGATGTCCATCAAACCCACAGATTCATGAAACAAAATGGCCGTACCATTGACAAACGGCGAACACGCATGAAGCTTGGTCATCGGTCAAGCTCACCGTCAAGCACAGTCGTGCTTCTTCGCTGATGATCGGTTGAATGAATTACCGTTCCAAAACTTGAATTTTTACCGAGCTTGATCACAAATATTTTAGTAAAACTTGTTTATTGTCATACAGAGAAGCTTAAATTTATTATTTACAGGGGAAAAAACGTGATGTAACATGGCAATTTGAAATATCTGAACATGGAATATTATCATTAGAAAAGTCATATTGAAAAGATATACTAAGTGACATATAAATCCGAACACCCAGTTTAAATGGTTTTATTTTAAAAAAAGTTGGTAAATGTATTTATCTTACTGTAAATAACAAGAGAAAAAATTTTCAGCCTTATCAGTTGGACATTCCGGTTTTTATACTGCTTTTTTTTAATTCACTAACGCTCTAAAAATGAATATTTCAGCCGCAGTAAAGAATCAACGTTGGCGGATTTTGGTTCTTGACATCCTTTACGATCGGTTACGATGCCTAGAGTACGGAGACCTGTACGATTTCGTCAACTTAGTGAGTTTGATAGGGGCCGTATAGTGGGACTTCGGGAAGCTGGACTTTCTTTTCGGGCAATTGCAGTTAGAGTGCAAAGAAGTGTAGACACTGTCATTGCTAATGAATGGTTTGCAGAACACGGAAGACCTATTGGCATGCGAAGTGTTTACCGACGAATGAGAAGTTTTGGCTTGTTTCCATACCGGCCACACTGGGTCCTCCCTTTAACTCGAGAACACCGACGTAATCGCCTTGAGTGGTGCAGACAACGGTCACTCTGGGATCAGGAATGGAACAGTATTGTCTTTAGTGACGAGTCTCGATTTTGTTTAGGCATGCACTATGGTCGTGCCAGGGTTAGAAGGCGACGTGGTGAAAGGAGGAATCCACAGTTTTTGGTGGAAAAAAAAGTTCATCACACCGTTGGAGTTATGGTTTGGGGTGCTATAGCTTATGGTTCCAGGTCACCTTTAATCTTCATCAGAGGTAACATGAACGCGCAGTGTTATATCCACGAAGTTCTAGAACCCCATCTTTTACCCTATCTTGACACCCTGGCAGATGCAACTTTCCAACAAGATAATGCCCGACCACATGTTGCAAGAGTCACAATAGACTTCTTTCAACATAATGATGTCACATTGTTACCATGGCCACCAAGATCTCCCGACTTATCCCCAATTGAGCACGTGTGGGATATGATGGGTAGGAGATTGCTCAATTTGCAACGTCCTCCTCAGATTCTAGAAGCACTTCGAGAGGAGTTGGTGGTTGCCTGGAATGAGATTCCACAGGAGGACATTGACCACTTGATCAGAAGCATGCCTAGGTGCGTTGGAGAATGCGTAGCACATCAGGGTGCATCCACACATTATTAAAGGTCAAAGGGCTTTAAAGCAGTGCAATCATTTTGAAATTTTTATCATTTACTTATTATGCTTCATTAAGTACTTATACAAAATTTTATTAAAATAAAACCATTTAAACTGGGTTTTCGGATTTAGTATATTTTTGGTAGTAATAGCTATTAGTATTTGGATATCTAGTTTACCTTACAATTTATTAAAAGTCAATATTTTAAGTGTTGATTTTTAACCGACTGTCCTAAAAAAGATGTCAAAATGACAGCCTTTCAAAAGACGTGTTCATAAGAATAGAGTCATAAAGACGTCATTTTTTAGTCAATGACCTTTTCGACCAAAAGTGACCGAATAATGACGGAATTTTGGCGTCGTCATGTTCACTGGGTGACCAGAGCCTTGGATTTCTAAATTTGATTTATGCATTTAGGTATCATGCCAAACTGAAATATTTTATTTTACTTTGAAGCCATATTTTCCTGCATAATCTCCATAGACGCGCAAACTTCAAAATTTGCACCATATCCCATATATGAGGAAGTATATTATCCAAGTTTCAACTTTTCTGATGCATTTGACTGGAGCCTTTTTAAGGTAAATACGTCGTAGGTTATGGAATGCGACCATTAATTTGATAAATGTTTTTTTTTGTTTTACAGACTTATGCATTCGCAAATCATAGCAACATATTAGTTTCTCCCATCAGTCTGAAAACAGTATTAGCTCTGTTATATCAAGGTACCGGGTCTGGTACGCAAAGAGAATTCGAGCAGGTTCTGCATTTTTCGAATAAAGATTCCGTACGGGAATTGTATAGAGGGATGCTAGATTCTTTACAGGTGATCAAGTTTACTATAGAAAGCTTACACATACAGTAATATGATATATACATCGAACCTAAAACATCGATGATTAGACATCGATGGTTGCATCTCGATGTATCGACATCGAAGCGACCAATAACATCGGTGTACCTTAACCTTATTTACCGAAATACCAAAAAGTCCTCATTTTCCCCGATTTTTCCAGAGTTTTTACCGAAAAAGAGTTGGAACAATAAAATAAAATAGGTACTTACTATTTGGTCCCAGAAAGGTCCAGTTCCGCGAAGAGAGATTCGCCCCAAGTGATCCCGGGGCAGGAATAATCACACGTGTCAGCCCATCTAGTTTTTATAAACCGATACAACTCCCACCGGCGGCGAATAATACACCTTTGCAAATAATGCAACATTTGCCGATAATGTGCACATTTCTCAGCGGATGTGGTTTAGGAAATCTATCGACCTATATGGCACCCATGTGGCGCTCTAAGGCGCTACAAGGTGGTCACACTTTTCTCCTGACGAAGTTATGTATGACCTTGATCTTCACAATTCCTCCACATTCTGGGGATCCATAATATTGGAGTCCAGTATGGTGCCGCCTCAACTTATTATGTCCACACAAACAGTCCCACCAGAAACCGTATGTTATCTCTGTCAAGAGATAAGCAAGAACGTCCAGCTCTAGTGCTAGGCCGTAAGATGAGCTTCAGTGCCTGGCGGAGGTGTTTAGAAATACTTCTCCCTTTCAGAGAGATAAACTAGGGACAAAGAAGCGGTCGTAAAGGCTAGCTGCTCTGGATGTACGATTAGGATGGGGGGCCGAAGTTAGGCGGGTCTGTCTAACAGGCACATTACGCGGCGACACCATGGAGGAGAAGTCAGAAGAACAAAGCCCGTTGGTGTAGCGGTAGAGGAAAGCTAGATCGCTGACGGCGCGTCAGAGCGAAAAGGTCCCGAGACTGTCTGTCAGAGAATAATCATCGATCAGTCGCACAGATGGGTCGGCAGCACCCCAAAAATGTGAGCAGTAGTCGAAGTAGTCTTATCTCGGCTTTGTACAGAGTGAGGAGATCATGTAGAAAAAGAACTTCTTAGCCCTAAACAAATAGCCTAACTGTTTGTCAGCAGTTGCCGCTATTGACAAGATGTGTTCGTGCCACATCAAGCCCTCGCTAATCTGGACTCCATCTAGCCGAAACGAACGGCCATGTGGTAGAACTCGGTCATCCATCGAAACCGGATGAGCCCTAGGACGCTTCTTGTTAGTCAAAGTACAGTATTGTTTTGGAAGCATTAAACTGTACAAGATTGCTGCGTCCCGAAGCAGTAATAACCTCCAAGACTGGCTATGTCTTACTGTTTTATTATAGATTCGAAGTAGAAAGTGTTGCGATCATGCGCTCGTATAAAATTATTTTACGAGGGTAGTCTCAAAAATAAGGCTCCTACATATTTTTCACGCACTTTTTTTTGTTAAAAAACCGAATTTATCATTAGAAACGTTGATCTTTAAGTTATTTTCCTACGTAGTTGCTATTTTTTCTACGCATTTTTTTCGAAGTGGAATCCACTTTTTCACTAGCGCCTCAAGGAAGTCCGCCGCCAGCCGGAGATTGATGGCCTCCCGCTTCGTTGTTCATTGTGGACATCCATGTGGCCGTCAGATCACACTCTTCACCATTTGAGGACATGTTGAATGCTTATACACGTTTCCCCATCGACTTCACTCAAGTGGCGATGAATTTCTATGAGTGATAACCTTTTTGCGTTCAAAAACCGGATGATCGCACGAATTTCGGACAGCGATGAAGGGGCTCCCTTGCGCATGGCTGTCAGGCCGGTACTGAGCGCCGTCAGTAGGCGCCTCTTGTGGGGATCGGTAGTGGGGGAGCCGAAAAACACGACAGTGTTGCCAGATTTCACCTAACATCACGCGGGGCTAAGTTACAGCGTTGAGAACCATACTTTTGAAACAACCCTCGTAAAGTGGATGAATTTTGGACAAAAATGCCAAAACTGCAAGCTTTAGTCTTTCAAAAAGAAATCGAGTACTAGAACAAAAAGGACACATTTGATGAAAGGTTAAAATACATTTATTCTAAAATATTTAAATGCAAAAATTGCATAGATGCAATCAACCTTAAACATAAGTTATTTTAAGGCACCGTAGATCCCGATCCTTTCCATTTTCGTGCCCGATACTTTTTTGACAACTATTCTTTCAGAATCCAGATCTAAGAAGACAACAGACACTTGTAGTGACCACGTCTATTTTCCTAGATCAACATTTCAAAATAAAACCCTCGTACGACAATATTGCGAGAAGATACTTTAAAACTGATTTGATAACAGCAAACTTCTCTAACCAACAAGAGACAAGTAGGCTTATCAACAATTGGGTCGATTTTTATACAAATAAGCGAATACGAAAGATAGTAGACGCAGGTAAGCAAGTTTGACCAGATTTTTTACTATCTGATGAATGTCCAGCTATTCCGCTGGATATGCGTCCTTTCAAACTCCGTTGTGCCAAACATTTTGTCCCCGATGGCAGTGCAGCCTCTTGGGCGTATTGTACCTCGCTCCTCAAATTCACAGTACCCAATCCAGCGGTCTAGTGTTCTGTACCAGTTGGTACTGCTCTTAACTCCCTTGGTTCTAGTTTTGGTTTCCTGAAGAGTTGTGGTTTGTGATCCAGTGTCTCGCACTCAAATAAGACACGTGGGGCTGATTTCCTTCCTTATACACGTTGTCTGCAGCCCAGTTGTCCATCATACAGCAATATTTTGCGCGGGTGTTCTTTCAGGCCATTGGATTCTATTAGAAAGCCTGTAACTACACGGTTACAGCCGTTTGAATGTTTTGGACTGCCCCAAAATGAGTTCCCTTGAGGTGATTTATAAACTTCGGGAAGAGAAAAAAGTTACAAGGACTGAAGTCAGGCGAATCAGGAGGCTGAGGAGCCACAAGAATGTTTTTACTGTCCAAAAACTCGTTTATTGAAATAGCTGTGTGACAAGGAACATTATCGTAATGCAGCACCCAGTTGTTCTTGATATTTGGTCTCACACGGATGGCCCTTTTTGGAAGTTTTTCAAGAACCTCCCGCTAAAGTGTTGATTGACCGTTTGGCCTTGAGGTAGAAACCCTTTGTGGACGATTCCGTGGATATCGAAAAAGTAAATCACAAATCAGTATGCATTTCAACTTCGAATTTGTCTTTATTGCTTTTTTGGGTCTTGAAGATTGAGATTGAAGTGTGCCACTCCGTGCTCTGGCGCATGGTTTCTGGGTCATATTCAAACACCCAGGGTATCCTGGTATCCTGTTGGTCTTGCGAAGGGTTTTTTGGAATCATTTGTGTGCAGATTTTTCGCATCCCCAATTATCTGCTCAATATATGATGATGGGGTGTGAGTCAAATTTAACTCTTCTCCGATCATTCTGACTGTCAACCGACGATCTGAAAGCACAGCATCTCGGATTCTGTCGATATTTTCATCGATTCTTGAAGATAAAGGCCTTCCACTTCGTGGTTCATCTTCAATCGACTGCCTCCCTGCTGAAAATGTCTTAAACCACCGAATGACCTGGGCTCTTGACAAAATACCCGTAGGCCTGCTAAAGCTTAACAAGAGTTTCAATCTCATTGTGCCGAAGTAACCCTGATAACGCACCGTTGCTCGAAATTGATGTCTCTCATTTTTAGAACACAACAGGAAAAACTGTTTCACAAAAAAAATTGCAACGAACAACCAAATGACTCGAGCGACTGCAAGCTTGTACTGAAGGTGGATCACATGTTCCCCTGCCTCCCCCAAACCCGGAGCCTCCAATGTTGCCAGATCGAACGCTACGTTGCCAGTCTCATTACTAAATTTAAGGACCTTGCATACCTGCACTGTTCTCTGCTCAGTTTTTGAGCCGTCTTTGGTGTTACGTTCGATCTCCTGTTTTGGTCTCAAAGTTCTTTTTGAATTCAAGTCTGGAAACTATGTGGTCTTTCGTCGCGTCCAGTAGATCGCTTCCTACGTGTTTCCTTATTTGATGTTCCTTTGGCTATGACTGTAGTCTAGAGTAGACCATTCTCGCCTCCTCATTATTCCAAATTTTATCGGTGAGAGGTCCAGCATGGTCTCAAGTGCTGCAGTTGGAGCGTTCTTCATTGCAGCTGTTATCGACAGGCAAGCAAGTGTTTGTGCCTTGCTTAATTCTGCAATGGCAGAGCGTTGTCTCATCTTTGGCCACCACACCAGAGATGCGTACGCAGGGCCGTCTTAAGCCATGCGGGGGCACTTTGCCCACACCAGCTTGGGGCCCCAAAAAAATCGAAGACATGCGTACTTCTAATAAAACATATTTATTGAATTACAAATTGCCTTACAACAATATTATGAGCTTTTTCCGTGATTTCATTTGGGCAAAATCTTCAATGATGTCGTCAAACTCCAGTTGCTGCAAAATGTCACTCTTAGACATAAGGGACAAACTGGTGAGGCATTCTTGTGACATGGACTTTCTTGATTAATTTTTTGTCCTCTTCAACTTTGCAGTTAGTGACCATTAGACACAGGACAATTCTTGTTGCAATGTCCACGTGTGGGAATCTTCCCTCCAGTTTGTCCCTTCTCAAGAGGCTATGCAAGGCCGGAATACTTTCAGCTGATTCATTTTTCAAGGTCAGCAGATAATGTCCCAAATGTGAACATTCTGATGTCAGTTCTAGCTTAAATAATATATTATGTGGATGTGGCTGGCTATCTATGCATACCTGCATCAGTACAGTTGGAGTTATAGCGACTAGATGGCACTGTTATCGACTACTTTTGTGAATAATAAGTGTAGAAGTGTGTAATGGCTAGATGGCGCAACATATTGCATATAAGCATTTGGCTTTTGAGGGCCGCCCATCATGGCGGGGTCCTGGGCCCGGGCCCCGCAAGCCTTTGTGTTAAGACGGCCCTGTGCATACGTTATCATGGGTCTTACCACCATTATGTACGTCCAGTGTATCATGGAAGGGTTTAAGCCCCATGTTTTGACCCTTAGATACGGCATATTTGGACGTTGCAAGATGTCTCGACCTCTGCCCGGTACATGAAATAGTAAATGCATGACTTTCATTAGAAATAACATCTCTATCAAATCCTTTCCTTTGCTTCACGACACTTTGTATGTATACAGGGTGACCCAACGAAAAGGTCACACCCCTATTCGTGACCCTCCTGGTACATTTTGGGAAAATCGCTCGGACACAATTTTGATTTCTGGAGGAATGTCTTTTCATCTGTAGCCGTACAATACAGGGTGATCCAAACATAAGATATTGCTTTACACGTTATATTTTTAAATGGAAGCCCTCTATTTTTATTTTCAGATCTCCATGAAGTTTTTAGTAACTTTTGTATAATAAAGTTTATACACTTCAATCATTGTGAAGCTATTTGAGTGTATGATAAAATTCTAGAAATTGAGACAATAAGGGATTATCTCGTAAAAATAATAATCAATGTAGTCCCCATAGTAACAAGACTTTAAATGTAAAAACAAGTCTCCGAGTATTAAAAAAACAAAAAACACGTACATTAAAAGTTCAAGTAAAAATTAATTTACTATAAAGAGGTAGGTCAATGTGTTTCTGGCGATACGTTGCTAACCACATATTATGGATATTTTCACTCAAGAATGTCATATGCACTTTTGAACTGAGGTCACTCTGTGCATATGCCTAAGGTATTTGCACTCCAAATGCGTTGCATCAGAGTCGTCCTAGGTCTGAGTTATATGCAGCCATGTAGGGAGGCATTCATCAACCTAGGGATCCTTACTCTTCCATCTCGATATATATTTATCTGATTATGTTATGTACACAACAATTTAGATCTCTATACGCACAGTGATGTACATAGTTACAAAACACGTAACATGCATAAGGTAGATATTCCTAAACAGCGTCTGCAAAGAACTAGAAACGGTTCTAACTACTACGGAATCCACTTCTATAATGTTCTTCCTGCGGCACACAGAATGTCTGGCACCGTCTCATTTAGGAACGGAATTAAAGCGTACCTTATCCGGAAAGCGTTTTACAACTTCGAAGAATTTTTAAGTAATAACTTTTCGGATCTCTAATCTTGGTGCTGCTGTATACTTTATCTGAAGTCACGTGAAATAGCATAAAAACCTTTGGTCGGCGCGTCCTTTGTAATTTCATGACGTATCATAGGCGTGCGGTCATTTATTTAGAACGATAATAATAATGTTTTTATATCACAATAAATGGATTTTACTATCTTCTTATTTTTTTGATTTGGGATAAAAAATACTTATATTGGGAGTTTAATTTATGTTGACTGAAAGTTAAGAAATGGAAAAATTACAGAATTCCAACGTTTGACATAGGCAAATGTTTACATAGCAGGTAGGTATATAAAAAGGTATATAAAGACTTACATTATAGGTATTTATATATCATCCTCGCCTTCGGAGCTGTCGCTAGAGTCATCTTGTAGAGGAATTACAACGGGATTTACAGGAGGCAAAACACAATATTCATTTTCTTTTTCAATAATATGCCTAGAACACTGCTTCCATAGGTCTGTGGCAGCAATATGAGATACTGCATCTCTTATTGTGGCCAATAGCGATTCACTTAATTGAGGGGTCTGATTATGTTTTCTTACTTTTTTTTCAAAGCAGCCCAGACCAACTCAATCGGGTTAAAAATGCAGTAATAGGGAGGTAGACGTAATACTTCATGGCCATTTTGCTGAAGCAGATTGTCAACAACATACTCTTTTTCAAATGTTTGTCTTTTAATAAGAACCAATAATATGGCTTTGGTTGATTTTTGTGGTATTTCCATTCCATTATCCTTCATAAAATCAATAATGTCTTGTTTTTTTGTGCCTGTATTCGGAATTTTGTTTTTCTGTCGGGAATGGTATGGCGCATTGTCCATAATAATCACTGAATTTGGGGAAATGTTTGGTATTAACTGCTGCTCTATCCACTTTTCAAATAAGTCGGAGGTCATGTCCTCATGATAGTCGGCACATGATTCTTTGATATTTTTGGCAGATAACAGCAAGGCATTAGGTATAAATCCATTTTCACTGCCAGCATGGAGAATAATGATTCGTTTTCCACGGTTGCATGGTGCATTTAAAATGCACTTGTTGCTGTCGTCAACCCAGCCGTACTGCACAACATCATGGGTATCATACCACGTTTCATCCAGGTAAATCAGATTTCTTTTCTGCTCTCTATAGATTTTAACTTTGTGCAAAAATTCTTGGCGCAATTCAACGATTCGAGACGACTCCATAATCACCATTCTTTTATCTAATTTTTTGTATTGAAAACCACACAGTTTTACAATACAGTGCAGTGAGTCTAAGCATTTGTAATTATAAAAATCTTCAGGATAATCTTTTAATTTATCTCGTATCATTTCCAACGTAGGCACCAAATTTTCTTTATAAAATCCGTATATTATACGACGAATATCTTCCTGAAAACCCACGTCTATTCTTTTTAATTTTTGCCCTATGCGCTTTCTGTGGAAGGAATGGTTGACTACATCTCCCCTTTTTATAACCCGATAAATGGTAGACCGACTGATTTTTGTCAGGATACAAATTCTGTTTAAAATTTGATTTTGCGAGGAATCAGGATTTTCGTTTTTCAGACAATCATACATATTTAGGATTACTCTTTGGGTCTGTTCCTCTAAATCTTTATGAAAGAATTCTGCCTGTACAGGTTCATCAACCATCTCCTCGTGGCTTGGAGCATTTTCCCAAGGTCTCCAAAGAGCTATATTTAGGACACACAAGAACAATCAACACAACAATTAAATCAACAAGTAAACTGAGTATTCAATAGTCAAAAACACACAAACTAATAAAATCTATGAAAAAACACGGACAGACTAAAGAAAACACGTTTATTCACCGCTACACGGCACTGGCTAAACTGTTTCAATTTTCAGTAGCCACCTGCACTTGTTCGGAGCTCTGAAATACACGCTTTCTCATTGGCTATGTCCACGCATAGGCGTGCTTTACTCCACGTGGACCGGTGAAACTGCCTTTGATCTTATACGGGGGATATTTGCTGCGAAATTTGGCGGTTTTTGCAGCAACAGAGCGTGTTAAATATAGATACTTATATAAAACGCACCCTGTATTTCACAGCGTTTCAAGTGACTTCAGATAAAGTATACTCTGTTTGTTAATTTGTTCGGATGTGCTTGTTCTATAGTTTTGTATTTATTTTAAATTTTAAATTCATAATATCTTTTTACAGTTTTTCTGTTAGTGTTGTTTTTTTCAATTTTCTGTTCATGTTGTTCTTTTGAACAAATTTTATTGTTTTGGAATTTTACACATTCGTATTTTAAATTTGACTTTGACCTGTGTAAGCACCCAAGTGTGTTTAGCATCAATACATAAATGAAATGAAATAATAAGTGCTGAATTTGGTGTCCATTTACCTCCATGCAATAATAAAGATTTTGTTCGAATGTATTTCTCACATTTTCAAACATGTCTTGAGTTATTTGCCTACATTCAGCCGTAATCCGCTGACAATCTTGAATGGAATCTGGCTTGAGTACTAAAAACTTTACTTTTCAAATGCCCCCAAGGAAAGTAATCTAAAGGACTTGGGTCCGGAGATCTCGGCGGCCACACGATAAAGCCTCGTCTGCCGATCCACTGATTTGGGAAATGGGTGTCCAAAAACTGTCGTACTGGACGCACATAGTGTCATTTTCTATTATTTCGGTAATTTGTAGCTCTATTGTATTTTCTAACATGTCCGTCCAGTTTCCAGGAATAAATAAAGGTCCTACAATATGGTTTCCGAAAATGGCGGCCCACATATTTATTTTCTCAGGATATTGCGGGTGTATCTATCGAAACAAATGTGGATTCGAGTCACCCCAATATCGACAATTATGTCTATTTACAGCATCATGTAAATAGAACGTACACTCATCCGAGAAAAAATATTAAATAACAAATTTGCATTGTTGATTAAACGTTGGGACATTAATTCGCAAACCTCCAACCTTCTATCAAAATCGTCTTCATTACGAGTGAAATTTATTGTCTTCAAAATTCTTTGAACTGTTGAGCGTGTAAATCCTGAAGTAGCCAGTCCACGAGTGCTTCGGGTGTTTCAAAACTGCTATTTCTCCAGCTTCATTTCTAACTTGTCGATTTTCTCGATATCAACTAATAGATACGAATTCAGATTATTAAAATTTTCTTGTCAACTTAGCCAGATGCTTTTATCGTTAATATGTTTCGATTTTCTTGAATTGAATAAGGCATTGTATTTATCACAACTAGGTAGGTAACTTAACAATTTAAAAGGAAGACAAAGTTTTTCTATGACATACGATGAAATCAAAATTGCCGCGTCGGAGCGTTTTTCGCAAAATATACCATGAGAGTCACAAATGGGGGTGCGACCCTTTCGTTGGGCCACCCTGTATAGCTTTTAATATTTGTTGAATTTTTAGATGATCTCAAAAATAGCTTAATGTTCATAGCGAACATCATCTTTTTCAAAGGGGCATGGTTACATCCATTCCCAAGAAACAAGACTTATTTAGGAACATTTTATCATTCAAATAGTTATAATAACGTAGGAGATATCAAGCAGTTACGAGTACCATTCATGAGAACTAAAAATGTTTTCTATCATGGATGGTCTAAAGAACTCGACTGTCAGATACTGAGGTTGCCATACAAGGTAAGTTGATATAGGTCTTGCTCACATATCTTAGAGCTAATAATGTATCTTTTCTATCTAAAATTATACGAATATGATGAATGCGGTCAAAATACTCATTAAAGCTTTAATTAAAATTGAATAAGTCATTTCAATAATTATAATTATAATAAAATGTTTAGAATCGCAACAATAAGGCGAAGTTAAATATACAGTAGAACCCCGATTATCCGAAATAATGTGCACCCAAGCGCTTTCGGATAATCGAAATTTCGGATAAAACGGATTTAAATATTTAGACTCAAAATGCTTTTATTGAAAAAAGTAATTGCGTGTGTTAAGTGAGTATATACCTATATAAAATTACGTAAAATATAAACATGTGGATACAAACATACATATTTACGAGTATTTAGTAACAAAGGAAGTAATTTTTAACTGTACACGTTTTGCATTGTTCCTATTTTTGGCAGCAATATCCCTCCAATGTTTGATAAGTAGCAAATCAGCTGCTGTCGCATTTTCTTGTTCGACGTAAGTCAACGCCTTTTGTAGGAATTCTAATCCCTTAGAATGTGATATTTTGGCAGAGATTTCTGTCCCATCGACATTGTTACAAACACTTTTTATTAGTCCTGTATCACTTAATTCTTCCACCAATTCATCACCCTTAATCCACTCACCAACATCTGCTTGGGTAAGATATTCACACCCTGCTATTTTATTTATTCTCATAATCTGCGCAAGGTTCCATTTCTTGATTAATTACGTATTGTCGACCAAGATTTTTGTACAATTTTTTACATTCTTCTGCTATCCAACATTCTTGATGTTAATCTCCCAAACAATCAACGAGGTTACAACCATGATCAACTTGATATTAAATTTGCTCTAATAACAAATGTTTGTAATTGCGTTTTGAATTTTCTAAAACTCCTTGATCCATTGGCGTCAGTGACGTTACATAAGGAGGCAAAAACATCACTCGTATTTCTCCACTTTCATGATGCTCCTCACTTGGGTGGCTCGGAGCATTGTCTAATAGCAAAATACTGGACTTAAACCATACTGCTTCATTAATTCTTTAAAATGTTCTCCATATGATAATGCAGCGGACTTATCGGCAGATAACTTTTCTCCGCAAACTTTTAATTCTCGTATACCGAGTCGTTTTTTCAATCTATGCAGCCAACCATCACTGGCTGTAAAGTTATCAGGCGCCTCAATAACTGGCATTTTTTCACTTAAGTTGACTGCCTTTTGCTTTAGAACAGGTCCGGAAATTAGTATTCCACGTTCTCGATTCTGTGTAAACCACAGATATAAAGCATCATCCACTTTTTGATATTCTCCCTTTTTCATAGTTTTCCGTGATGGCTGCGATGATGTCAGAACATTAGACCACTTTTCAATTTCCTGGCATAATTTTTTCCATTCTGAAATGGTACTCACGCCCACACTTAAATCACTTGCCACATTTTTAAGCAAATTATCTCCATCTAAACGTCTGAGTGCCTCAATAACAACGCGTTTTCGTTTATTTCTATGCTGATCCATCTTAGCGATTATGAACCTGACTGAAACAAACATACACGCACACATACCACTGAATTCCGCAAACGCGCTTGGGGAATCACCGGCAGCAAATCTAATGACGCAAACGCCGACTACCGGCGTCTATTTCGGATCATGCGCCGATTTCCCGAACAACTTCGGTTAAAACGGAGGAATTATTGTATGCGATCTGTTTCGGATAATCGGGGTTCCACTGTAAAATGAGGAAGAGTAACGCAGAACGTTCGTTTTACCAGAACGTCAAGTAGATTTATCTCAATGAAACATTTTTATTTTAGGATGGACTCTATTCGATGTTTGTACTGTTACCAAACACGCTTGGAGGCTTATCTCAATTGATAAGGTCCCTCACCCTGAGCAGTGTGAGTCAGTTGAGATACACTTTAGAAAAGAAAGTAGTCGACGTTAGCTTACCGAAGTTCAAAGTGAAGTTTAAAACTGGGCTGGCACAAATACTTAAAGATGTGAGACATTTGAGATTTACAAAAAAATAAAAATATATACAGGATGTTGATGACGTGCTTGGCCAAACTTAGAAAAGTTCATATAAACGTTAGCTCCAGTAGTGTTTCGTTTTCAAGTTACATAGAAGGTAGAAGGGTTGTCTCAAAAATCAGATCCCAACGTTGTATCTTTGCCGTGCGTGATGCTAGGCGAAATCTGGCAACACCGTCGTGTTTGTCGGCTCCCCCACCACCGATCCCAACAAGAAGCGCCTACTTGCAATGCTCAGTACCGGCCCTACAGCCATGCGCAATGGAGTCCTTAATCGCCGTTACCGGTAAGTCCGAAATGCGTGCGGTCATCCGATTTTTGTGGCTGAAATGCCTGAGGCTTCTGGAAAAACTGAGACAAGCAATCCAAAATCATCGTGGGGGAAAACTCACCAAAGCGTAAGACTGCACCACAACGATGCGCATCCTCATGTCTCGCAACAAACGAAGGACTTAATCAAGCAATTTGGCTGGGAGGTCACTGCCCATCCCCCTGACAGCCCCTACATAGCGTTTCCGAAGTTGCAAGAGCACCTAGGCGGTCTAATGTTCGATGTCACGTCTAAAAAAATGCGAAAAACGTTTCCAATTTTAAATTCATTTTTTCCAATAAAAAATTCCTTGTGTGTGAAAAAATGTTGGAACACTATTTTTGAGACAACCCTCGTATCACACTCTAATTGAAGATTCGTTTTTTACTTTCCACGCCTACTGGCGGGGAGGTATTGTAATCGCGAAAATTTTTGATTCTGAGGTAGTATGTTTTTTGGATGTTATATGACATGTACATCACGAAAAACAATTTCATTCATTTACTTCGGTCTGTCTGTCGGTCTGTCCGCTAATCTTATAGCCGCCAGACTGAGTCGAATAAAAATAATGCGTTAATAAAACCCCGACCACTCAAAGAGAAAAATCTAACAGATTCAAGTCCGGCTATCTGGATGCGCAGTGGTGTTCGTGGTTTCAAGAATCACTTTTCTTAAATTAGGGTATTTTCGGTGATACCTGTGTACTGGATTGCGACACATTGCCTAAATGGTTATTACGATTTATTCTTCATCGATATGTTTATATGAACTTCCCTTTTGCTTGGAGTTTGGCCATGCACCTTATTAATACTCTTTTTTTTAAGTATGGAGTTCATATTTTTTTCTAAACATCGATACGTTTTCCAGTATGGTCTTAAAGAAATGTTCGGAAATACCGCTAATTTTAGCGGTATTAGTGGAGATCACATTTCAGGGACACAACTATTAGTATCTGATATTGTACAAACTTCTGGTATAGAAGTTGATGAAGAAGGAACTGTGGCTTATACTGTAACAGGTAATGATTTTTTCGAGAAAGCGACTTCTGATTTTTGAATGATTTTTTGTGTTTTTCACTCAAGACGTGAGTATTGGGAATAAATTCGGAGAAAGCGTGGAAAGATTCAATGCTACGCATCCGTTTATGTTTTTCATCGAGGGACCTAGTGGGACTGTACTATTTATTGGTAAATTGGACGATCCTATGCCAGAAGTCCTCCCTTTGAGTACCCACCAAGCCTACTTTGATGGTGAGTGAAATATATATGAGCATGTAATATTTTTAACTTTCTGACGACGTATTCAACTCTCGTATTTTTCTGGGGATGAAAAAATTATAGCCTCAAAGTATTTCCAATGATAAATTGAATGTAAGAAAATGCGTCACATTTTTTGGAGAAAAGTACTTCTTAGCCCTAAACAAATAGCATAGCTGCCGCTATTGACGAGATGTATTCGTGCAAGATCAAGTCCTCGGTGATCTGGACTCCGACCAGCCGAAATGAACGGCTCTTTGTCAGAACTCGGCTATCCATCGAAACCGGATGAGCGCAAGGACGCTTTTTGTTTGTCAAGGTACAGTACTGTGTTTTGGAAGTATTTAACTCTACAATTTGTTGCGTGCGTCCCCAAACAGTGATAACCTCCAGGTCTCTCCTCAGAGAGGAAGTCGCTGCTAGTCTTCATGAATTCCTGCATGAAGAGTGGTGTCATCATCAGCAAAGCTGTGTATTCGATTGATCGTACATGAAAGGAGGCCGTGGTGTCTCGGGGGCAAGGCCGGTCCCTGGAGAACACTCACGTTGACGTTGAGAGTTGAAGAGGAGAACCCGTCAATTACGGTGGATACCTTGCCACCAGAAACTTTTATATCGTGCTGGTCTTTGGCATTGCGTATATTTGTTTCTGGATTCGACGTCAGCTTGTCTGTTCTCTAAAATGGGGTTTTGTGGGAAGGTTCTGTGTGCCTTGATCTTCTGCTGATGACCAGTGTCGCACAATTTATTGAACCAGCGGTTGGACCCTGTTTTAGACACTTTCACTGTATGAGGGATGTATTCATCCATTCCAAAGGGGATAATTTTGGTTATCGATGAAGAGACAACCGGCGCAGTTACGTCAGCGTAACAAACATCTGTCCAAGGAAACGTGAAGACGTCTCTGACACCCTCCCAGTGGTCATGTCCGTAATGCCAAATTTAGCGGCCTGGGCGAGTTGCTTCTGCCACAGCGGGTTCTGTCCGAAACCTAACCTCCACAACACCATGGTCTGAATTACCCAGGGGCGACAGAACGGCAGTGCTGTAAGGGACAGGATGCGTGGTCAAAAAGAGATCCAGCAGGCAAGTGACATGTGACCAAACGCGGAGAAAAAAAGTAGGGCTCGTCACCAACTTGGTTAACCCTTAGGTAATAGCAAACGCTTTTCTGCACTACCTGCTGCGTCGGTCTTATTTGAGCTCACAAAAAGTTACGATGGTTAAATATGCCGTCAGCTCTTATGGTAAGAGGTATTCTGCGATAAGTATGTTTTAATCACAACTTTTGATGGACATATAATCACAATGGTGTTCCAAGCAATTTGAGTGAATTTGTCTAAAAATAACATCTAGTAAAAGAAGCGATGAACAGTATAATTGTTGGGAATCCCAAGGTGAACGTTACGCTCAGTTCCACCAAACACTGGCGTATCCCTATGATATTTCCAACAATATTTATTTCTGCGAATAATTTTATCACTACGTCTCTCCAAATCTAAAACTATAAACTAAAAAATACCGAACGGTTTCAAACAACTATGACGGAAATTCGTTACCGCGAAAGAATAAATTGCAAAGCTTTCCATATTAATGGTCAAAATATGTGAACCACCGCCTATGAATTGAAATTCTAGTTTTTATTGTAACCTCATGTATAGTCTTCAGTCTGCTTCAGTGCATTTGCGAGAGATGTGACAAGCTTTAAGACATTGTGAATGTTGTGGTGTTAGAATGTTACTGTTTTTGTTATTTAGTGTGACAGGTGATTTATTTTTTCATAGGATCTAAACGTATTCTGTGTATACAGGGCTTTCCAATGATGCAATGGAATAAAACAAACTGTGAATGAGGTATTAACGAAATTATGTTTTATTTGTAATGCCGATGTATGACATTTTGTATCAATATGACATCGGTCAACCAACCGTTGGGGCTTCGCACAGTGGAACGGAGAGGTCCAATTTGTACGATGACCTTCGATGGATTTTAACATATTGGCATTTCACGTGAAGTGAGCAACGAAAAAAAAAGTAAGGTTTTGAAATTCGTTCATATTGGGCCTGTTTGAACATCTAGTAGGTGTGAAAGAGAAAGCGCGAAAGGAAGCCGTATTTGAAAGTGGGATTTTTTCGAAGAACTCGGCCGAACTGAATGGTACTTTATTGGGATATGAAATATAGCGTTTTATATAGTAGATTTTCTATAACTTTTGATGAAAAACTGAATTTGAAAATCAAAAAAACTTAAGCTGCTAAACGAGAAGTAAACATCAAGAATGAAAATTTGGGCATAGCCTAAAGTGTGTTTAAAATACATCAGAAGTTTTGACATGGTGTGCAGACTAATCAATTAATCAAGCTAGTTTTGGTGTAAAAAACCGAATATAAAAAATGCGGAGTTACTAAAATTGTGGGTTGAAATGTATATCACCCTAAGTTTTTTTTTTAATTTTAAATTTGGTTTTCTTATCAAAAAGTACAGAAAATTTCATACATAATGTTTCATCTCCCAATATAATACTCTTCAATTTTTGAAAAAATCCCAAAGTGGAAATGGATCAATAAAGATGTTGGTGCAGATTTTGGGCAGACGGCGTCATTAGCCAGTACTTTTTCGAAACGAATGTTGATGAGGCCATCAACCCTAACGGCGGGCGCCTTAAATGAATGATAACCAGTTTATTATAATGAGTAGTCTTTATTCATCACCTTTTAACGTGTAAGTGCATAAAAGGCATGTGTCGGCCTGAATAAAAATTTTATATAGATGAAACTTAAAAGTACAACAATAAATAGACAAATACAATGCATAGAGGGTACTCCATACTTAAATGGACATGTGAATTAGTAGGTAGTACATATTTAGAGCGAGACCTTTTCATATCTAAAAATAAAAAAGTTCTACATTCAGTTTTTACGTATTATCTAAACACACCACATCTCTTAGGCACTATTGAACCGTGTTGGAATTTTCCAATATTTCCATTATCCAGGACCGAACTAAATTTTTTCCATATTTTAGTTTTTTACCAAATTAAACACCTTTTAAGCTGAATATCGAAACATTTGACTACGTACAAAAAGACAATGAAGAGTGATAATTAATTAGCAGAATATCTTGATTGCACTTCTATTGGTTTTTGAGTTAAACATTCATTTATCCAAATATCTAGTTTTTAGTATTTTATATAACATAAAACCCAAACTTTCAAAAGTCATCAACAGTTTTTTAAATAATGCTTAAAACTGAACCAAAGATGTTTAGGAAACTCAAAATTCTAGGTTGGGTAATGTCAATGTATGACGGATTATACAGGGTGATTCACAAGTCGTGACCAAAACTTCAAAACCGTCAACTGGAATGAACTAAAATTTCGTATGTGGATTTACCTCAGTATCATACACATTCAAAAGTCTTTACTTAAAATTAACTTGCACCAGTGGCGGAGATAAAGGGGACTGGTGGCACTATTTTTTCAAATAAAAATAGTACGACACTGCGGAATTTTGTTTTCGTAAAAATAAAATTAAAAGTAAAACAAATTAGATTATTCATGGAGAGCCAAGATACAATTAGTTTCAAAATTAAATAGGACGCCTTGATACCAACTTGACGTTTCTTGGGAGATAGTTTGTCAAAGTTTTACGTTATACGGTTGTTATCGTTACTACTACCTTTTTTTTGTTTTGTAAAAGTCAAAAGTTTCTTTTTCCATTTTTGAGTGTTGTGAAATGGAATTTAGCAATGATGAGTACGCCGATATTATTTTTGTGTACGGGTTCTGTAATAGAAATGCTTTAGCGGCTTCTAGGGAGTATCAGCGTAATTTTCCTAACAGACGCCAACCTACCCCAAAGGTTTCTACTAATCTGTTTTTTAATCCTCTCTATCTCGGCCACTGGTGCACTTTAATTTTGACTAAAGACTTTTGAATATGGACAGTACTTCGTTAAATCCACATATCAAATTTTAGTTCATTCCAGTTGACAGTTTAGAAGATATTAAAAAAATTGTTTTTTATTTTTAAACTTAATTTTCTAATGAATACCTCGAGGAAAAAATGTTACACAGAAAACCCCCTCAAAATGCGGTCCTGTGTATGATGTTTCATTCTTGGTCACGACTTGTGAATCACCCTGTATATCTGTGCAAAAATCCAATATGGCGTCAATACGAAAAACTAAAGTTGATGCTGGAGGACAAGAGACGAAACGTCATATTGAAATTCTAGTGATGCCGTCTTGTAGAGGCGAAAAAGTGGCAATGTCAATGTGCAATTTATTTTGAAACCCCACTACAAATAAAGTTAGGAAAAAATTAAAACGATTTTGGGCAAATTCGTTTTTTCCGTCTCTCTCCGAAAGTACTTTGATGGATTTCGAAACTTTCTAAGCGGCATTTTGTTGATTACCTAAATACGCATCTTTGCTCAAGCTTTTTTCGGGAAACGTGTTTGTACATATAGGCCTTTAATAGACTAGTCGAGTCAGGTAATTTTCGTGTACGCCCATCCTGTGAGCAAGGAATTGCGATGATAGAGTTACAAAATGGCATACACACACCTTTCAAATGGAAAAAAATCATTAAATCATACACAACTTGTTTCATTCTTATTAAAACATCAATCTGTCTTTTTTGGATAGCCCCTGAATAGTCGTTGATCTCAATTTTTAAAACTATAACCATTATTTTAGCTGCTGAAGCTGAAGTATCTCCGAATCGAATATCGCCATTTCCTTTAAGATCCAATGTACTATCCAAGCACAATTTTTCGGTACTACCAACTGAAGTTCCGATCTTGCAGCCAAATCCTTTCCAGGTAGCTGATACGAACGATGTTTCTTATAGATTCAGCTACTTTGACTTGGAAATACTCAATGTAAGTAACATAATAATGACGTGAGGTCTAAGGTGGTTTAACCATGATTTATAGAAGTGCCTGGAGTTTTTATATGTTCGAGGTATTATATTCATACGTGCTTCTGTGACATTGGAGCAAAATGAATATGAAATAATACACGTAACATTTGCATGGACTCTTATGATAAACATGATATTTGCTGGTATTTCAATTTTCGTCAGAAACAAATTGATAGAAATCGTTGTCTCAAAATTCGGAGATCCACCATCCTATTTTGAAAATATTTGATTGGTAAGCAAATAAATCTGCGGTTTCTGTCGGGTTTTCCCATGTTATTGCATACAGTAAAAGAAAACAATAACAGAAATAATAATAAAACTAACCAGATGGAACTAGATTAATATCACAACGTTACTACATAATTGGAAAATAACCGTCCAATGAGTTTTTGGAATATACTCAGTGACAAAAGAAGTGATTGATACACACAGGAAAAATAATTTCTTCAATTATTGTTTCAGGTTGTAACACTTCTTATGTCACTGAGTATATTTAAAAAATATAGTAAATACCATTATCTGTACCCCAGAGCCACACTAGGTTAAGTCCATTTTTATCAAAAATGATTTTAATATGTTAAGCTTATGATAGTATTGTGAATTTTCATTTGCTACATGCAGCGTCCATCTATCTGCAATAATAAGGAAGTTACGAATTTTAACTCACGTCAAGTCGCATACAATACAATGCAAGAAAAATATTCCAAATACGATTATCTTAAAACTACTTATTTGGACTTAACGTAGTCTGGGTCTGAGGTACAGTTATGCAATAGAATGTATCACTGCCTGCGTGTACGCACTCCCCAACGAGGGCTAGATGGGCACTGACCAAAATCGCTCATATATGTTCATGGAGGTGGAAACCTTGCATTGGAATGTACGAAATGCGATGTTGCCAAACGAACCATTGATGCAGTGTTGCAGAATTTGTGGCGATCCTAACCTTTCAGTTCTATCTAAAACGAAGCGCCATTACAACCGATCCGGAGTCGATGCTTAACAGATTCGACACAATTCACACATGTGTACGCTCAAAATAAAACCATTATTTGGGCATAGGGACTAAACTAACGCATATTATCAACCTGTGTCTTAATTCAAGGAACTGGTTTAACATCCCTTTATCCATTTTTGAACATCACAAGTATTGTTTATTACAAGCAAATTTTATTTTATTACTGGAACTATTGTCGATTGTATTTATGTATCTCTTTATTTTGACAGAAAGTCCCATGCTACTTGATAAATTAGAAGTATGTATTCGAAAGTAAGTGGGATCTCCTATCTGTGTCGGGCTCCATTATAGAGGAGCATCGTCTCTCTCTCTCTCTATCTCTACGCGTCGGATTTATTCTGACTGCGTTGCCGGACGTTAAGGAAATTCTCAGATATGCTATATTTCAAAGTATGATCAAATTAAATATGTTTATATATCGTAGTGAGAAAGGTTCTGTACATACCTAGGTGGAGATGGTCATTATTGTCCCCGCACATCACATAAAGGTCTCAGACAATGACATAATTCTCCACCAAAGTATGTAATGTACTATTTACTACAAGATCAAGATATAAAGATTACAATAGATATCTCTGTCGGTGCATAGCACGGAACTGGGTCTCTTCTTGGTCGTATCCTTTAAAATAGTATCATTTGATATTGACTTTTTTTAGGAGCTCGGAGATTCAACGAAAAACGTCCTGATCTCACCAGCTAGCATTAAGTCCATTTTTGCCATATTGCTGGAAGGTGCGAAGGGACGCACAGCTACAGAAATCAGTGAGGCACTTAGAATAAATAACAATCAAGAAGGTTTTCATGAAATTCTGTACCATTTGCTGAACGGACTGAATGTAAGTTGTTTTGACAAATAAATCGCAAAATGTGATACAGCTTACGTTTGACTAAATAGCTAAACAATTGACAATCAAAACCATATGTTATATAATATCAACCTTTTGGTTTTTCGAAGCTCTATTCAAAAATGTAATAAAATACAGGGTGTTCTGTTTGAAAATATATGTTTGCTATGACACGAAGTTATGGAACACCCTGTATATTAAAATAATTTTAGAATAAGCACTAGTAAGATATTATCAAGGTTTATTGTGAATAATGATTATAATAATGTTCGTATCATGCGAAAAATATATTTCAGATGAAAACACCAGGGGTTACCGTGCAAAATCGGAACGGCATATTCACATCCAATAAGGTGAAACTTGTTGACAGTTTCCGTGCAAATTCGGAAAAATTCTATAAAACTGTGTTCAAAACCATCGATTTTACAAATACCAATATCGCAGCTGGAACGATAAACGGTTGGGTATCAAATGCCACCAATGGAGTTATCAACGATTTCGTCGCTCCTGGTAAGATTCAGTTAATCTTCCTTTATTTTACCGATATATCATCGGACTTTTCTGCTCTGAGCTCTTCTTAGATATGCCGCCGCGCTCTAGGCCTGTCAGATGAAAACGCCAAGCTTCCGTATATAATTTTGTCAAAGACTGAACATAACTGGTCGGTACACTCGCTCCTTTGTTTGCAGGGTTTTTGAGATTGTCTGACCAAATATGCTTTTCAGGTCTGATAAATTGATTGTGCAAAATCGAAATAAGGTATATAGGGTGTCCCTATATACCGTGAAAATAAGTCGATTGGACATGATGCAAAAGTGCTTTTTTTCTCGAAATCTATACGAGATGGCTTTTACACGAAACAAAAATGATGTAGATAAAGAATATTTTAAATGAAAAAAATCAGAGCCGTTGGGAGAGTTGCGAAAAAATTCTGCCATAATTTATGTAAGGGTGGGGGTAGTTTTCACCCATCTCGAAACCTTTCGGGTATTTTTTTCGTAAAAATCAAAACACGTGTGTTCCAAATTTCATTCAAATCAGAATATAGGTTCCAAAAATATCCGAAATAATGTGTTTTAAAAAGACGCTCTCTAACGGACAAACGAAATACTTTTGCATAGAGGTAAATCATGTCCAATCGTCTTATTTCGAGTCTAAAAATACTGTCCAGGGAATATTGGGACACTCTGTATTTAACCTCTTTATGTCCTTCGCGGTTGCTAGGTATTTAGATTCTGACATCGTAAATGATAGATTTATTGTTTTATTTCAGATACTTTGAGACCTGATACCAAAATGTTAGTAACAAATGCGCTCTACTTCAAAGGAAAGTGGAAAACTGCATTTGATCCTAAGAACACATATCAAAAGTGCTTCAGAACAGACAATGGATGTGTCACTACTTCATTTATGTCTGTTACTGAATATTATAATTATAATTATGTCGTCTCCATACATGCCCATGTAGTCGAAATACCTTACGAGGTAAGTGGTAACTGTACACGGAAAACCAAATTTGTCTAACATCTTGAGTTCAATGTGCGAGAAGTGTGTATCAACACATGTTAGAAAGGGATAGAAGCCGGCTGAAGAGCGAAGGTCATCACCACATTGCCTAGCAACGGTGACGCAGAAAGTCGTGCAATCTGCCGCGTTCCTACCAGAAAATACTTAAGCATACTTCCATCCTATGGCTTCCCAGAAAAGCTTTGCAGATGGGTGGCTGACTTTATCTCTGGCCGCAAGATATCCGTCGTAATTGACGGGGTCTCCTCTTCATCCCACAACGTCAACGCGGGTGTTCCCCAGCGATCGCTCTTGGCTCCGACACTGGTTGTCTTACATATCAACGACCTCCTTTCCTGCAGGATCAACCCAATCCACAGCTTCGCTGATGACAGCACTCTACATGCAGGAATTCAGAGAAGAAGACAAGCGACGACTTCCTCACTGACAAAAGACCTGAAGGCTATCACTGCTTGGGGACGCAACAATCTTGTACAGTTCAATGCTTCCAAAACACAGTACTGTACTTTGACTAACAAAAAGCGTCCTAGCGCTCATCCGGTTTCGATGGATGGACGAGTTCTGCCAAAGAGCCATTAATTTCGGCTGGTCGGAGTCCAGATCACCGAGGACCTGATCTGGCACGTACACATCTCGTGAATAGCTGCAGCTGCTGGGAAAAAGCTAGGCTATTTGTTTATGGCTAACAAGTACTTTTCTCCGCATGACCTTCTCACTTTATACAAGGCCCAGATAAGGCCTAGCCTCGAGTATTGCTCAAACGTTTGGGGTGCTGCCGCCCCGACTACATTATCCATGCTCTTTTCTGCCGCTACACCAACGGGCTTTGCTCCATAGAACTCTCTTCCATGATGCCGCCGCGCGATGTGCCTGCCAGACAGACCCGCCTGACTTTGGCGTCCCATCCTAACCGTGTCAAACTTCGTACATCCAGAACTGGCCGATAAGGCCGCTCCTGTGTCCCGAGGATGTCGAGATTGTGGAACAATCTACAAGAGGAAGCTTTTCCCAGTTCTACTAACCTTAGGCAGTTCAAAAATCGTATTAACAAAATTTCTTTGGGATCATCATAGCAGCTGCGGTGTTCCGGCATTTAGGTTTCTGCCTACGCGGCTGCTTCGATATAAAAAAATAGGTTGGGTTACTGTCAAATCCAAGAAGGAGGTCCGTTCGAACATTTAATTTAATGTTGTGTTTTCATTTTGATTAGAATTATTTATTTCAATTTTCATGCGACTTAGTGTTTTAATTTACGAGTATTTTATAATTATCTTTGATTTCCACCGTGATGGTGATAGAATCAACACATCTCGAGTTATTGTTACATTTTGCGACAACAAGAGCTCGGAAAATGTAACAAATACCATTAAGCGGTACAAGTTATTACTGCCTGCGTGTACGTAGGTGAAAACCACTTCGAACTAGGACGACACTCCCCAATGATCGCTAGATAGGTACTGACCAAAATCGCCCATCTATGATCATGGAGGTGGAAATCTTGCCTTGGAATGTACGAGATGCGATGCTGCCAAGCGAACCATTGATGCAGTGCTGTAGAATTTGTGGCGATCCTGACCTTTAATTTCGACCTAAGGTGGAGCGCCGTTAGAACCGATCCTGAATCGATCCTGAACAGATTCGAGACAATTCAAAAACATGTACGGTCAAAATAAAACCATTGTGGGCGCATATTTTCAACATGCATCTTAATTCAAGGGACTAGTGTAATATTGGCATAGTGCTAAGCAACGCGGTGATGACATTCGTTGTCCAGCCGGCTTCTACCTCTTTCTAACACACTTCTCTCTCGTACATATTGAACTCGGGCAAATTTGGTTCTCAGTGTATATTAATGATAGGCCGTAACTACATCTTAGTATTTTACGATATAATAAGTTAATGCTTGATCTGCCTAATTTTTTCAGGACAACTTCTCGATGCTGTTAATATTACCATCAGAAGAAAGAAGTGTAAGAGCTGTGATAAGAGACTTACATCATACCAACCTCCTAGATATAATCAATTATTTGAAATCAACCGAACTTATACTCGAAATTCCAAAATTCAGTTTTGAATACTCTACTGATTTAGTGCCACATCTCAGAGGAGTAAGTAGTGCTATTAATTGTATAAATAAGAAGAGGCATTAGCCATATATGACATCCCGTTTTTTATCTCAGATTCAGCCCAGCGACACGGTGCATTTTTCACCATTATATGAATTCAGCCCTCCGAATTAAATGTACCGATTCAGCACCCTGGAGGTCTTAAGGTTGACCGCCCAATAGAGGAACTGAAAAAATATAAAACTTTTGATTGACGCGGCTTGGGCCCAAGGGCGGATACAGCCTTTGAGTCACTTGAATAACTGACTAATGCCAAATTAATAAAGAAATTAGAGGCACCATGAGCCGGCGCTTAGGCTGCATAACGGACTCTTATGCACCACCCCCATCACATGCAGGTGACTCCCTTCGGAGACCTTCCGCTACCGGAGTCCCACTCCGTCCTCGTCGGATACTCCACATTAAACTTGCGATATTTAGGGGTGATCGGATCACCCCTGCTCTGAGGGACGAGGTAGTCCTTTGGCAAATCGACTAAAATGACAGGGTGACCCTTGACAGGATTTATAAAGGCCCAGCCGCCCTGACTTCACAGTCCCCTACTAATTCAAGCCAAACGGCGAATTTTATTGAGTTTGGCCTTAGTTGTCTCGGTTCCAATGCAAGTCCATCAAACCAAGGAGCCATGCAGAGAGATGGACATACTATCGTCATATAGAGCCAGTGCACCACGTTGGGGTTAAGCCCCAACCTCACGTCTGCAAGCTCACAATAAATTGTGAGCCCTGTTAACCTTGTACTCAACATGCTCTTACCAATTCAGTCTACAGCCCAAAATATGTCCTAGATATTTTACTGATTGGGATAGAGCTAGTCTAGTCCCAAAGCAGGTCGGCAAGATAAGCCCGTCAAGCTTCCTTCTCATTGTGAACAGAATCAGCTCGGTCTTCCCAGAGTTAACAGAAGGATCGACCTACCTACACCACGATTCCGCAGCGTCCAGAGCGCCCTGGGTAAATAGGGCACTTCTTTACGCCGAAGCAGCCTCGCAGGCAGAAGCCTAAAAGCCAGGGCACCGCGGCTGCTATGAGGATCTCAAAGAAACTTTCTTAATTCGATTTTTGAACTGCCTAAGGATAGTAGAACCGGGAAAAGTCTGCTCTTATACGATAACCTACGGACAAAGAAGCGGTCGTATCGACCAGTTCTGAATGTACGAAGTTCGATACGGTTAGGGTGGGAGGGGGAAGTCAGGCGGGTCTGTCTGGCAGGTACACGAGTTGGATACACGACACTTTGACCGTTATATTCGAACTTATATTAAACTTTTCGCAACTGTCTCAGTATAAAAGTAACGAGTTATTTTATTTTTGGACCCTGAACCGGATAATAATTTTCCCTTTGTTTCAGCTAAAAATTAGAGAAATATTCGGCCAGCAGGCAAACTTGAGCGGCATTGTCCAAGATGGCGGAGTGTTCGTGGACAATGTCATCCACAAAACAAAGATAGAAGTAGATGAAAAAGGAACCGTCGCGGCTGCCGCAACAGGAGCCGTTATAGTACCTTTGATTGGTACCTGGTCCTTCGTCGTAGATAGACCTTTTATATTTTTCATATATCAGAAACCCACGCCTAATAGTATAAATATAGCTTTTGAAGGCATACTACAACATCCTTAAAATAGCTCAGATATAAAGCATCATTGAGATGTAGAGTTAAAAGACAACTTTATTTTTATATCCATTTGATACTGTTTTATAGAAAGTTTGATTTTAAAATAAATCCATAAAACTTACCACTTGTTTTACTAAACGTCTTTTAAGTACGATTCTGAAAACGTGGTTTCAACAATGTGATTTTATATCTAAAACTGCTGGACTATGAGCCGTTTTACACACAAGAGAATTACTCCTAAAATTATGGTCATAATTATGCCGAAAATTTTTGCTGTCGTATTACACGTAAAAGAATTCTTGTGAAAATTTTCATGGTAAAAATATAAAACCCGTTCTATATTATATGCGCGAGAATCGGCGCAGAGGGTTATTTCCGTGCATGTCAATATCAAATGTCAACGACAACAACAACAACATAACCTCACTTAACATTTGTGGGAGTGGTCCTGTTCGAGTCGTACGAAGGAGCGTTTATTGTTATTGTTTATTCATAATGTCGTGGAATCGGGAAGAATTTACAATGTTGTTGGAGGAGTACCAAAAATGGCCCAACCAGTACAAGGTGAAGTCACCCAATTACAAAAACAGAAATTTGCGGCGTCAGGCGCTGGATGCGATAGTCCAAGCATTGAGAAGTTTTATAATATTAACCAAGATCTCGATTTCAAAAATAAATTTAAATTATCGACGTCTGTTGTCTTTCCGATTATATTGGACGTCATACCCGTTAAGGTTATGTCCATTTGAAAATATAACTCTAATGCGCAGGCGTATCATATGAATTACTCCGAAATTTTGTTTGCTTGTGTCATACAGGTTGTAGAGAAAATCTTCAATATTTTTTCCATGCAAATTTTCAGCATAATTATGACCATAATTTTCGGAGTAATTCTCTTGTGTGTAAAACGGCTCTATGACTGAGAGTATCAAAAATGCTAAGGCCCCGCGCACCAACTCTGGATGGAAGTATCTCTGCTAGAGGTGTTGACAAAGGAACTATTCGTTACTCGAGTACTCCTTACTCATAGATATCCGAAGTCACGAGTAACAATACACCAAATGATTACTTCGATTACTCAGTTGTCCGTACGCGTACAGGGTTTAATGACAACACTGGTTTCTGCCATCTTAGGCATCACTGTAGCCTTGCATCTCATGCCATGCATTAGGGTTGCCAGACATCCCACATTCTGGTGGTATGTGTAGCTACACATACATTTTTTTTTTATACTGGTACATGTTTAATATTGAATTACCCATAAAAGTTGCTTGGCATTCCGAATTTCCTCAAGCCCATATATAAAGTAACGGATACAACAAATGATTCAATGAACAATGTGACTGACAAAAGTACCCATAGTGCATACGACCTACTTGAACAATGCCGTGTACTGTATTCGGACCGCACATCTCTACTTTTCTACCACGCTGTTTGACAGTTGACGCAAACGTCAAAACGTTCTTTCCTTTTCACAACATCACAACATAACCCTCGATTTAAATTCAAAATTCTTAGTGGAGTAATCACAAAAAAATTCTCAAAATGTTCAAAAAACCTCTTAGAATCAAAGCTAATAATCCAGTCAAAGCATCAGAAAGGTAAGAAATTATTGGAAGAAAAAAGTTATACAATTTAAACTCAATTTTTCGTACCGTAGGAAGCAGTTTAAAGAAAAACTGTTGAAGGCATTTCCGAAACTTAGTAATACTGATTTGGATGACTTATTGTGCAAGAAAAATATCCTGAATCAGCTGAAAGTGGTCACGCACGATGATAATGTGCTACAAGTTTATACCATACAAAAACAGCCAGTGATTTTTGATGTTAGGGGAATTGTATTCCCAACAGTTTTCTTACTCTGGAGATTCCCTGATATGTTAGAGTGCTTCACAACTCACGATAACGTTATGACTTACATAAGATCTGGAGCAGATCTCATGCTACCAGGGGTTGTAACACCACCTTCAAATACTAACCTGCCAAAATATGGAAATGTCCAAGAGAATGATATTGTTTATGTGAACTTTACTACCAATAGAGCAGCTATAGCAGTTGGAACAGCTTGCCTCTCATCAGGAGGTTTTATTTTAGCAAATGGCAAAGGAAAGTGTGTTACAATCTATCATTGCTATGGCGACTACTTGTGCAACTTGGATATATCAGATACTGTTAAGATACCATACCTAGGGCTCCCAAAGTGGTTGAAGGTTCAAGACTATGAGACAGACTTTCCTGAGCTAGGAAGGGTAAGCATTTCAAAGCAAGATTCTGCTTCTCAGACCAAGAGAAGCAAGAATTTGATTTACGAAAGGCCTAGCACTGACACCATTGTATTGGAGGACCTAGAAACAGTAGAGTGTCAGGCTGAAGAAAACAAAGAAGTGACACCTGAAGAAATGGATGAAGTAATAACGTACTGTTTTTTGGGAGCTTTGAAATATGCTAAAAATGTCACCTTACCAGTATTAACATCGAATTTCTATAAGTTACATATGCTGCCACTATGTCCTCCAGACAAAAGCATGGATATTAAAAAGTCTACATTCAAGAGGTTGAAGGTATTCTTGGAAAAAATGGAGAAGGTAAGTTATTCACCGATGATCATTTGTAATTGTGAAGCCTTCAGGTATATATGTTTTTTATACTGTGACTTTATAAAAGCATTTTGAGTCATCCTTTTGAAGTTGTGCAGCGAGAACATCCATGTAGAACTCTGCAACTAGTTGAACAGTTATCAGTCGTGGGATATAAAGTGAATGATCTAGATTTTCTGATATATATATATATACTCTTTGTCTTTTCCCACAAATAAAGACCTGTTGTTATTATCCATAAAATATATGTTAATCCTGACTCCAGGAGATTATTTAAAAAAAAGAGATATGTCATGACAAACAAATCATCAATTCTAGCCTATGAAAATTTTGGTTTAAGCTTTATGATGATATGTATGATTTTTGTGAAATATTTGTAAACTTAGAGCCTTAGATCATAATCTCTTTCCTTTCAGGAAGCACTTATAACAATAAGAGAGATCAAAAAGGGTGTTGAAGCAATAGTATATATAAATAGGGATCACCCAAAGTATACAGCTTTCTACATTCCCCCTGAAAACAGATATAAGAAAGAAGACAAAGAAAATTATGACTCTAAAACTGATGTTACTGAAGCTTATATTGTGAATGCCAAAGTTCTTCCTATATTCCTTCCAGAGGGATATGTGTAAGATATTTATTTTTTTGAAAAATGTCCTATATACTTGTGTCGCACATTGAAACTTTTTAAATTTCAGGAGAGAAGACACTGTACCAGTTCCAGTGATTCGAAATTGTGTAGTCAAATATGTGAAAGAGTTGAACTTGCAGTGTGAAGATAACCCCAAGTATGTTTCTTATATAAGTCAAATCTAGTTTTTTTTGTCTCAATCTGTTTCTGAATTGTAGACTCATCAAGCCAAAACAAATCATGGCTGATATCTGCAAGACTGAAAACCCTGTCACATGGGAGGAAGCTATAGAATCTGTCTGCCACAGTATGAAGAGCTGTTTCAAGGTCAAGTCAGCCCAAGGGTTAGAACTAACGAGTAAAGGCAAGATTAGCCCAATTACAATGACTGTGTCAACAAGATCTGCGAATAAGAAAGTAACCCTAGTAGACAATTTGGAACTGTTTGGTATCAATATGACAGAGTTTGCCAAAGAATGCCAACATGGCGTGGCTGCCAGCACAAGTATTAGCAAACCACCAGATAAGAAAAATGAGCAACTGCTTGTTCAAGGAAATCAAGTGATATTTGTCTATAAACTTTTAACAGGTCAGTTTGCTAGCATTCAATTTTTCATTAAAATTGACGTGAATACTTATCCTGGATGGTACTATTAGATTTCACAAAAAGTGATCCAATTTTTCAAATTATAGATTCTCTCACTTTTTGCATTTTCTTTTTTACAACACCTTTTTCTTTTCAGATAAATACAAAGTGCCAAAAAAGTACATAAGAGGCCTGGAATTTGCACCTAAGAAAAAATGAATGGATTTCTAGGATTGGACGAATTGGTTGACATTAAAGGATAAAATGGAGTTTTGGACGAAATTAATTTATAAAAAATTGTTATAAATGTGTTCGATTATATTTGTTGCTTACAGTGAATGACCATTCATAATAAAACATCATTCACAAGATATAAAATTATTATCATTACACTCATCAACTTCAACAAAACAAATCAAATAGGCCTTGCATTAAGGCAGAATGTTTATTCCTATATATACAGTTAGACTAGACATACTTGATATTCGAAAAAATGGCGTTTGCAGTATTTCAATACTATCAAACACCTCGTATACAGGGTGTCCGCAAAGTTGGGCTTTTCCTTTTCAGACACTACACTTGATATAACAAAGCTAACGTGAGCGAACAAGTAAAAAAAATAAATGGAAAAGTACGTTCAGTTGAATTGAAATGCCAAGCACGGCTCTGTCGTAAAATTCGTATTCACATTGTATAACTGTACGCTGGAGCTCTGGACGTGATGGATGGATAGGACAGGAGCGGCTTCGGTTTGATTGAGTTTGTGGAGCCCAATATCTCGGTTCTCGTAAGACATTGATGTATATGCTACTAAAAAAATCCGCTTATTTTTTAAAAATCTACACGTCGTGTAAAGGAAAACCCAAACTTTGTGGACACCCTGTATAGTTACGTCACGCCGATAAGGTAAATGAAAAGCGAAATACAAAGTAAAGGTTTGAAACCAGGACGCTTATCAAAATATTATCAGATTTTACCACAGTGTCCCAAACGTCGACGTCAAGCCGGAAACGGGAATAGGCCAAGTCATAATAGTTATCAGAAAAATATAAAAAGTCGTGTACTTTTCGAATTATAGGGCATGAAAACATCGAAAAAAACTACAACATGTGATGATCTTTCAGTTCCCATTACTACAAATTTCAATTTTTTCTTAGACGGAGTTTCGGACAGTGTCATTCTACAGCAAGACGGATAGTAAACCCACTTTTACAGATTTTTTTCATACAGGGTGATTCACAAGTTGTCACCAAAAATGAAACATCATACACAGGACCGCATTTTAAGGGGGATCTTCTATGTAAAATATTTTCCTCAAGGGGTTCATTAAAAAGATACAAGGTGTTGAAGTTTAAAAATAAAAAACATTTTTTTTGATATCTTCAAAGCCGTCTACTGGAATGAACTAAAATTTGGTATGTGGATTTACCTAAGTATTGTCCACGTTCAAATGTCTTTACTTATAATTAACATGCACCAGTGGCGGAGATACAGGGGATTAGTGGCATTATATTTCCAAATAAAAATAGTACGCTATTGCTTTTTTCCGAAACGCGGAATTTTTCGAATTCTACCTTCAATTTGCTACAAATAATTACTCTCATGTTTTTCTCATAGAGTACACTGTTTTCGTGAAATTAAAAAAAAACAGCCGAGATTAGTTTCGTGCAGGTTAATTTTAAGTAAAGACTTGAATGTGGACAATACTTAGGTAAATACTAATAATAAACAAATTCATTCACAATTACAAGCAGTAATTACAGTAACTCATTTAAATAATAAATGTAATTGCAAAAAGGGCCAACATACAGAAAAAACTGATACAAGTGCGCACCCGATTGAGGCAAAAATAATGAACATTATGCCGTGAGAATTTTAAGCGAAGTTGAGGAAGAAAAAATATAAATGGTTGAGATTAAATAGACAAAAATACAAAAAACAGTGACGAAGGATATTACTTCTGCCACATTAATTGTTGGAAGGTTTATTATAATGTTAATTAATATATGCGTACATCTTTTCAGTTTGTAGTAGATACTTTTTGTAGTTGACTTTGAATGATTTGGAAGATAGGTTCTTAAAATGGAAGGGAATATCATTATATATTATATAACTATTAAAGGTAAAAGATCTTTCAAATATAGAAGTTCGATGTTTAAATTATGGACGCCATGCCTAAATTTTATCCTATTTCATAAATATGCAGGCGTTTTGGTAGTAACAACTTTATGGAATAATGCTGCTGAATGAAATTTTCTTCTGGAAGCCATATTGAGCCAACCAATTTCCTCCAGCTTGTGTGATACCCTGTCAAACTTGCGGATGCCAAAAATGAACCTGAGACACACGCCTTTTGGATTTTCTGAATTCGTCCGTAATCCATCTTCGTTAAACAGGGTCCATACACGACATCGCAGTAATTGAATAGGGACAAAACTAGAAGGTCAGTGAGAATAATCTTTAATCTTATTGGCAGAATATGGCGATATGGGAACAAAAACTTCAACCGAATAAATGCCCTTTGGATGCATTTTTTTACGTGACCAGAGAATCTCAATTCGTTATCCATTTACAAACCTATATTCCTTGCTACTTTGACATTCTCAATTGTACTGTTACCCATTTTGACAGTAAAGTTATCTTTCAAAGTAGCTTTTTGTTTACCAAATATCATAACAGCAGATTTAGATGGGTTAATGGTAAGTTGATGTGACAAGAGATTCAGAGTGAAGTCTATCCAATTCCATATTAAGCTCATCATTTGCAGCAGCTGAGCTAAGGTGGTCAAAAAAAATTTTATCTGTGTAACCTCAGCATACAACTGACAGGAACATTTAAAGCTTTAGTTATATTAGAAGAATATATTTGGAAAAGTATAGGACCCAAAACTGAACCTTGTGGCACACCACAACCAATCTTACGTACACTGGATGTACCTTTAGATGTTTCCACAAATTGGTAATGATTGGATAAATAACTGGTGGGTAATGAAATAACAGATTCGGAACATCCGATAAAATGTAATTTTGAAAATAAAATTTGATGATTTATAGTGTCAAATGCTTTATTATAGTCTAGAAGAACTAAGGCTATGGATTTTCCATGATCTAAGCCCAACAGGATTTCATCTGTTACACCTAGTAGCGCAGTGGTACAACTGAAACCTTCCCGGAATCCTGACTGGTATTCTGGCAGTATATTGAATTGTTGAAATTTTACATAGAAGACCCCTCTTGCGGCCCTATATATATAATGTTTAATTTTTGGTCACGACTTGTGAATCACCCTGTATTTTTCTGATAACTATTATGATTTGGTCTATCCTCCGTTTTCGGCTCGACGTCGACGTATGGTGAGATTGCGGCTTTTTTAAGGTACTCCTCCATTCTAATAAGTTGCATCAACCTGTCACTTGTAGAACAGAAACTGAGCTGTGCCTCAACATGTCTGTGGCACATGTTGCAGAGCAAAGTTGTTGAAATGGAAGCATATCTTCATTACTGACTTTTTTCTATTCCATTCAAAAGTTCTATACCTTTAAAAAAATGCCCTAGTCTGTATATTTAAATTCAGCATCAATGTTATAAGTGTTGATTTGTATAACAAATAACGTTCAAAGCAAATAGAAAGCTAAAATATACGTAAATACGGGTAAAATTTACTCCTAACTTAATTTGGTATGTTACAATGGCACTAGTCACAATGTATGGCAGATAAAATGCCACTATTTAAAATTAACATACTGTTAGTTTCACCAAGAAAGACACCGATTCGTTATCACAAAAATACAGGGTGTTCAATAGTCAACCAGAGTTCACAAATATCATGATATAATTATTGATGTCTTCCTTATTTCATATGAAAAAATTGTACCTCTGAAACAGACTATAAAATGAACATCCTGTATATATCAGTGACCAAAGTTAAATGGCAAAGAACTGCTGTCACGTTTTATGAGATTTTCTATACTATATGATTAGAACGACATGGAACTACGAATATATAAAATGTGAAAGCATTTCTTTATTAAACTGACGTAAAAGTAGATCACAATTTTACCCATAAATTTAAGAATCACAGTAATTTTTAGAAATGATGCCTTTTCTCTATGAGGATAGCTTATGCAAAAGTTGTGTTCGGTATCTCGCAAAGAAATATAGAATTTTGCACATAATGTTTACAAATTTTCAATTTTTTCTTTTTTCCTTAATTGCAAACCACTTGTAAAATGCTAGCGTAATGCATTGTTTCATGCTTGTTTGCCATCACTAGTATGGTATATGTCAGACAAGTTCACAAAATATTTTTTATCAGATTTGTTAAGGATAGAACTTTTTAAAAATATGTATCATGCTCAAGAAAAAGGCTCACTTCAAAATCGATCTAAAGTGGATCCAAATTAAAGCCAACAAAAAAATTCAAAAACAAAAAGTACAGTGGTGTATAATATTAGTGCCTACCTTTTCATCACTGTTGCATTATATGCTTAATAAAAATATCTATATTGAAACATTCAATGTTTAAATAAAATAATAAAAGAATAAAATACATTTTTCATATATACACATATTTGGTATAAGTATTGTAAAAACTAGTGTCTAATAGAAAAACAAAGTCAACCCAAAAACATTTCTATGCACCTGGGATTTTTTGGAACTGTGAAAGTTGAATCAATACTATTTGAAAGATATCTTTGGAGAAAGTACCATTTTGACTAGACTAGGTACAGTTTTAAAGGTGCATGTAAACCATTTTGGTTGACAAAAACCACTACCAGAAAAATTAAGCAAGTAAGGAAAAAGTTTTCAGTGATTTTGGACAGGTTGTATTTCGGTGAAAAATGGCCGTATATAGACTTTAAAAAAAGCATTCTGATTTACCAAAACAAGACAAAAAGTAACATTTGACTTTCTTAAGCGTAGGACTGCACCACAACGATGCGCATCCTCATGTCTCACAACAAACGAAGAACTTCATCGTGTGATTTGGCTGGGAAGTCATTGCCCATCCCCTTACAGTATTGACACAACGTTTCCGAAATTAAAGGAGCACCAAGGCGGTCAACGGTTTGAGACGGACGAGGAGTTGCAAGAAGCAGTTACCAAGTTTCTAAAAGGGGTAGCAGTGGACTTTCTCGAGGCGGGAGTGCAAAAGTGGATTTCACGTCTAAAAAATGCGTAGAAAAAAATGGTGACTATGGAGAAAAATAGCTTAAATATCAACGTTTCCAGTGGTGAATTCGTTTTTTCAAATAAAAATTCCTTGTGGCTGAAAAAAAAGTAGGGAACCCTATTTTTGAAACAACCCTCGTATCAGTTGTCGATTACAAAAGGATCCTTTTTCATTTGAAGTCAGATATCTCGACGCCAAATGATCGTATGGAAACTTTAGAAACAGAATATTGAAGCTTAAAAGACGGATTATCAAGAAACATTTTTTCAAGCCTGTGGAAGACAAAAATTTTGAAAAAAAAATCCTTGAGCTATCTGTTAGGATTGCATGAGAACCGTGCTTCTAAAATGTTTCGGCTGAAAAAACCTGAAAAATAGAAGCTTTAAAATGTAACTTTTTAAAGTCTAGATAAGACCATTTTTCACTGAAACACAGCCTGTCAAAGATCACCGAAAAATTTGGATTTTTTCCTTGCTCCCTTAATTTTTTGAGTAGTGTATATCAATACAATTCCAGTTATCAAATATCAACTACACAATAAGAGATCACAATAAATTCTTTCCCTTTTACAAAATTCGAGGAAGGGATACATCAACTTCCCAATGGCTGACGTCAGATTATTATAGAATCAAACTTAAAGGTCAAACAAAAAATTAACAAGTCCCAACAACATTTACAAGAAAAGATATCACATTTCAAAGGTTCTGGTTACAATGGTTTTCAAACCGATTTAACCATATACTGCAGTGTATTCAGTTCACAAAATCAGAGATGACAGTTAGTGATAAATATATGGAATAAATATTGAGTAAGAACTCTTTTCTTGTAAACAATCATAACTCAACGGTAAACAGCAAACGTCTAACGACTGTGGACAAGCAGTGACATTTTAAGTTATATGTTGTTTTCTGAATTTGTATCAGTATCAAATGTTACTACATAAGAGGTCTGCAAAATTAAATGATGAGATTGGGAATATAGCGTTGCCAGTTGTATATTTAAATACAAGAATTAAAAAAAAAACAGTATCATCACTTAATTTACAGATCTCCTATTAACGTATGCTTTGTTTTTAGAATACGCCGCAGGAAGAGCCAATGAGTATCAAATATGGTGATCGTGGTGGCCATGCAATATGACCAAAGTAAGTAGTCGGGTCATTTTCTATAATGCGAAAGACGTATCGATAAATTATGCATTACAAAAAATCATGATATACACCAGCTCAGAAAGAATTGTGTGCAAAATTCCAGTCTTTGTACACTGGAAAGTCAACTATAAACCAAATTCCGGAGCTGTTTTCACAAAAGTTTATGGCTCCCTTTGGTGATATTGCATGGTCACCACAGTTATCAGAAGTGTAGAGGAAATATCCGCACATCTGATGATAAATTTTCAATAAAAGGTATTGTATTTTTTAACTTAATATGGCAATGGTATAATGATTTACTTGTTTACCACATTCTTGATTTTTATACCTCCAAAAATACCCCAGAACGTTTAATGGTAAATTTATTTTTATGTTGGTAAATGACTAAATACCATGAACTCCCGCGGCATCTTCCATCTCAGCATTTCAAAACAACAAAAAATTAAAAACAAACAAATTTCAACACAAAAATTTCATCCGAGTCATGTAAAAAATTGCTATCTTATAGTCATGCCCATACAAAGTTTATGGTCTCTTCTATCACCCCAACCTCCGTTACCTTTACGTAGTTTTGTTTTCTTCAATACAGTTGAGTATGTTAGAATAAGATAGTCTGGATATAAATGTCTTTTCGCTGATTTTAATACCTGCTGCACTTTCGATATTACAGCCGTTGATTCGCAGTTGTTCTTTTTATGGTGAACACCACTGAAAAAATACAACAAAAAACCAGGTAGATGAAAACAGTATTAACTACTATACAGGGTGTCCCAATATTCCGTGCACAGATTGTAAATAGTGATAACTATGCTAAAAAATGAGTCCAGAAGGTATTTAAAAACGTGGGATAATACGAGGGTTGTCTCAAAACTAAGGTTCCCAACGCTGTCTCTTTGCTGCGCGTGATGCTTGGCGACATCTGGCAACAGCGTCGTGTTTGTCGGCTTCCCCAACACCGATCCCAACAAGAAGCGCCTAATTGCGATGCTCAGTACCGGCTCGACAGCCATGTCCTGGAGTCCTTCATCGCCGTCACCGCCACGTGCGTCATCCGATTTTTGCACGCAAAAACGTTACCACTCATAGAACTTCATCGCCACTTGAGTGAAGTATATGAGGAAAATTGCATAAGCATTCAACAAGTCCTCAAATGGTGAAGAGAGTTTTCTGACGCCCGCATGGAAATCCACTGAACAACGAAGCCGGAGACCGTCGATCTCCGAGGAAGTTGTGGCAAAGATTGAGCAAATCTTGCTCAAATATCGGCGAATCACGATCCGGGAACAAGCGGTTGAAACAGGCTGATGGCGGACTTTCTTGAGGCTGGAGTGCAAAAGTGGATGTCACGTCTAAAAAAATGTGGGAACCTTAATTTTGAAACAACCCTCGTACGTAATTTAGTCCTGGGAGTCATAATGATATATTCGACTGACGTGCTCATGGAATTTTAGCTTTTCATCAAAAATTGCTCCAAGGTTTGTAACACAATTACTAAACTTCAATTTGGTATTTTCCATAAAAAGGGGCATATTATTCTTCAGCTAATTATTTTTTGTTTTTGGACTAAAAAGGATTATTCTAGTTTTCAGCGTTAAGTTTTAGATCGTTGTGCTTTGCATAATCTGAAATCGCATTTAAATCATTATTAATTAGAGAAGCTGAATATTCAAAATTTTGGGAATTCATCAGTCTCATCACTGAATTTCCAGACTTGGTACCTGATTGAGGAGGATCCCTAAGATCAGAAGAATCGATGGTACTTACCATTCACCGAAATGAAATACCCTAGGGGCTCTAGCTACCATGACATGTAGCTTTTGCTTTAAACAATTTTGTGACGTATGCTGCAGAGACCAGTCCCAGTTATAATCGTCGTATTTACAAAAATATGACGCGCATTCCACAATTTGCATCCAAGTTGAACGATTGAAAGCCATACCCATGTTGTGTTTGCTTCCTATCCAAGGTGATATTTCAACCTGTAGGTAAATCTCAAAGTATACAGGGTGTTCTACAAAGAAGTGCGGCGCAGATTACTCAAAAAGTTGATCTTAGAAATGGTGAAATTTTTGGAAGTAGTATAGTATAATTTTGGGAAGCAAGTTTGCTGAAATATTTTCATAATGGTGACACTTTCGATTTTACCGGAAGTAGATATCAACTTGCTCATTTCAAATAGTACACTGTGTATTTCCTCCAATTTTTTGATTATATGCAAGGTTCTAACGCAGTTCATATACAGTGGGTGGAAAAAGTATTATCACACCCTATTTTTTTATTGAATCTCAATAGCGAACAGATACATTTTTTGATACTAAATCTATTTGAAAACTAACATCCAAATAGCCATTTTTGGAGGCAGTAGATGGAACAACTTAAAAATAATATACGAGGGTTGTCTCAAAAATAAGATTCCCACATTTTTTCAGGCACAAGGAATTTGTATTTGAAAAAACGAGTCCACCATTGGAAACGTTGATCTTTAAGCCATTTTTTCCATAGTCGCCAATTTTTTTTAGACGTGAAATCCACTTTTGCACTCGCGCCGCCAGCTCGTTTAGAAACTTGATAACTGCTTCTTGCAAGTCCTCGGCCGTCTCGAACAGTTGACCGTCTAGGTGCTCCTTCAATCTCTAGCTAAATCGCTCGATTAAGTCCTTCGTTTGTTGTGCGACATGAAGATGCACATTGTTGTGGCGTCTTACGCTTTGGTGAATTTTCTCCTACGAGGATCTTGACTTGACCGTCTTAGCTTTTTCAGAAGCCCCAGGAATTTCAACCGCGTGATTCACCGATCTTCGAGCAAGATTTGCTTAATCTTCGCTACAACTTCCTCGGAAGTCGACGGCCTCCTGCTTCGTTGTTCATTGTGGATGTCCGTGCGGCGATCAGAGCACTGTCTTCACCATTTGAGGACATGCTGAATGCTTATACATGTTTGCCCATATACTTCACTTAGGTAGCGATGGATTTCTGTGGGTAGTGACGTTTTTGAGTGCAAACATCGGATGACCGCACGAAGTTCGCACCTGGCGGTGACGGCGATGAACGGCACTATTACGTTTGGCTGTCGGGTCGGTACTGAGCATCGCAAATCTTGTTGGGATCGGTGGTGGGGGGTCAGACAAACACGACGGTGTTGCCAGATTTCACACGCGCGGCAAAGGTACAGCGTTGGGAACCTTATTTTTCAGACAAGCCTCCTAAGAGTAATAATAGGAATTGTGGAATTAAAGAGTCAAAAAAAAAAAACAACCAATTCAATAATTGTCAGTAAAATTTGAAGATCAAAGATCAAGATTTCGTTTTGCAACTACTGTTTAATGACAACTTTTTGAGCAATCAGTCCATATTTGTAGCTCCCACTTTACCTTTTTAGAGTCCCCATAATAGTTGTAAATCTTCATATAGGTACCTAATGACAATATATTACAATGCCTACAAGACTCTTTGTATGTTCTTTGCATGAGTTTCAGCATATGTATGAAATCTTCTGCAACGTAGTGATCTTCTTCAAGAAAAAGCACAAGCCCAGTATGATTACGCGTCACTTCTAACTGGCTAAAGACTCTGTTTGCCTTCCACCACCAGTGGTGCTTAGTTTGGGTGAATTTAGCTTCTCTATAGTGACCGTATAGGTCTGGGTATAAGGCGTTGTTGCATTTTTTTATTAATGCTCTAAAACATACATGATGTTATCAATAAAACTAACCAGCCGAGAAAACAAGAACGGGACAGATTGTGCTTGGTTACATTCTTCCAAAATACTTATGGGTTATTTTTGACATATGCAGGGGTGCTGGCGGCCCAAAGCATGAATTTAAATGAGAAAAGTGGGATTTTCGATAAAAGTAACAAATAGTAGATTTATACATAAAAAATTCTAAGAAATTGAGTATCATAATGCCAAATTTAGACGGATAATATAAATAAGAATGTATGAAAAAAGGAGAGTAACTGATAAAAGGTATATGTTACTGTTTATCAAGCGAATATATATAATTATTCATAGTTTGCGTATTTTAAGATCAAATGCATACGATGCATAAAAGAAACATAAGAAATATAACAAATTCTTGTAAATTCGGGAGACGTACTTTATCTATTAAGTATTCTTGCCCAATTGATTAAACCTAATAGCAAACTAATGCAAAAAAGTTGAAATCTAATATAGGTACTATAAATGAGTGTTTTACACAATATTTGACTAACTTAATCATCAGATAGATAGACTAGAGTACTTGTCATTAGGAATCAAGCAAGCCTCTATTCGATGAGTTTCCATTGCCACTTTCTGACTTCATCATGTCATAATAATATTGCATTGTCAAATTAAACTTCCGCCATATTTTATTAGAATCCCTTTCATCTGATATCCATAATATGGGAGTGACTATCGAAATTATAAATCGACGCCACGTTGCTTACTGTATCTCTCCCATCAAGCCATTTCAGTCGATAACCATATCATATGCGTAACTATAGATATTATAAACGCCATTTTTGTGGAGGTCGGCATATTTGATTCGAAATTACATTTTGCTTATTGTGTTTCTCTCAAGCTCTTCAAGCTGATGGCAATATTATGGAAATTATAAATCACCAAATTGCGGCCTCCGGCATAACTGCATTTAGAATGACATCAGTTAGCTTATTGTGTTTCTCTCGCCAAGTTCTTTCATTTGATACTCATGTCATATACTATGGAAATGATAAATCGCCATTATGTAGCATACGTCATATTAGATTCAAAATACCGGTAGCTAATTCATTAAGTACTGACACACAAACCAGACAGGCATACAGAATTTCAGCTCGATTGTTTAAGGTTAATTGGTTCAAAATTCAATTAGAGGATTTGTCCTACGCTTACTAACGAATACTAACTAACATAATACTAACGAACAATCATACTAACCGTGACTTGTACAAGGCTTGTACAGGGCCCGCCAAAGGAACCTGACGGTTTCAGAATGGATAGTACGAAGCTGTTTTTTGACGTAGAACATCGGTTACAGTGGGCAAGACATCGGTAGTAGATGCCGTTTCAGTAGTCATGGAGCTGTGGACAAGTGAACATCGCGCATTTGTTGTCGAGACGTATTTTAAAAATCACGACTCGGTGATCATTACACAGCGTCTATTTCGTACACATTTCAATGTCGGACGTCATGGTTCTGTTCCATGCCGTAACACAATTAAGTTGTGGGTCAAAAATTTTCGTCGATCTGCATCAGCAATGAAAGCTAAGCCGCCAGGAATGCGTCGAAGAGTTCGGACTCCAGCCAATATTGAGAGGGTGCGAACAGCGGTGCAGCAAAGTCCACGTCGTTCAGCTAGGCTACAAGCAATTAGTCTAAGGCTTTCAAAAACAACAGTGCGGCGTATTTTGCATAAGGATTTACATTATCACCCTTACAAATTAGCGATGGTTCAAGAACTGACAGCTGAAGACTTTGTGAAACGTTTGACTGCAAGCAACCAGCTTCTGGAACTTTTGGATGAAAACGCTTTAGGTGGCTTAATTATGTCTGATGAGGCGCATTTCGAGTCATCAGGCTACGTAAATAAGCAGAATTTTTGCTACTGGTGTGCAGAAAACCCGAGAGAACTTCACCAGCGACCCCTTCATAGTCGCAAGGTTACTGTTTGGTGCGGAGTGTCGCGATTCGGCATAATTGGACCCTATTTTTTTGAGGACGATGCTGGAAATTCTGTCACGGTCAATTCGCAACGTTATCTGGAAATGTTAAACACATTTTTGGAACCAGAGCTTCGTCGGCGGAACATAGATTTAAATACTGTATGGTACTGTATGGCATGTAATACACTTTCGATTACTTATATATGAAAATAAATATCTTGAAAGATACATTTGTAGTTTCATATTGAAACTCATCAGGTTCCTTTGGCGGACCCTGTATAAAGTGCCACTGATAATGTAATTGATAATCCCAACACAAATTAAGCCATGAGAAAATGAAAATGGATCAGGGTAAATTCGTATTTTCTGTCTCTCTAAAAATCCTCTGGATTGCCAAACAATCTAAGTGACATTTTATTAGTTACCTATATTCGCAACTTTGTCTTCATAAACGATTTTGTGTTGTATTCCTTACCGTTTCCGAATTTGAAATCCCTAGTGCATATAGGTATGTATATAGAGTGCGTTTAGCAAAGTTGAATCAAATTTCAACGTAGATTTCTACTAATCTACTTAATTTTTATATAAAAATCACTTATTTAATTTCGTGGGGCTTGGAAAACGAGGTCGGCTTCCTCGAAAACATTCATAAACTACATACATATGTACAGCGAGAGCGAAAATGTGATAAACTTTTTTATGAAAAGTGAGATGGATCGAAAAAAGTGAGTAACCAGCATCACTGCATATGATCTGACTTAAGCAATAATTACTGCAAATTGAAACTGTGTTTCTCATTGTAAAAGTCACTGAAAATAATGGCACTGGTTACAATGGGTACTTGAAAAGATTTTTTTTTCAAACTTACGCACCACAAATAAGTAGATGGCCTGGTCTCGCAGACATTTTTCAATGAATTGATATCAAGCACTAAAATTTGTGGGGTACAGTAGCACCAATACGCACTCAAATAGAGTAAGAACTACTACTAACCCCTAAAAAAATGTTTCTGAAAATGATGAGGATTGTCTGAAACGTCAAAAAACGAAGTTTGAGCGATTTTTATATTTTTAGGCCTTTTTCTCCTCTGCCACAAGACCGATTTTCAGAAGCTACAAAGCTTTTGTCTAAATTTCATCGAAATCCGAGCGGTGCCTCTCAAGTTATAGGCCGTTAGAAGATTGGCGGACAGACCGACGGAAATGAGTGACATGATTTATCGTGATGTAGATGTCATATAATATCTAGTAGGCGTGAGAAGTAAAATACACTTTACAATTATATAAAATCCTAGATGGCGCAACCTGTCCCAAAAAGTTTCAAGTCTGAAAAAACCAAGGTACTTACAATTCTCGTTTCATATCCCTAGGGCAATCTCCAGGGTCTTCGCCGGGAAATTCATGTGGATGTGTTTGTATAGAATACGGGTAAAAAATTTGTATCACTTTGCAAAAATCTATACTTTGGACTAGACTGTTCATTTCCTCATCATAGTAATCGTGTGAAAATACGAGTAATGTTTGTGATATACCACGAGCTTGTGCTAAACTCACTATAAGATGGCGAAGATACGTAATTCGATTGTGGATCTGAAAGAAATCATATAGACCAAATCTTATTTTCAGATCAAACATCTCAGGCAAGGTAATTCACTCCTAAAGTAGTTATGCAATATAAAAGATTCTTTAAAAAAATATAAATACGAGGGTTGTTTCAACAATAAAGTTCCCACATTTTTTCAGGCACAAGGAATTTTTTATTAGAAAAAGGCAGCAGCGGTGGCCGCAGTAGTAGACTCTTCGGTCTCCTGATCAGTCGCCGTGCGCTGTGCGGGTTCGACTCCCGTCTCAGGAGAATTTTTTCTCTTGGCTATGGATGTGATTGTCCGTAGGTGGCAGACGGTCTCTGACTGTCGAACGCGGAGGTACCACCCTGCGGATCTCGTAGACGGGGCCAGAATGTGTGCATGTTGCATGCACACGTGTTCCCGCCAGAGTCCGTGTGGCTTTCCCCCTTTCCCCTGTATCCCCCTATAGCCCCACGGTACCCCATGGGTGTTTAGGCCTTAGGCGTTCGTGGTAGTTGGAGTATAAAAAAAACAATTCACCATTAGAAACGTTGATCTTTAAGCTGTTTCTCCATAGTCGCATTTTGTAGACGTGAAATTCGCTGCCAGCCCGTTTAGAAACTTGGTATCTGTTTCTTGCAACTCCTCGCCGTCTTAAACCGTTGACCGCCTAGGTGCTCATTCAATTTCGGAAACACTATGCCAGGGCTGTAAGAAGGATGGGCAATAACTTTCCAGCCAATCGCTCGATTCCGCCCATCGTTTATTGTAAGTTTTGTCTACGCGGCCTTCACCATTGCTTATACACGTTTCCCCATATACTTCACTCAAGTGGCGATTAATTTCTACAGGGTGTAAACGTTATGGTAGTCATTATTGAAATGGGTAATAGGAGGGGGTCAAAACAAGTCAAAAAGTTGATATGACCCATGGTCCAAAAGTCAATAGATTTTTGTCTAAATGGCTTTATAGTTTACAACTTTAAGTGCTTTATATCGACCACAATCACCACAATCTTACTATTTTTATAATCTAATCTAAAACGTTTTTAAATTGGGTAATTAACAAATAAATGGCATTAAGTTAAGCCAAAATTTGTAGTCAGTAACTACGTAAGTTTCATTAAAGTGAATATTTAAAACACACATGACAACAGCGCGTCGGTCATCATCACTAACGGTAACAGTGGTTAGTATGTTGTTTTGTTTTTGTTCGCGGATGTCGTCGTCTTGATTTACAGAATTCAAATCTTGCAGCTCAAATTTATCGCCTCAGATTTCGCCAACGGGTACACCCAGACAGAAGGACATTTGTGCAAGTGTACCAAAGACTTCGAGATACAGGAAGTGTTCAGCCCACTTATATTCCAACTCATAAAAGACAGGTTACTGTAGAGCAGGAGGAACAAATTTTAAATACCGTGGAAATCAATGCAGATATCAGCACTCGGGAATTAGGCCGCCGCGTAGGACTATCGCATACCATAGTCCATAGAATCCTACGGGAAAATTTGCTTTATCCCTACCAGGTACAACGAGTGCAGGCCTTGTTACCAGAAGACTATCCGCACAGATTAACATTCTGTCTGTGGTTTTTGCACAAAAACATTGAAAATCCGGATTTTTTTAAAAACATTCTAGCGACGGACGAATGTACTTTTACGCGAGACGGGATATTAAATTTCCATAATACTCACACGTGGGCCCAAGAAAATCCTCACACCATTCGTGAAGGTCGTAATGAAGCTTGTGTGGAAAGTGGAGGACGACATTTTGAACACCTTCTTTAAATACGAGTACAAAAAAAGTGCAGTCTGGGTTTTAAAAATAAAAACAATGTATGTATCAAAATTGTGTTTCCTATTTATAAGTGGATTTTTTTAATACGTTTCAATAAACACCAGGTGAAGCGCTGATACAGTTAGTGGTAAGTCCGTTTTTTTAACTGTTTGCATTTTACGAGTAAGAGCCAAAAATAACAAACTCAATCTTTATTTACACCGCGTTCTGTCGTAATTTGCGTCTGGCATTGCAGCGTTGTCTGATTTTATTTTACTTTAAAGTCGCTTTTCTCTAAAAAATGCCGTTTTGATCCCCATGTTGTATGAAACTTTTTGCTTCATTTAACCCCTCTATCACCCATTTAAATAATGACTATCATAACGTTTACATCCTGTATAGGTGGTAACGATTTTCGTATCTGGCGGTGACGACGATGAAGGGCTCCATTGCGCATGGCTGTCTGGCCGATACTAAGCATCACAAATAGGCGCTTCTTGTTGGGATCGGTAGTGGGGGTGCCGATAAACACGACGCTGTTGCCAGATTTCGCCTAGAATCACGCGCGGCAAAGATACAGCGTTGGAAACGATATTTTTGAGACAACCCTGGTATAATCAGCGTATAACTTTGTTAACGTATAAATTAAATCGAATATGAACAAAAATTACGCGACGTGGCATGTGAGACTTGTGTCTTTGTGTAGAAACTTATTTTCTGTGGTCAAACTATCTCACTTCTAAGTACGATTATTATTGATTTTTAAGATGTTTATACAACTTTCATCTTTACTTTTAAGATTTTTTGATCAATTTATAATGTGAAAGTTGTGATTCTTTTTTTGTCACGACCGTAGCTCCTTTTCTAATTGCTTAGATAATCAGTAGATTTTGCTATCCAATTTTGGCAACACTAAATTTTGTTTTAAGTCTACACTATCGTATTTACCATGGTGGAAATATTGTTTTGATCAATACGATTTGCTTGTACATTTCTTGGACTGGGAAACAACGATTTTTTTTCGTGGCAAGTTCATCGTTCTTGAATTTGATACTGGGATTTTTTCAAAGTGGAAACTATTATGTTGGAATATGAAACATAGCGTTTTATACATGAAATTTTTCTGTACTTTATGATAAAAAATTAAATTCGAAATTCAAAAAAATGTCAAGGTGCTGAACCGGAAGTAAACATTTCAAACCAAAATTTTTGCATCTTCGCATTTTTTTAATTTTCGATTTTTGGACTAAAAAATATAGCCTAAAGTGTGTTTAAAATACATCAGACGTTTTAAAATGGTTTGCGCATTAATTGAGGAGATGCGTATTTTTATGTAAATACATATCGCACAGAGTATGACGTTAGGCGATTGGTTTGTATTGTTATGAAAGATTTCGATTCTTTGTCCTGTAAATGGAATTATACAAATTTTGTTGGGCAATGAGTGCTATTTTTATTATTTAGTTGAAAGATATCCAAAATTAGAAAATGTTTAGGTCGATATAGCAAATAAAATGCGTTTGACACAACAACATAAAAATATATAATGTGGACCTCACCTGAATAACAATAACGATGGAATCATTTTGTAGAGGCTCAAAAATATTTTCGTTGTGAACGGTTTGCTGTAAGTTGTATTGTGCGATGTATCGTTTGATTTCTGAGATATTTGGTGTATATTTGTAGATGTACGAGTTATAGCTACCATTTCCTGAATTCGAGAAATTTTTTGGTTTTGGTGATAAAAATTTGTGCAATACAGCAGGTACCATGCTAAGAATAGCAGCGGTTGAATCGTTCACTTCTGTGTACGTTGGTGTTGGAGTTGAAAAATTTAGAAAATTTAACTGAAGCCAAATGAAAAATACTATGAATATTATCAGACCAGCTCGGACCCAAGCTGTGCCATTCCTGCGACGCCATAAATGGCCACCTCCACTGCTCATCCTATGGCATATCCTATAACAAAAGAATGTTGTAACTCCAAGGAAATAAATATCGTATCACACACAGATCACACCTTATATGATTCCTACCAAACTTGGAAGAATCATTCGCATACCCCAAAAGCTGCCGACATTGGCAACTGTTGCAAGGTTAACTGTTTAAGCTTAATTCATCCATAAGTTTTGCAATGTTTGTATTCATTTGTTTATGTCCCTAATGTTACTCTTTTCTTTTTGGCTTGCTGTGCTTGTAAATAGTATAGTTTCAAGACTCTTCTGTAATTGTTTTATGTTGCATGTGTGATTTTGTGTGAAGCTAAACTTCGCCATGATGTGGAAGATTAGCAATAAAGTCACTTAATTATCATTATTATTATTTGGCTCTTATTTGTGAGCGAAAAAACTTCGGTGGACAGCCAGACCATATAGATCCACAAGGGTTGATTCAGTATTTTCTGCAAAACGACTGATTTCCTCATGGATCAGTGTTTGGACCACTTCTCTATATCTTGTATATATCAGGTATAAACAGGTAATTCTTATTTTCAGCTCAAAAATTGTCTAAGGCTGATTTGTAATTTACTCCTAAAGTATTTATGCAATATAAAAGATGTCACTCTTCATTAAAAAAATATATAAATATAACACTGATAAACACAGGATTTGTGACACAATTTTTGGGTGTAGTCAGTTACGATTTCTGTGTTGAAGAGTACTGATATGTTCTGAGTACTGTTAATTGTTGTTAAAACGGTGTGTTGTTTTTAGTTTATTGTGATCGAGACTAGCTTTATGGATAGTGCATAGAAATCGTGTAAATTGTGCGAACAGTTTTTGTTATGTGTGCGGAGAGCTAACTTTTACTCCCCTTGTGTTGAAAGCATACAAACTTTACTTTGGAATTAAAGTTGGCGACCAAGATAAACTATGGGCCCCTCATATATGTTGTAAGGCTTGTGTAACGTTATTAACAGGTTGGTCAAGAGGCGAAAATCGTAAAATGCTCTTTGCGGTACCAATGGTTTAGAGAGACCGAGAGACCATACTACTGATTGCTATTTTTGCCTCACAAATATTAAAGATATTGGACCAAAATCGAAACATACTGTAAAGTATTTTAATTTACCATCAGCTTTGTGGACCGTTAAGCATGAAGATGAACTATCTGTCCCAGTTCCACCAGAATTTTGGTCTTTGGATGAAAAAGTCGAATCCACCGATTCTGAAAGTGATGGTACTGAAAGCGTAAACATTTTTCGATCCTTCGTTTGACCTGCCAGGATGTTCAACAGCGCCGCATTTGATCACACACGGCGGACTTAATGACCGAGAATTAAATCTGTCAAAATCCCAGTCAAAACTTTTAGCGTCAAGATTAAAAGGATGGAATCTTCTCCACGGTGATGTTAACATTATTTTTTACCGAAAACGGCAACAAGACCTCACACACTGTTTCCGTCAAGTAAGAGAGTTGATATATTGCTCCGATGTCAACAATTTGTTTGACGCGTTAGGTCAGAAACATGATCCAAATTATCAAGCTTAGTTTAAAAGCGGTATTGGTACACAACGGTAATGAATATTCGTCTGTACCTATAGGGCACGCAGTTCATATGAAGGAATCATATGAAAATATGCGAGTTCTGTTAGAGTTAGAGCATATCCGTTATAATGAATATGGATGGGCCATATGTGCAGATTTAAAGGAAATAGCCCTTCTTTTTCGAATGCAACTGGGGTATACCAAATAAATTGTTTTCTTTGTGAATGGGACAATCGTGCGCGAGATCGTCATTATGAACAGAAGGAGTGGCCACTACGTCCGGTCCTCAAAAACATTGCTCATGAACCACTAGTTGATCCCAAAAACGTGTTGCTTCCACCTTTGCATATTAAGTTGGGACTGATGAAAAATTTTGTGAAAGCTATGGATCGACATGGACGAGGGTTTCTGCATTTAAAACAAACATTTCCGAGACTTAGTGAGGCAAAAATTAAAGAGGGCATATTTGTGGCTCCACAAATACGGAAAATCATGAAGGATGATGTATTTGACAGTGCTCTAAATGAAACTGAATTACGAGCTTGGAATGCTTTTAAATCAGTTACTGCAAATTTCTTAGGCAATGTGAAGGCGGACAATTATAAATATATTGTGAGTTGACTAATTAATGCTTATAAAGGAATGGGATGTAACATGTCTCTACAAATTCACTTTTTGGATTCTCATTTTCCGGAAAATTTAAGTACGGTAAGTAATGAACATGGTGAACGGTTCCTCTAAGACATTTCTGCTATGGAAAAACGGTATCAAGGCAAATGGAGTGTCAATTTGCTTGCTGATTATTGCGTGACATTGTTAAGAGATACTTCAGGAGCAACATATCGCCATAAAACATCGACAATAACATTCTGAGATTAATGTTTATTCGAGGTTATATTAGTACCCTTACACACATATCCTTATATTTTACGAGTATAAGCAGCAAATAAAATGTCTTATTGCAAGAAAACCGTGGGTGATAGAAAAAATCGAACTCTATTTCCGGCTTTTTGAGTACGTTTTACATAATAATCACATTGTTTTGTCCGTGTCACAAAAAAAATATTTTAATTTTGTTCACCAGAGTGATTGGCATATTACTTGGTTGAAGGATAAATTAAATCAAACTTGGAAAACCCATTCGCATAACCCTAAAGCCACCAAAAACATTTTGGTAGACAGCTTGGCCATATGGGAATGAAATTTTCGAAAAATCCCTATTCTTGTGTAAACATTGACAGTTGCGGCGCTCCGAAAATCAGGCTTAGCGTTTCAGTAAAAACTCAAGATAAATTACACTATAATAATTTGAACTGAACTGAAAATATGTACGCAAAGCTGTTCAATTTTTCGTACCAATACATACCCTTTTAGTACAGATTTATTGTAACTCATTTTTCTCTTTTCAAGATACATAAGTTCATAAAACGTAGAAAAAACAAACATAACACGCATCTATAGTTTATCATGGTTACCTGCACTAGATCGAAAATTGCATTACTGCTATCTTGGCTTATCGCGCGATTCCCTTGATCAAAGATAAACTAGTATTAAGTAATCTCTTATTTAGATTTTGTTTGATTACAACCGACGCTTAACTAGGATTAAAGTATACTTTGTATAACTAAATTACCTGCTGAATATTTACTTTGAAAACCTTAAAAAAAATGAATAATTTTTTTATTATCATATTACTTCTTCAAATGATTGCAGTGTGCCGAGTTCCATATGCTTTTAGCTACAAAGAACAAGAATCGAAATTTTGGGTATAGTGTTATATAGTGTGTATATAGTGTTATTATAGGTTGAGTTACCAAGTTGAGAGGTAATGAAATTGATGCATGAAGACTATATTTCAACATATATGTAACATTTTTAAGCGTTTTTTTTAAATTGAATAAAATCAGATGTCAATTTAGTGCTGGGACCAACATTAGTTCCACATGGTCATTTTTCGCCCCAACTCTCGCGTGACGGCATGTCAGACTGTTTTTGAAGGTCATATTTGAATTTATCACATTAAACTACTCAAGTATACCAAGTTTGTTTCATTATTAATCACAGATAATAAAAGTGGAAGTTCCAAATGTTAAGGAATTATATTTATTATGAAACACACCATGAGGGCATTTTCAAAAAAATATTTGTGTATCTGTCGTCTAGCGAGACTAATAAGGGGTCCATTTTCAACCCCAAACTTGATCTGACAATACTTTAGAATTACAATAATTGTAGGAGGCCTTTATCACCTACTTAATTTTCACAGTTTTTTCTCTACTTTTTTTTACACTCCAACCACCAGGAAGGACTAAGGCCTAAGCACCCATGGGGTACCGTGGGGCCATGAGGTATACAGGGGAAAGGGGAAACGCCACACGGACTCTGGCGAGGTAACATGTGTGCATGCAACATGCACTCATTCTGGCCCCGCCTACGAGATCCGCCGGGTGGTACCACCTCGTTCGACAGTCAGAGACCATCTACCACCTACGGACAATCACAACATCCATAACCAAGAGAAAAATTTCTCCTGGGACAGGATTCGAACCCGCACAGCGCACGGATCAGGAGACTGAAGAGTCTACTACTGCGGCCACCACTGATGCCTTGACCTGAGAAAGGCTGGGGTATTTCTAGATTTCTACTGTTCCATGTCACAGTCAGCACACTCCTATTGTGAGGTTATGTTTTCTTTTTGAATTTCAAGAAATTTCTGGTTGATAAGACATGATAAAAGTCAAGTTTTATCAGGATTGAAAGTTCTTAGAATTTAAAAAGAAACCATAAATAGAGCACTGAAATGGAACAGTAGAAATCTAGAAATACCTCTGCCTTTCTGAAGGATAGGAAAAGCTATGGAAATCAAGGAGGCCATAAATGCATCCTACAATTAATAAATTGTAGGAATGACTGATGATACGGCCCTTAGAGCCATAATATATACAAGCGTACACTCACTTGAAGCCACAGAGACCGAAAATGAAAATTTTGCATTGTAAAATCTTATATTTCCAATCTACTTACACTTACCAAAATGTTTGAATTATATGTTATATTTGACCTTTCCTTACCCAGTATCTACTGGGTTTTCTGTTTTTCAAATAAACTTAGTAAAGTAAATAAGATTTTCAGAAGTCATTCATAATGATAATAGTAATAATATGCCTTTATTTCTAATAGCTGCTTTTAGTACCAACCACGGCTGGTTCATCAAACAACTACAATGGCAAATAATCATCTAACAACAGCTTCTGCAAGGTTGGCAAAGTACTTACTAAACCTAGTAATAGCTGCTTGAAATCTAATGATTTCCATTCCATCCCAAGGAATTGACAAAACACAAATTGTAATACAATATCCATGCATATATACAAGAGCAGGTGTATCTTAATGGTATATGAATACACCTCCCATGTTATTGGGAATTTCGCAACTGAAGGGCAACAACATGTGTAAAATTTCAGTTAAACCTTAATTATTGATTATCAGTTTACCAAATAATCAACTTACAGAGTTTTTATCACTTGTTTTCTAGAATAACCCAATACTGCATTTTGCCCTGTCCCTGCAGACAATTGATTGGTTGATTTTCTGGAAACTTATAGGGCTTGTATAAAACATTCTTATTTATCCTTTAAATATATCATAACACTTCGGTTAACCACATTTTTTCCTGTGGGCCCTTTTCTTTATTTTCGTTGTTTTGACGTTTCTGTTTGGACAATCTTGAAAGCACCCAATTTTAAATCATAAATAGGTTAATTAGCGACTAACGACATCTATTTTTGTTCTCCAGAACCCAGTATGTTGGGGAGTTTTACAAAGATGACAGAGGTACACAAAAGACCATAGTTTTTATCAAGCAAACAAAAATATGTATTAAATCAGTTAAATAGATTCTATTCAAAGCATGATACAATATTAGGAAATACATTCTCTTTATGTTGTTAATTGTTTACCATCTAGCGGCGTTATTGTGAACGTTATTAGTGCCATTTAGTGCCTTCCTTGCAGCTGCCTATGTCCTTCAGTAAAGAACTGCAATACCAGATGGCGCCGGAAGAATATTTTTTTTAATAAAACAGGACTGTATTAAGTGTTACCAGATGGTTGCGATTGTCCCGATATTTTATATGATGTCCAGAGTCCCAACAAAATATAAATTGTCTCGATAAATAACAACAGTGGAAAATAAATATGTTTCAATTGTTCCATATTTTGAGCACATTAGTCAGTAACCGCCAGCAATACCGATTTGATGTGTTGTTTTATCGTTATCAATAATAGTTATCGTTATCGATAATCGTCATCGATAATCGTTATCGATAATCATTATCGATAATCGTTAACGTTAATCGTTCTCGATAATTGCTATCGATAATCGTTATCAATAATCGTTATCGATAATCGTTATCGTTATTATTATTATAATCACCTCAGAGCTCTCCTTGATGATACCGCCACACGATGTGCCTGCCAGGCTTCCATCCAAACCGAGTCCAGATTCGTACATCCAGAACTGGCCGATACGACCTGTCCGTTGACGCTGGGGTATCGAGATTGTGGAACAATCCACATGAGGAAGCTCTTCCCAGTTCTACTAACCTTGGGCAGTTCAAAAATCGGATTAACAGATTTCCTTTAAGTTCCTCATATCAGACGCAGTGCCCAGGCATTTAGGCTTCTGCCTGCGCGGAAGCTTCGGTGTAAAAAAAATATTCAGGTCAAAATTGCAGTATTGAGCAAACACTTTTTCCACTATCCGAAGATGTAAATGTGGACGAACAAGATACATGTGACGCGGCTCTTAACCATAATGCAGTTACAAGGAACGGAGAAACAAAGACACCAGGGGTACGCTCTAAGGTGTCCGGTTTAAGGCATCTTCCTCTATTACTAACACTGTACTGGATAACGCGATGAAACACAAATATAAAACAATAACTATAGAACTAACTGCACGGTATTATATCAAACGTATAGTCTCTTTGTGTCAAAAGCAGCTTTTATCAACACCCCCTGATCAAAACGATATATACGTAATTCCATAATAGAATTTATTCCAGAGCGACTCTGTTTGAACATAAAAGCGCTGTATAATGCAATCACAAGGCTAACTAAAAAGCTCTCAAACTCAATTACTCTCAATTTCAGTCTTACGTTTTACAGCAGCGTTATGTTATTTTCTTCGTTTCACTTTTTCAGCCTGTTCGTTTTAATATCACTATAATACAGGAAATAGTAGCACGGCATTGAATGAATGAATATCAATCATCCTGCTTCAGAGGTAGTTTCCTCGGTGATTCCAATGCCCATAATGACCTCGGATTGATCTAGCTGGTAACGAGCCCTACTATTTTCCCCTGCGTTTAGTTACACACCAGCAGTCTGCTGGATCTCTTTCTGACTACGCATCCTGTCCCTTATAAGACCACTGTCCTGTCTTCTCTGGGTAACTCAGACTTTGGTGTTGTGGAGGTCAGATTTTGGTCAGCACCGGCTGTGGCAGCAGAACATTGCCCAGGTCACAAAATCTGGCATTACGGACATGTCGACTGGGAAGGGCTCAGAGACTATCCCTCCACCTTTCCTTGGAGATATGTTTGTTCCGTGGACTCAGATGCGTCGCCTATCTGATTGTCAATAACCGAAATTATCCACTTGGAAACTTGTGTTTCTCAGAAACTACTCGTGGAAAAACTATGAGCCCACGGACACTTTTGTTCTGCCTTTTGAGATCTATAACAAACAATTTTCAAAAAAAAAATAGCCGAAGGCCTTTCGCATAAAGTTACTTCTGGTGCTTTGCCATTTTCGCTAGTCGCTGTTACCAGTACACTTAGTTGACTTCGGCGGCAGAGAGACAGACACACAGACGGACGTGACATGGTTTTTCTTGATGTAAACGTCATATATACTGTTCACGAACAACTAAGGAAAATAAACGACGTTCTACGAACATCTCATGGACGTCTTATGTTTAGAGAAGACTTTTTGATTATTCAAGGAAGTGAATATTTTGTACTAATTACTGTAACAGCCGCAGTACCTGACACATTGTTTCGTACTTTTTCTCAGAGACATATAGGATGTCCGGAAAGTCCTATTTGTGGACGTCTTAAAAACACCCTTATGTCTCTTTGTGCCATTGAGAATTCATCATTATTGTGCCTTTTGTGAGCCCAGTTAGTAAGTCTCAAAGACGTGTTAGGGGCCATAAATGCAGATGTCTTGTACAGGGTCCGGCACAAAGGTCGAACGGTTTTTAAGAAATCAATCAAAAACAAATTTATTGACGGATTCGGGTTCACAATGAAATGGCGTTTGTCACAATTAAGTGTGGAAAATCTCATCAGTCATGTGGTGAGAGGTTTTGACGATGCATTGCTGCAGACGTTCTTGAAAATTCGCGTAGTCTCTCTCGAGCATAGTTATCTCAACTTGGGCGAATTGCCTCCTTCAACTTGTCCAGAGTTCGGGGTTTGTGTATACATGAGTCTTGAGGTGTCCCCATAGGAAAAAATCGCAGATGGATAAATCTGGGGACCGAGGAGGCCAATGAACATCACCAAACCTGGAAATAAGGCGACCACGGAAGAGAGGGCGAATAACGTTCATCGTTGTTCTGGCTGTGTGGGCGGTCGCTCCATTCTGTTGAAACCACACACGTCGGAATGGATCACGTCGTCGTAATTCAGGTGAAAAGAAGTTGGTGACCATTTCGACATAGCGCTCCGAGTTACGGTAATAGCATTGCCATTACCGTCTTCGAAGAAGTAAGGACCGATGATGCAAGTTTGCGATACAGCGCACCAAACTATCACTTTTGGGGTGTGCAGCGGTCTTTCATGTAACTGGCGCGGATTTTCATTAGCCCAATAACGGCAATTCTGCTGTTTAACCATGCCATTAAGTTGGAAGTGGGCTTCATCACTCATGAACAAAATGAGGTTCTCATTTTGATCGATAAGTGTTTCCATCTCACGTGCGAGGTTCATTCGTTGTGCGTAACCTCCAGGCTGTAACTGTTGTAGAATGGCCAATTTGTAGGGCCTTATCGAACGATCACTAAGGCGAAGTTCAGCAGCATGTTGACGAGCAGATCGAGCTGGACTGCGAAGGAGGGCTTGTCAAACGCATTCCACATTTTCAGGGGTTCCAAACGTTCGTAGAGCTCCTGGTCTTTTGTTGACCAAGTGTGCAAATTGATTGAGCCCAACGAAGGATGGCGTTTCGAGAAGGAACAGTTCGATTCCGATGGATATTGAAGTGGCAAAAACACGGTGCTCAGCCGTCCAATGATCCCTAATCTCTACTGCCAAATCCTAGGAACCCCCGAGTCGAACGGCACTCTCCCCACCACTCTCGCACGAATAGGCGGAGAGTAGTAGCCATTTCAAAAACATCCAAAAAGACAATCTGGGACGTACACCCATAATTGAGCCTCTCTGATTTCGGAAGATTCATATGAAAAACCTTTCAGACGTCATCAATAAGCCTTATTCACTGAATACTTGTACTTTCGATCAAAGTCTGAAATAAGACATCTTAAAGACGTCATCACGACCACGTAACCTTAGATGTATTTTGCAGGTCTAAGGACGTCTCCACGACGTCTTTCTAATGTCTGCGAAGTTCAGACCTATTTTAGGCCTTTAATGGACGTCTCTAAGACGTGATGTGTTATCTGGGATAACATCCAAAAAGCATAATTTTTCATTTTCGAAATTTTCCGCGATTACAATACTTCCTTGCTAGTAGACGTGTAAAGTAAAAGGATCGGAAAGAAAGCGCGAATAGATGCGTTTAAGTGCTTCTAGGCGGCCTATGTAGTGACTATGGACATCGAAATGCCTCTTTTAAGCATCCCTAACGCCAGCACGTTACTGTTTCGGTTTAATTAGAGAGCGACGGTAGTGGGATCCCTTGAGACTGCTGAAGCTGACGGGGTTGAACCGCCACCCTTTTCCGACGGCGAGCAACCTCCTGCATCCCCTCCAAGCCTCTGGCTGATTGGCTGTATTCAAAACGCGATTTCAAGGCTCTGCTTACAGGGGGACAACGAACACATCTCTTTTAACAACCTACTTTTCATACGAGGGACACAAGAAATGAGGAGCAGATATGGTTGAAAATATAACTGACATCCTGGAAGATTTTAGTATCCAGTGTCACTCGCACTGGCGAGACAAACCTATAAACACCTCATATACAGGGTATTTTCAGAGTTGAGTCATTTATTTTGACAGCTTCTAGAACTCGTCAAAAGAAGTTGATATACCAAAGATTATTAAAAAAAATCATTATTGAGTTAAATGGATACCGTTTTTACAAAAACTGATCCCATTTGTTCTTAAAGGAAACCTTTCCGCCTACAACATGCATGCTGCGGCTGCATTTTGTTGGCATTCTCCGTATGTTACTATGATGTCCACTAGTTGGTGGTTTTCGTTAACATGAACCATTTTTTTCTCGCAAAATAATCAGACAAATGGAAGTACTATTAAAAGACTGATACAACTGATCGAATCAAAGACTCGTACTGAAAACCATACAATAACACAAAAAGTTTCACAAATTTAGATAAACGATAAGGGTAGTAAACAAAAACGCTAAGATTTTACACGGCAGTGGTCGAGAATTTCAAAAAAATTAACATTATTATTTTTTTTAAATTTCTAATCTTTTACTATTTCTTTTATTATGCAACTTGTATATAGGTGATGTTTGATAACTCAACTTCTTTTGACGAGT